ACTGTTCGTTTTGGCTCACCAGTCACCAGCCCCCCAAGATGACCAAAATCCGGGGTAAGTGTCATCCATCCGAACAGTCACTAGCTCTAGTCCGAACTCTCGTTTCAAGTGACCTGCCACCCTCAGATCACGGAAGGCAGGTATCATTTGTATCAGAAGCCACATCAGATTGTCAGTGCGCTTCTCAGATATCACTACTCACCAAAAATAAACCTTGGCTATTGTTCGTATCGGCCATCGGTGAGAAAATAGCTGGTTGCATCTCATAGGTATTGTTCCATCCACCAAAAGGAAAGTGAAAAAAAGTATTCATGTGAAATTTGACCTCTGCGTCTCAGCAATAGGCTTTTCCCGTGGCCAACCACACATCGGGACAAACGGCCGACTGGGCGACGCCTCCCGAGGTCAACCTGCCAGCTTCTGACACCGAGCTCTCTCCAGGCCAGTGTGCCGCATACACCGCCTCCTTTCTGTTGTTTTTGACATGTTGAGGGTGTTGAGTATGGCTTCAACTCCCGAGGCGCATCTAGACCCCCAAATAACATCTTCCAAGTGCCGCATTTCCTTGGTGTCGGTGTCTCTTCCAAGCAAGTCAACAGCGCACGCCGTGATTGGACACCCGAAGGCAGATCCAAAAGGCAGGCCAGAGAAGCCGGGGTGAGCTCCTGTCCAACCAAATCGGTAGCTCCCAGCTTGCTTGACACCACCCACCACAAGCTGCCCCTCCAAGAGCTCTCGTAGCTGACAAGGAGTGGCTGTGACGGAGATGCCATCTCTTCTCGCGGCCAACTCCTGTGGCTGTAGGACAGGCCAGTCAATGTCTTGGTCTAGACAGCTTACAACGCAAAGCTGTGTAATGCATGTCTCACGCAACGTTTTCTTGTGCTTCCCACTGGGACTGGCTACCGGGATGGTAGAGGGAAGGTGAGACTTTCAGCATGGAACTACACTACGGTACGCCGTGACAAATAGGAGGAGGGGGTCTGGGGCGATAGTTCAGCTGGTGGAAATTTTTGATGCTTCGTGATCATGGTCTGTGAGGGGCATCGACGGTCAGTTGGTGTTGACGGTCTTGATGCAACATGACCACAGCATTACGAATGCCCGATGGTAGCCATGCTTTGTATCACCTACCTCAGTCAGAAACCGTTCTCCTGTGTAATTTAGATCGGCATCGAAATGCCATGTCGATGTCGTTGAACAAGTTGAAGCTTGTGATAGCAACAACAAGGGTTAATCCTAGGGGTAGGGTTACGCCAGGGTTTCTCGGCTCTCCGCTGGGAGAGGTCCAGTTGACGCTAAAGCGTTAGCGGCAGGCTCCACCCCCACATTTCGCAAGCTGCCGTGGCTGCCTCACGATCGACAGTCCATCGTGAATTTCATCATCCGGCATCAGCCACACCTCCCTCGCTGAGCTCAGTTTCCCGATGCCGGTCATGCTCGCAATGCTTTCGGCATGCAACCGCCAAGAACGCACATCTGAGCAGCTCATTTCGTGGAGAAGACCATCTCGCAATGCTCTCCCCCACCCGATCGTTAGAGGCCTACGATAATACGATGCGGTGGAGCTCTTGCGCAATTCAATCCCAGATGCTAGCGCCGGGCAATGACAGTTGACTCCCCTTCCCGCTCCTTGACATCTTGACATGTGCTCCACCAACAACGACAACTACAACAACTGTTGTACCAACCTCCAACGATGACTGACTGAGTGACTGTCCGCTCATCGACGGCCTTGACACTAACCAGCCTGCAAACCCAAACACCACGTCCAATCCCCGCCCAAGCTTCTCAACATCGCTGATGCGTCGAGTTGCTTTTGGGGTCCAGACCTCCAAAAACCCAATTCCACCAGAGACATCTCCCATTTTCGAGGCCCATTTTCGGGTCGCCCACGGAAGCCCGAAACACCACCGGCGGCTTACCGAATAGAACTGCGGGGATGGCTTACACCCCCCTCGCTTCATCCCATTTGATTCTATGGGTGGTCTGTCCAGGTCTGGAGGTCGCGCCGCGTTGCACCAGTCTTGAGGGGCAGGTCATCAAATGCCGATGAATAGGCCTGGGGTGACGTTATACCAGAGCTGCTAGGGGCGTCCGTCTAACCTGCGCACAACACAGCTCGATGCTCACTTTTGGTCCGGTGATCCGATTTGATCAACCACCGACTCACCCCGTCTATCAATGGAAGTCGTATCTGATCTCCTCGGCGTTCAAACAAACACAAGCCCGCAAGGGATGAGGCTGGGGTCTCGAACGGCGTGTATCTCAAACTACGGAGTACTGCACAGCAACGTTGACTGCGCAAGCGAAGCAGTCAGCCGCGCGTCTGTTAATCAGCCTCGTCGCAGTTTGACTCTGACTTCTGCAACGTGCAAAGGCGAGGCGTCCCGTTTATTCCGTGTAGGTAGGTAGTTATTTACACAAGCGCTCAGAGCACCTCTGCAATGCCATGCCATGTCATGCCAGCGGCCGACCTGTCCTCTCGTTCTCTGTTGTAGTAGTCCCCAAGCGCAAGCGCCGCCGCGGGCGGCTATTCTCATTCCGCGGCGGGACACCACCCCAGATCTCGTTGAGATCTGGTCCAGCCAATGACAATTTTTAGCACCTCAATTTTCTCTCTCCCGTCTGTCGCGGTTAGGAGAGCCAATAAGAAGCATGCGCACGGATGGCTGCAGCGGTTGTTTGAGCTTCCGACCGCTGTGATACCACATGTGAGCACTCTTCCAAGCGATGGGCATAGCTGGCGGTGGCGTATTCGCGGGTAAAGAGCGGGACGGGGCGGGAAAGGCGTTTGTGTCGGCTGGGTTGGCCAATGAGACGGTTGGATTGTTTACTTTTGTGTTACACTGATTTGGGGAGTTCAAGTCGAAGGAGTTGTTTGATGTTCTTCAGCTGGGGTGCGGGATTGGCGGTGGGGATGGATCATGGGACGTGGCATGTTTGGTGTGGTTTTTGGGAGGGCCAGAATAGCTCATTGAAAGCGAGATCTTGAGAGGTGGGTTTGAGATGGGATTAGGTGGCCAAGGAGCTGTACGCATGGCCGTTGAGAGAGAGCGGGTGAAGCGGGTTCGGGGCTGGCATAACCACTTTTGCGCGGGTTGATGTTGGCGGTTACCTTACACAAGATCCACCTCATTTGTTCCATGGCCAGAGGGGAGGAGAGGAGCACGAGAGTTTGGCGCGGTGGTGTTGAGGCTCAGGAAAGCAAACAAGTGTGCAAACTCCTCGTACTGGGCTTGGGGTGTCGGCAGGCGATCAGAGAGGTTGGTTGATACTGGACAACAAAGAATCTCTAACCATCCGGGCTCCAAGATCGGAAATAGCCCGTGGCTTTGCCTGCCTTTGCGCCTACATTTTCTGACGTGCATAGATGTCGTGAACCATACTCTCCGCATGCTGCGTCGCTGCCAGTCAGATACTGCCACATGCAGTACCACTTTTCAGTTCTGCAACTTTCACTAAGCCAGCGACACCTCTTCTTTGGCCATGATGTTGGCTTTGGGCAAGGTGAACACCAACCTGGCTCACCAACCCCCGAAGTGCACCTGCAATGGGTGCAACTCCAGCGGCCGCTCGGTATACTCTGCATCATCTCGACCTCCATCCACCACATCACAAAAAAACCCGCCGACCACCCCCGCGTTCAACCCGGTGTTTCAAGATGCTATCACATCACGACCAGATGACCATTCCCAGCCTCCCTCCCCTCCAAAAGTGAGTAAACACCCACGCCGCCGCCGGAGCTATCCCTCCCGCATCCGCCCATCGGTGAAGACGACTCCACGCCGCCCGAACGCATGCCAGTAATATGCGGCCCGAAGCTCGACCTCCTCGGTCCACGAGGCCTTCCATGCTCACCGCTACTCATGACGCTCATGACTTTAACCTCGGACTTTCTTTGTCTGGTTGATGTGCTTTAACATACCCGCCGCAGAGGGGCATCCTGATGGGGAGATGGGTTGCGGGATAAGCGGGTTAGGCGCGTCGGCGCCACATCAAAGCTGAACTGTGGTGGTGACTGGGGGACAGCGTTGATGAGTCTGGAATGTTGAGTGCTTCGGGTAGATATCTTGGCGGATTTGCACGATGGGGAAGGCCACTGGTGGTGGTGGGGAGGTGGGTTGCCTCAGCACGAGAGAAATGTGAATATCAAAATGACAAACAAGCCCCAACAAGGGACATTAGGCAGCTCTGTGCCACTTAGTTGCAGGTAAACAGCGCTGGCCTGGGTAATGAGGTCATCATGTTGGAGCTATCTCGAGGGCATGCAGCAACCGCCACGAGCAAAGCTCACAACGTGGAGCGTAGAAATGCTAGACGAGGGAAGCTCCGTCGTTTCCTATCCATCCAGAACAACAAGGCACAACTTCACCACCACCGACGACAGCACAACGTGTTTCGACAGAAGCAATGCTCTGCCTACTCAGGATTCATCGCCTACTCCATACACTAGCAGTGCTGCGACAAAGGGAAAAATGATCCCATCTGTACGTCCATCTCTGATGGAAACAACAATATGTCCAGGGATACTGCCTGCTTCTCCCCCCCTTGGTATCCTCTTCCATGGTGCTCTTATACTTTTTGATTCATACAAAAATCCATCACAGCCTCTCTAATCACTCCATGCCTCTCCACCAACTAGAAACCCGTGCTAATGCGCAACTCATATCATTCCGCAATCTCCTTGGGACCGCGATCTCCTCCAAACGCCGTCTAAAGCCAGACAATATGAATTCCTCAAGTATACTATCCGTATGATCGACAGGTATCCTGAAAGCAGACGTCAAAGTATGCCTCGCGATCAACAAGTTATGTTGTGCACAGAAACGGCCGGGGTGTGAGGCTGACTCCAACTAGTCCCTCCATCATGCTCTTTACATGTGATAATGAGACCGCTGAACGCCACGAGCAGTGATGTTGTCGCCGGGGGCAGTGTGGGGACCAACACGGGGACAACGAAGGGTACTATTGCCCTGCAAGGTCATTGGATGGTGTTCCTAACGGTATCCAGCACTCTGGCGGGGAAAGTCCTCGAAATAGGGGTGGTTGCAGGCTTGCTTGGCAGAGATGCGACCAGCGGGATCGTACACCAGCATCATTTCCAAAAGGTCAAGACCTGTGTCGTCGAGGTTGTCGCACAGGGGCTTGCTGTAATCGCGAACCCACTTGGGGAAAGAGGCCTTAAAGTCGGGATACGAGGTCACGCCGGGCCAAACATCTTCGGTGGGGGTACCGAGCAAGCTAGGATAGTCAGTCAGTCAAGTTCCTCTTCTGTTGCTCAGCAGCATAACTTACCGGAAGATCTTGAAGATCTCGTCAATCTCCGAATCACCAGGGAACAAAGGCTTGCGCGTGCACATCTCGGCAAAGATGCAGCCTACCGACCACATGTCGACACCAGTGGAATACTGGCGGCCACCAAGCAGAATTTCCGGAGCGCGGTACCAAAGAGTGACAACCTCGTGGGTGTAGGTGCGCAGAGGAACACCAAAGGCGCGGGCCAGACCGAAATCAGCAAGCTTCAGGTTACCGTCGCGGTCAATCAACAAGTTCTGCGGCTTGAGATCGCGGTGCAAGATGCGGTGACTGTGGCAGTAACGAACACCCTCGCACAACTGGCTCATGAACTTCTTGATAATCGAATCGCCCAATCCCAAACGGTGGAGCTCAGCACTTGTGCCCTCGGGCAGAGCCTTCCCCTTGCCTCCATCACTAGTGGGCAGCGACTCCATGTACTTCTTCAAGTCGAGATCGAGGAACTCAAAAACGAGGTAGAGCTTGTGGCCGTCGGCGTGCACAATGTTGAACAGGCGCACAATGTTGGGGTCGCGCATCTCCTTGAGCAGCGAGATCTCGCGGATGGCGGTCGACGGGACACCCTCATCTTCGGCTTCGAGACGGATCTTCTTCAGGGCCACTATGCGCCCGCCGTTGTTCAGGTCACGAGCCTTGTAGACGACACCGTATGTTCCTGTGTGTCAGATGGGTGTTAGTTGAAGAGACAACAATCAAGGGAGATGCCGACCACAACATACCCTCGCCAATCTTTTCCAGTTTCTGGTAGTTGTCCATGGTGGTTAGAAATCGTTCCTTTTTCCGGTGTTACGAGGTGTTCTCCTTTCTCTTGTTCAAAACTGGTCGGGTATCGGCGGCCAAGCGGAGGCTCAAATCGAATACAAAGTGGGGGAAGTGGTCGCTTTCGTGGTGGTGGTGGTGGTGGTGGTGCAACGGCTGAGAACGAGGGGCAGAGACGATGCCGAGACAAAACAGATAGCGGCCCAAACCGAGAACCGAAGACGATGTCGAAGTCAAAGTCAAAGTCGAAAGTCGAGAAAATGAAAGGGACCGTTGGAGGGGTGGGAGAAGGCGTCAGATGTCCTGAGCCATCGAAGGGCTAACTTACTTGGTCGTGGGTCGTGGGTCGTGGGTTGTCGATGTCGATGTCGATGTCGAGCGGAGGTGGTGGTGGTGGTGGTGGTGCTGGGCGTTGTTGGTTTTCTCCAAATTTCAAAGTTGATCAACAAGCTGGGAGTGGCAGCCGTGGAAACGGGAGCTCGGCGACGCGCCCAAACAAAAGATCGCGTCGAGGCTTGTCGCACAGCGAGTGGCCCGGCCCTGCGTGGCGCAAAGGGATCCACTTTTTAACCACTGCCAGTGAGCTTCTGCGCCCTGCAGGTCTGGCCACCCGCTGGGAAGAGGGGCACAAGGACCCCGCGCCGAATATTTTTGATAGGAGTCAGCTATCGATCGGGAAAAGAACAAGAGGTATTATATTTTTGTGCAGCATGCACGACCACGGGCAGCAGAAAACAGTCTGGAATATCTGAGTCTTGAGTCTTAGTCATCGACAGGCAGACCGTTGACTGCGACCATCTCCTGCGGCAAAAGCTTATCCTACACCAAGTTTAGGAGCTTGCATATAAGCTCCATTCCATTCACATCGTTGACAATGACGGTGGACATCAAAGAGCTCGATGCTCATGAGCAGCCTTCAGATCAGCTAAGGGCAAAATGGAAGGCCTTTTCCAGAACAGAACAAAAGGATGTTCTAGAGGGAAATGATATCGACGATCTTCTATCGCCAGAAAAGGCTGCCGAGTTTGTCATTGCAAGCACCATCTCTGCAGAGACCTTGAATCAGTCCTTCAAGCACGTCTGCCCACCTGGCAGTCCCGAGATCACAGTGGATAAGGATGTGCCAGTATATTATCACCCCCTCTTGCCAGGTGCGTCGACAGTTCTGACATGTGCTGATGATACCTGACTAACCACCACCCGCAGGTCTTCTCATTCTGCCCTCTCTCGTCCCCCCAGAAGTCCAAAAGATCCTCCTGCGGAAAATGGTGCATCGAGACCTCAGCCACCCTACCCATCAGACCAACCTCCATCTCCATTATGAGCTTCCATACCCCGATCAAGGGTCAGAAGGCCCCGAGCACAAACATGCCTCGTTCTTCACTCTGCCCCAAGACTCTCCCACTACCTTTACGCCAAAAGATCCCTCAGTACACAAGCCCCTGACCATCAAACAAGTCCTCCAGCGAAGACTGTCTTGGGTGACCCTCGGCGGTCAGTATGACTGGACCAACAGAATCTACCCCGGCGAGCTGCCTCCTCAGTTCCCACCTGATATTGCCGGATTTCTGGAGACACTGTTCCCGGAGACTCTTGCCCAGGCAGCCATTGTCAACTTTTACACACCAGGAGACACAATGATGATGCACAGGGATGTATCAGAGGAGACTGACAAAGGGTTGATCTCTCTCAGCTTTGGGTGTGACTCCCTCTTTATGATCGCGCCCAACGATGTCGGGAAGATGAGCGACGAGGAGAAAAAGGCCGCAGGCTTTGGAGATGGACAAAAAGAGTATCTGCTGCTGAGACTGAGATCGGGAGATGCCATCTACATGACCAAGGACTCGAGGTTTGCGTGGCATGGTGTACCCAAGGTTCTGAAGGGGACATGCCCGGACTATTTGGAGGACTGGCCGGCAGAAGATGGAAAGTACGAAGAGTGGAGGGGGTGGATGAAGAACAAGCGGATCAACCTCAATGTGAGGCAGATGCGGGATTAACTGTTGAGCTCATCAACAGGACATTTGGTTATACAATTTGAGGTGTTTGCCAACAGAACCCGATTAATTGATGACTACTCCTCGGCTTGATAACAAGATCACTTGAGTGTCTGAGTTGCTCCGATACCTTTGACTCCATCGAAACCAGCTGCACAATAGGTATTCGGGGAAATTGATGCACCGCGTTCGGCCACTTTTCCTGTGGCGCTGGTGTAGGACCGACCAACGCACGACGTTGACCACCAACACACACTTACCACCAGACCTTGGACGTACCTGCTTTGGCCAACGTTGCAGCCGGCCATCAAATGACAATGTCGAGGACAGTGGAGATGTCTCGGGTTTGCCTCTGGGTCTAAGACGGATAGAAAAGGTTAATTGTCCCGAGTGGTACCAACGTTGCGGTTTGCGGATCCTGCCTTCGGAGCGCGCCACGAGGCGAGAGGTATGATGGAATGTGAAGGCGCGCCGTTGGGTCGGAGGTTGGAAGCCGTGATATAAGGTTTCGGACTCACTTCTGTTGACATTTTCCAGCCGATTGACCCTTCATCTCATACCGCACGGCAAGTCCATCCCCATTCCTCCGTCTTGTGGCAATCTCAGGAACACGCAAGTCATACGCCGCATTGCGAACACAAAAGCCAGCACAACGGCGGAGACCTCAAACTTAAATCTCACCGCCGGCAACCGGCTCCCGGACATCTCTCACTTTGATCCTCTTGCAACTGTCACCTTAACCCACCGCAACAATGTGCCAACTCCAACACTACAAGCAGATCCGCTGCGGCCGACCCCTCCCCGGGCTCCCCACCCCACCTCTCTCCAAATCCCGCCGCACCAGCGCCGAGTTTCCTCTCTCACAACCTCCCCTTATTGACAGCTCAGAGCCCCCCAAGATCTGCCTTGCAACCCTCACCCCCCCACCAACCCTCATCAAGTGCGACTGGGCCAACCTCCAGACAACGCCCCACTTCAACATCTGCTGGGAGCCCACCCCCGTCCCCGGCGGCGCAATCGAAGCACCCGATGAGATCAAGGAGCACGCTAGGGACAAGTGCCGGAGCTGTCACTACACCGCTGTGCCTACCAGGTTGAGCTTGGATGAGATGAAACGGGGGCTGTCGTGTAAGATTCCCAAGAGGGATGAGTTGAAAAGGTCAAAGAGTGGGATGGGGAGGTTGATGGAGCGGGTGAGGAGTCATAGTTATCATCATCATGGGAAGGAGAAGGAGAAGGAGAAGGAGAAGGAGAAGGAGAAGGGGGGGGGGAAGGGTAAGGAGAATGATAAAGGGAAGGCGAACGGGGGGGGAGATGGGGAGTTGGAGGGGTTTTTGGAGGTTAATGCTGGGAGGTGGTGAGGGAGGTGGTGAAGGAACGAGCTGGAGGATCGTGGGGTTGTAATGGTAATGTACAGTTATGTGTATAAAGGTGACAGTACGCCAAATAGAAGGCCAGTTCGATCGTTATCAGGGTCTGTCTTTCACATACGAGTATTTTCGGCGACAGCTTAGGTCATCCAACCGTCAGCCCCCATGAATTTCAAGAGTCTCTCCAGACCATTTCATCGCTTAAATGGGCCTTAAAGAACCAAACCTTGCAGATTTATTTTATCCATACCCACCTCTAAGAGAGCATCAGCCTTATGGAATCGCGGATACATGGAAACCAGCTCCCCAAGTACAGTACACTTGTTTTTATGTATGTTGGGTGGGGTACCACAATCCGACAACAGTTCGACAGGACAGGCCTGGTTGAGGAACATGTAATGTCAACTGGGGAGCTCACGCTCTTGCTCTCCAACGGCCCACTTGCAAATAGTGGTGAATGGCAACCTCGATCAAAAAGACGAGTCCAGATGCTATCACGGCCAAAAGTCACAAAACCGCAAACGAAATCTCAACCAAAAAGTTTAAAACACCAAAATTCGAGATCACGACCGAGTTTCAAGGTTCGACAGTTTTAAGCTTTGCAACACCCCCAAGCCCCGATCTCTCAAGGTTCAACACAGAGAATCATACTTTCAGCCACAGTTATCCTCATATGTCAAGAGCACATCATATTTTCTCTGACCAAATTCACTTGCACCAAATTCTTCACGAACTCACTACCTTACTTTAAAGGCATCACAGGTTTAAAGGTTCAACATTATTATACTCCTTTTCCAATCCAACACTCGCATCATCCGCTAACGCACCGCCTGAACCAGCTTGCTCACCACCTCCCCGCGCGAACCTCCACCACCTCACGATAACACCTGCCCGCGCGCGGCTATAACTAAATCCCATCTGCCCCCTCGCGTGAACTACCTTTTGCTTTCAGGCACTACCAACTCGGGTTCACAAGCGCAAACAAAAAGGAAGGAAAAAAAAAGGAAAAAAGAAATGCCCTGTACCCGCCTCTTCCACCTCCCCTACCTCTGCCCAGCCTGCAACAAAAGACCAGGTCCAGATCCCGACCCGGACTACAACTGGGACACCGAGTCACCTTTCCAGCCTTATGTGGGATGTTGCCGGAGGATCATGACTGGGGATTGCGCGTGTGTATTTGATAAATGGGGGCCGGTGATCGTTACGAGTGTGGAGGTTGAGGAAAGAGATAGGAGGGTTTGTGGGGAGTGTGAGGAGGCGGGAAGGAAGAGGACGGAGGTTTTGAGGGGGAGTGATTGTCAGTTGGGGAAGGGGAGGGGGGCGTTGGCGGGGAGGGATCCTGTGGGTGGGAGGGCGTTTTGGGATGTGGTTGCTGATTACAGATGAGGAGAGGACCGGGGAGGGGAAGGGATGGGGGGAATGGTAGGGGGGAAGGGAGAGGCGATGGGGTTGTCTAAGCAAGGCTGAGGAGGCGATTGCGAGGAGGCAGGGGTGGGGGGTTGGTGGGTGTTGGACATTGTGATGGCCACCTACCTAGAGAGCTGATTAAGAGCGCTTTGAGGATAAGGATGATGGCTTGGGTGCAGTCGATATGTCAGGTCATTTATTCACACACTAACGTCGGTTGAACTATTGCATCCAGGGTTCGTCGTTATCGGTTTTGAACTGGAATCTCGATATTAAATGCTAGGTTCCATACACCTCGAACTCTGGAAAAGTCCAGCTATCCTTTGCCTGTCGTGCCTATCCTTCTCCAGGATTCTCCCCTTTTTGATGGTACTGGGAAATAACCCCCTTACGACATTGGTGTTAGCCGTCCGTAGTAGGGGTCGCGGGCGGAGTCTCCGGTTCAGGAGGGGACGTGGGAGGACGGCTGCCAGTCATGCTGGTAGTGGTGACCAAGTTGGTTTGATAAATGGCGCACAAAAGCTTTTATCGTCTGAGCTGAGCTATACATAAGACCTGGGTCAGCTGTGTTTGACTTCATGACGACTTGTGAAATCACACACCCTTTGCTGTTTATGAATCGGTAGTTGAAGCTGTATCCGTTGCTGATGATGGGTAAAGGAAGGTGTCTCTCTTTGCAAGGTAGCGGTGCTCTTATACATGGATGGGACATCGTCGAGGCAGAGAATCCGAACCTGATATTGGCAGCCCCGTCAGTCGCACAAGGCGGACAAAAAGTATCCTGTCATGGCGTTGGTCAGGAGGGTTATAAGGTGATGTTTCATAAGGGGAGATGGAAATAGAGGAAGGCCAGAAGGGTAGGTGGGTGAGAGAACGGCGTTGTTTGGTAGGTTTGACGTGGTCGAGGCTCCGAGTCTGTAGTAGTTGATCCTCATCTGAAAAGACTGACCACCTCACTCAAGCCACGGCAGTGACAGTCCTCCACGTCAGTTGCACACTGAGCGTTTGCTCAAGGCAAGCCAATAGATACATGAGGCCCGGGTTTCAGCTCTGGTTCTCAGACAAAACCTCATGCTCTCATCCATCTTCAAGCATTTTTCCACACCTACACTACGATATTTTGTTGGCTAAAGATGTGCAGTTGGTATAAGCACAAGTCAAGAAACTGGGAGAGCAAAGCATAACCCAAATCACAACACCTGCCACTGGCAGAACCCACATTCGTGCCCCACCATGTCCACTCATCTCTTAAGCCCATTGACGCCACACTGGAAATAACCTCACATCACATGAGAAAACAGCCTGCTTGGCGCAGTGGTAACGCGTTCCACTTGTATGGCTCTTGCAGCCTCAGTCAATGGAAAGATCATTGGTTCGATTCCAGTAGTAGGCATTGAGGTGTTTTATCTTTTGGGCCATCATTGCTTTTTTACTTTGCATAAGTACTTTTTGGATTCGGTTCCTCTTTTGTCATTAATGATCTTCTACATCGCTCTTTCCATACTCCAGATCACGGACTGAACCCCGGCTTCGATTACGCATGATTACTTACCTACCTCCAAGCTCCTGAAGCCAAGCTACTTTGAATGCAATTTCTGTGCAGCTCCAACCGTCGTCTTGTTCGTCTTGCCAGCCTGGCGCAGGAAATACAGACTCAACGTAGTCATGACCACCATCAACGCCCAACGCTCGCCCAGCTCCCCTGTGCGACCAGCCTGTTTCAACTCCAACGTGAATGGATGTTTCCAGTTCAGCACGTTGCTAAAGACCACCTTGGCGACAATCTGAACTTTACTCTCAGCCGCGGGCAACCATGAGGCGGAGGCTGCTGAGCGTGACGATCCCGCCTCGGATAAAGGTCGGCTAGTGTGACCAGGTGCAAGACGGTACAACGTGTACACAGTTCCCGTTTCAGCGTGCTCCTCCGCTTGGCCACTCATGTTCTGGTTGTCGTTGCTGCTACCTCTGCTAATCTTCCGCCACTCAAACGCCTCCCTCATCATCCTCTTCACGCCGACCTCAATCTCGAACCCAAAGGCCACGCCATGCTCCTTGCTAGTGGTGGAGTGCACCACCTCGGTGATCATGTCGCGGGGATTCTTCTCCTGATATAGCGGGGGAAGCTTTACCGCCGTCTTTGGCCTGAAAAGCTGGACGAGAAGCGGCAGCGGAAACTCATCCCCCGTGGCAGCGAGTATGGGGCTCTTGAGGCTGGTTCCGTTGCGGAGGTAGTAACCGGGTCCGAAGTGAAGGGGGCCGCGGGGAGTGAAGCCGAAGTGTGCCTCGACGAGGTAGAGAAAGTCGTCTTCGGTGGCACCGCAGAGCTTGAATGTCTTTAGCGCGTTGACTACTCCTGAGAAATTGCTGTGGAGATTCATTATGGATGGAAAGGGGCGGTATCCGATGAAGGCGGCACTGGTAGGGAGAAACGTCGATGCCTGGTCGGAGTCAGCGCTCTCAGATGAGCGTTTTCCATTATCTGTGTTGGCCATGATGCTTGTGGCCGCCGAAGTGACCGCGTAACAAGAAATATCAGATGATTAGGTGTTTTGTCGAGTGACCGGAATGTTAGGGCACACGGTCTCGGGAAGAGAAACTTGAAGTGAGCGATATAGCAGAGAAACAGCTTACGACGCCACAGCGAGAAAAATTGTTAGGGAAGCCATTGAGCAAAAGAAGCTGCCTAGACAACGGGGGAAAGGATGACCGAAGTGAGATAAGCTAGCTTACCTAGGTAGGTAGGTATGTATTGTGCCCCTGCCTGGAATGGCCTGACCTAGGATTTAGACGAGTAATTTGCTGCAGCTGGGAAGCCAACTGCATTATAAAGTAACCATTAGGTGTTCCAACCAGGTCTGAAGAATGCGGTGAAACGGCGGGAAAGGAACGGCCTTACCCGGACATACGCACTGTGTCGGAGGCATATTGTTATGGTATAGTGTAGATTGACAAAGCGCTGCACAGGAATAAAACCACTACGGCCCTGCAGGCCAGAATACAACCACCAGGGAGCAACCAGAATGGTAGCCCCACATCTCCTCAGGCACAGTATATACTGTGACACATATTGCATATCAACTGGGCGATGTGACTAATCTCCAGGCAACTACCTGCCTATATTCACTCTGGGCTGGATGGAAAAAAGGTTTAGGAAAGGTCCTGTCCCCTTGTATGACTAACCGAGCCAGGTTAGGTTTCCGAGCCCAATAGGTAGGTACCTATCCAGCTGGTACCTAGCTCTTCGATCGAGTCTTTGCTACGGTGCCGGACCATTGTCACGGTGCGCGCGAAATCCCAGAGCTTGCGAAATGCTACCTAGGTGACTAAGGTAGGCATATTGATCGGTAGGCCATCATGTCGACTTGACTTCAACGCTGACTGAAGTAACTAACCGAAACAGAGAGGGGTGTCTAATACCAATTCATGGGTGATTTGAACTTGGCATGTAACTGGATATTGTCGTCTGGACAGAAGAGAGATACCCAAAAGAGCTTACCAGTGAGATATCACGAAGAACACATAATCCATCTGCGCCACTCACAAAAGCTTTGCCCCGGACAACCCCAACGCCACATACACCACCCACCAGCTGCCAACCCAAGCCAATCAACCATACACTCAGCCCAGCCCAACCCCACTATACGATTCCAAGTCCCAAGTTAGCATTCCGTGGGCGCGGTAGTACAGCTGTTAGTGCATTCCCGAGTTCGAGCGAAGACCCAGGTTGACTCCTGGCCCGGCCACATAACGTCTGCTTGTTCTTCCAGCGTTGCTTTTTTGTATTTTCTTTTGCCCTGACACCACCTTGTCTGACTGTAACCATCTAATCTTATCCTATTCATTTGCTCTGTTCAGCCCTGCTTCAAGAAAAAGCTCCGCTTAGTCTTTGACAGCGAAGATCTTATAAGATCCTGTAAATCATGTCAGCTACCGTGCTCTGGTCTCCTCTATACGCAAAAATGCTAACTTACCAACGAACTCATTGAGATCTGTCCTCCCCACATCACTGCTATCGGTAGTGGCAGAAGAACAAGATGGCGTCGCTTTCTTGGCCTCATCCCCACCATCGCAAGCAGAAACAGCGGCAACAGGTCCACAACAATCCCCAGACTTTTTGGTCCCATCCTCTTTGGTGTCCAAATAGACATTCAGATCGGCCTGTGTATCCGTGATGACCGAGTCTTTGAACCCCGCCTCCCTGAACCAGTTCTGATAGTCGGCAACCTCGGCGGCACCGGCAATACATCCAACGTACATGGCAATATCCTTTCTCAGCTGATCCGGCAGGGGCTTCTTGGCAAGAATGTCCGACACGGCAACCCTTCCACCGGGCTTCAGAAGACGGTACATCTCCTTGAAGACATGATTCTTCTCTTCGTATGGGACCAGGTTGATCACGCAGTTTGAGATTATGAGGTCGGCAGTAACGTCTGGGAGAGGGACAGAGGTGATATTGCCTTTGATGAAGGTGACGTTGGAAACCGAGCTGCCGCGGGAGGCCTTGATCTTTTCGGCGCGGGCGAGCATTTCCTAGCAACCTTGTCAGCGGTGTGTTGAGAGAACGCGGAAGTTGCCGGATAAGAACGGACATCATTGATGTCTACGCCAATGGCTCTTCCACTGGAACCAATCTTTGTCGAGGCGAGGAAGATGTCGAAGCCCGCACCGCTGCCTAGGTCGATGACCGTCTCACCCTCTTTGAGGCTGGTAATGGCAAGTGGATTGCCGCAACTGAGACCCAGGTTGGCGTCTTCGGGGATGTTGGATAACTCGTCCTCGCTGTATCCGAATGACTTGGCCACACTCTCTCCGTACTTTGGGGCCGCCGTTCGAGAGGCACTGCTGTAGTGCTCCCGGACTTGGGCGTAGATCTGCTCGGTTGAATCCATGCTTGGATGTTCAATAGAAGTTCATAAAAGGCAGGTCGTGTAGGACAATCCGACAATATAGAGGCCGCTGTGAAGGCCAGACTACCTGGTGGTTCTGAGAAGTTGTTGTGCGAAACCTAAAGCTAGGATCAAAACCGGAGTCCTAGAAAAGGGTATTTATCTTTGTTGATCTACACTCTTTACTAAGCCTGATTCTCGTGAGGTGCATTTGATGTGCTGCGTGTTGTCGAGGTTTGAGTGGTATGTCATTGAAAGTGGACCAGATATGGTTAGCGCGAGGTCCACTAGATGACGCGCCAGCCCAATGTGGAAAAGATTTGGTTTGTCACCAGAATCTTGCCCAGTGCTCTCCCGTCCTCACCAATTCCCTTCATCTGCCTCGTCTAGATCTGTACCAACCTGGCTTCGCTCCCGATATTTGACCCTGATTGCCTGCAAACATGCCACGCCAGCCTACATTTCAAAGCAGTATCACCAAATTTTCAGCCAAACCTCCAGGCCACGACGCGGCGCGCCAGCGAGAGAACCAGCGACGTCATCGTGCCAGAGTCAAAGGGCGTATATGTGATTTGGAGGCCACATTGGCCAGTACCCAAAGCAAACTAGACGATGCGCTGAAGCAGATCGAGGAGCTCCATGCCGAAATCTCCCGACTACGTGCTCTCCAGCCTCCCACCCTCCAAGCCAACGAAACGTCAAGCTTGATCACCTGTCACGCTGGCGTCGATTCATCAGACATCCAAGAGAGCCTTAATGATATCGACGATGTCCCAGAGCCGATGCCGGACAGTCCTATGCCGGCGTCACCCCAATCTACCGCCGCCATTGAAGACTCGAATAACGATGGCCCTCTTCTTCCCCCAACACATCCTGATGAATCAACCATTACCTGTCGTGACGCCTATGCTATAATAATGGACCGGAACACATCAGACTTAGACTCGGAGACGATGAACCAATGGCTTAAACCCGGATTTCGGCGAGCTGCAGTCCCTGGATCTGGCTGTCGGATCGAAACACATGTCTTGTTTGCCTTTATTGACCACATCACATCAACCTGAGACACGACTACAAAAGAATGGTGTCGGTTCAAATCTCATAATTATGCACGACAATCACATGCCAGCCTGCAATTGGCCAACGAGCAGAAGCACCTGGGGTGGGGCTCAACATCAACCTTCAGAATTTACCTCGCGTGATCTTCCCGGTTGCACCGCATACAACAACTACCAGAATGACACACTTCAACCATCTAGGTCACATCTCTATCGGGGTGCGTGACTACGTTGTCTCCCGGGCCTTTTACACGGCGGTTCTGGCGCCTCTCGGCCTCCGACTCGTGTACGACAGCGGACCTGTTTCCGACCCATCCACCGGCAAAGTCCGAACACTTGGGTACGGCCCGGACGAAGAGCATGAGCTTCTTAACATCTTCGAGCACCAGGACGCCGCCACCCCGGGACCGGGGTTCCACATCGCCTTCAATGCGCCGACCAGACAAGCTGTCGTCGATTTTCATGCGAAAGCAATCGAGTTTGGGGGCACTGACAATGGGACACCTGGAGTGAGGGAGCACTATGGGAGGAATTATTTCGCTGCCTTTGTCGTTGATCCAGATGGTTGGAGGCTGGAAGCCGTTTGCAAGGTTCCCCTTGAGCAAGAAGAGCCTTCTGAGACAAGACGTTAGATGGCGTGGAAACACACCAGTCGTGCGATGCAGGACGGCGGATTACTAGTTGAAATGACCATAATTGGGGCGAACACTGCTACTTGTTGTGTGTTCTACAGGTCACGTTTCTCCCACCTACCAGTCAGCCATCACGTCACCATCTGAACATTTGGTCCGGCTCTTCACTTTCGGGCTTAATGGTATCATTCAGGGGTTCCTATAAGCGACCGTTTAACCCGGACCGCCGGTATATGATCACTCGGTAGGCTGTTCCGAGTTTGCGGGAATCTGGGGTGAAGCGGATGGATTTCATTGGGGCGGATATCTGCCATGATTGCCAAACTGAGAAACCCACGATGCTACCACCCAAGACCCTGACGACGGTCCGATTAAGCATTTTACAATCAGCCACCAAAAGTACAATTGTTACCTTTTCCCGGTCGTTGACTTGTCATAATTGGACTCGGCAAATGGAAGCGGCTCTTGGAGCTATCACATTGGGAATGTGCGGATGGTAGCAAGCGTACAAAAACGTGCTGACAAGGATCAATTGGTGGAAATTCAGTTAACATCGTACTATTAAATCATATAGGACGCTGGAGCACACGTTACCCGCGCTAATAGCATCATATGTGTCATATCTTGGATCTCGTAGGGCCGACTGGAATGTATCGAGCCGCAACACCAGCATCCACAACGGCCCGGAACCATTCCGTGGCTAAGTAGATCGGGGCCGTGGTCCGAGAAAATCAACATCACGCCTCTCTCGAGGCGGGATGTTCAAAACCATCGTCGTGATGGCCCTTGTCAAGGTTATAAAACCAACGGCTTGTCTCCCAGCCCCAACACCTGTCCAGCAGGCAAGATCATCATCGCCACCGGCCCAAACCCCTCCCCAACCGCAACCATGAAGGTCTCCACCCTCCTCTTCGCCGCGGCCAGCATGGCCCAAGCCTCCAGCCTCATCCCCCGCCAGCGAGCCTCCCTCTGCGAGCTCTACGCCTACTGGTCCGGCAACGGCTACGAGCTCCTCAACAACCTCTGGGGCAAAGACACGGCCACCTCTGGCTCCCAGTGCACCTACCTCAACGGCGCCTCCAACAACGGCATCTCGTGGTCCACAACCTGGACTTGGCAGGGCGCTCCCGACAACGTCAAGAGCTACCCTTACTCGGGCAGGCAGGTTGCCAAGGGGAGGAAGATCAGCTCCATCAACAAGATGCCGACGAGCGTCACGTGGAGGTACGACAATGAGAATGTGAGGGCGAATGTGGCATATGATGTCTTCACGGCGGCGGATCCGGATCATCCTAATTACGGGGGGGATTATGAGTTGATGATTTGGTGAGTGCTTTTTCCCTGGACAGCTAATTGTTGGTGGGATCATGCTGACAAGAGGCGGGGGGCGACTGCGTAGGTTGGCAAGATATGGGAATGTTTATCCCATTGGTACCAAGGAGCGGACCGTCACCCTTGCTGGGAGGTCTTGGGACTTGTGGGTGGGGTGGAACGGGGCTATGAGGGTGTACAGCTTTGTTGTTCCCTCGGGGACGGTCAAGAGCTTTAGCGCTGATGTGAAGGAATTCTTCCGGTATTTGGAGAGCAATTACCAGTACCCGTCCAGTCAGCAGAACTTGATTGGTGAGTCCTGCACTATCTCCACGGCGAGGGGTGATGATTGGTTTACTGACTTTTGCTTGTGTAGTGTACCAAGTCGGCACTGAGGCCTTTACTGGTGGTCCGGCGACTTTTACTGTCGATAACTTCTCTGCTGACTTGCAGTAGCGTGACAGAGATATGTTCGGGGATTGATTGATTGCCGTACTGTCTCTTGTGGTGGTCATGTTTCTGGTTGGACAATGAAGGAATTATCATGATGCAAGGACATGTAGATATTGTATCTAGAATAACATCTTGTTTTATACGCACATATGGCGGGTTTATCTTGCAAATCAGAGTAGCCTATGTCAACCCAAACATACTCATAATCGTGGCCCCGGCGGTGGACCAGCGATTCTTCCCATAACAGCAAGCAGGAGAATGCCCAACAGGACCCAGATCCACCAAGGCCTTGACTTCTTTTCCTCTTGCTCAGGTGCCTCACTGGCTTCCGGTCAATGTTTAGTGCTTGTTGTTGACAATGATGGATGATGGACTCTAACCTTTCGGACTCTTTGGCAGTTGCCTGGCCTGCCTTGTGTAGCTCGTGGCTTGAGTTCTCGCACTCGCTGTTCGAGTGTTTGCCAGTGAAGTCGTCGGCTGCTGCGGTCATGGCCTGCACTGCTGGGGTGCGCGCTGCTTCTGGGGTGCGCGCTATTGAAGGGCTCGCGGCTGGTCTGCTCGCTATTGTCGTCTTTTTTCGGCTGCATCTCCCCCATCACATACTCCATTTTATCCATCCCAAACATGATGTCCCCTTTCTCTGGCACCACAACGTTGATGGACGATGCGCCGAACATGATCGCAGTCGTAGCGTCTGGCTTCTCGATAAACACGGCGACGCTTGCTGCTGCGGTTGCTGTACCAGTAGCTGTCACCGTTGCTGTACGGTGCGTGTTGGTGCCATCAGGTTGGCGCGCAGCGCTCCTCAATCGTGCATAATATCGACAGAACCTTGCAGTACGGGCACACTTGATTCGCCTGGGGTAAGCACGTGAACGTCGCCGAGGCAAGACCTGCCAAGGCGAGAAGGTGATGGAGCCGCATCGTTTGCTTGTGAGTTGCGTTGTGCTGGAAGACGAGGGTCAGATGAAGTGGTTTGGGGAGCCGGAGTTGTTTGGTGGTGGTTGAAGACGGAGATCCGGATTTCCATTGCTTAGGTGGGCCACATCCTGCTGTTGAGGACGCTTTACCTTCGCAACAGCCTCATGTGGCTTGAGGCTGTAACAGACAGCACGTTTGCTCCGCATTCTGCGAGATTGAAGTTCTGTGGCTATCTTTCAAGGTACACGTGGCTGGCGGCTCGTGGACCGCCATTCAGACCTCTACAACCCTCTCAGGGTCGAAGCCTGGCGACATGCCTTTACCGGCAACGAAACCGTACCCCTTTTGGTTCGTACACACTCTCTTCCCATCTACCGAAAAATCACAGTTAAAATGCGTATGCCCAAACGCCCAGACCTTCACCCTGTCACTCCTCCAACACTTCTCACGGCTCAGGTCCGTCCTAAACGCACTCGCCACTGCCTCCCATCCCTTCACACGCTCATGCTGAGCATCATTAGCCCTCCGATCCGTCGTTGGGCTGTGATGAGTGAAAATAACCACCTTCCTTTTCTTCCCCTCCTTCGCGTCCTCCTTCTCAATTTTCTTCACCTCTTTATTAAGCCAGTCTTTATCTGCCTCGTGCGCTTTATTATGGTCCTTCACGGTCCACCCTTTGATCCTATAAAAGTCATTCAACTTTCTCGTCACCTCGTCCTTGTACTTGGATGCCACATAAGAGTGGAGGGTACACCCCAGCACAGTCACAACCCCCCCTTCCTCACCCTTGATATCATATCTCGTCCTATCAAGCGGGACAAAGTCTCCCAGCTTCTCCCCTTCTTTCCTCCTCTGCTCCACCAAAACCGACATCTCCTCCAAAAACAAACTAACCTCCTCCCAAGAGGAGGAATATGGCTCGTGATTTCCCGCAACAAAAAACACAACTTTGAACTTGCCAAGTTGGATAAGAAGGAATTTCCTCAAAGCATCGCGTTGGGTTATGAGGCCGATGTCGCCGAGTAGGGCGAGGTAAGGCGCGCGGGGTTCAACGTGGAAGGCAGAGTAGCCATGCTCTGCGAATTGCTCGGCGGGTGAGACCTCCAGGTGCAAGTCGGACAGGATTTGGAATTTGGCCATGTTGATGTTGATGGGGGGTTGTTGGGCACTGGAGGAGGATGATGAGAGCTGCAGTGGTTGGAAGACCTCTCTTGGCTGAAGCAGACTGCCCCACCCCACGTGGACGGGACGCCAAGAGCTGTGCTTGCACGGTATGGCCTGTCTCCACAGCGACCTTGTCGCCGTGGAAAAGGAGGTCATGATGTTGGGTTGGTTTATGGGTTATTGCGACGTTAGTGGGGGTTGTTTTCGGCGGTGTATGAATGAGAGAGGAAAGAAAACAGAAACTCTTATGGTGGGTTCAAATTCTTTTGGGTTGCGAACAAATCGATCGATCCAATGTTGGTACCTACCTGACAAGAGAGACTGTTGGCTCAACCATTACCCACTTCTCCATCAAACCGTGAAGTGCGTTACATGAAAGAGGAAAGAAGCATCTTCCATAAAACCCTGGAATCTGAATTTTCATATCAAAATCGTTATACTTGCGCCACAGAAGCCCACGGTTAAGTTCCCCACCGTAACTTCCACAATACCTTACTTCTCGTTCGGTCCCAAACGCTCACTCATCAAACCCTTCTCATTATTTAGGCGAGTAAACACCTCGGACCCTCACAATGGCTCGGCACTCCTGCCTCTGCACTTTTGCATCCAGGGCTCTCAATGTGATCCTAATTTACATGCTTTTCTACCACCCAGAAGAAGCATGCCCGCCCTGCGAGCCAGAACCATGCCCAACCTACAGGTGTGAAGGATCTACATGTCTTGTTGCAACAGCTGTGTATGTATCGTACCTGACTCAAGATTCATATCCCGGAGTCGGATTGAACCGACCACCTATTCGTCCGTGTGTCCTATCGGAATGCCCACTAGCAGTTACCCACCTTTCTTCAGTACGCCCCTGTCACAATTGTTGTTGAAAATCGATCTAAACCTTGTATTGACTCTGGTAGGGCTTTATGGAACAAGCATGGTACTCTTTAATGGTAATCGCATCTTCCTTCGTGTTGGAGCGGGTGGTGAAAGTCTGTCGACAGTACGGGGCATGGAAGGCGAAGATGCAAAGGAGGACGTGAGACATTAATCAAGGCACATGAATGTCATGCAAGCAGACCATTTCTAGGGTATTTACCTTATCAAATGACTTAAGGTACCAGTGAACTCCTATTTTCCGAATCTGCCTGGTGAGGATGGCCGTCTTCGTGCCTGCATCGAATCAGACAATGGCGCTGTCTCAGAAAATGATGTAATGCACCACCCAAATTGATCGCTACAGCTCCCAAGCTAACGGGAGATCGGAGTGACGCACAGCTTTGTCAGAGACATGTGCATCAAAGATCAAAGATCACTATTTATCACATAAAAATCCCACTCCTCCTATGTGTCGGTCGACGGGGTCTAGCAATCACCATATCTCAACAGCTTCCTTCAATTTGTCTTCAACCAACAACATTGGAACCAATAATCATCTCTACACAAATCATGCCAAGCAGCAAAGGAAAACCCACAGACCCACAGCTTCGAGAGGAACTCAAGGAGGGTGGGTACTGGTCCAATCAATGCACCAACACTCTTAAAGAAGAAATGCTGACCATTATGCACAGAAATCAAGCAAGAACCCAATAAATCCGGCGATGGAAAGGGACAGTGGGCAGCATGGAAAGGGATGAAACTGGCTAAAGAGTACGAAAAGGCAGGCGGTGGGTATGAAAATGAGCCTGGCTCCAAAAATGAGCCCAAGTCTGGGACGCCAGTTGCGAAAAGTGAGAAGAAGAAGAACGAAGAGATGGAAGAGTAATGTGTGTCTGGAGAGATATTAATTTTTCCTGCTGGCAAGGCCGGTGGTGATTGACGCAATCGGGGTCATCAGTTGTTAAGGGATAGGTGTTTACGCCATCTGCTCGTGTTCTTTGAGCACACTCGGACGACCATGTTCTAGTTACGGCTTCATTCAGCCACATAAAAGGTTACCACAACCATGTGAACCATTCATGCTCAAAAATGCTCCTGCCTTGTTACACTGTCCAACCCAATGTGGCGCCAGTAGCAGTTGAACCCTCTCGGGCCCGAATCTGACACGGCTGCACACTTTGTCTTTGACAGCTGTTTTCAAGCCACCATCAAAGTATATAATCAACAATTTCCTTCCACCATCAATTTTCTTCCACCATCAATTTCTCTTCTCGAAAAAACAGAACCGGCTCTCTACATGAAACAAATAGTCACGGCACAGACAGTAATGTCTTCTGAGTCTGCTGCCACCTAAACCCATCAGTTCCTTCTAGTATCTAGGTGTGCATCTCCAACACCGCATTTCAGATACAAGAACCCCCCATTCCCATTCCCAACTCCAAAGTCCAATCTTCCCATGCATCTCAAACCCCAATGTCCCTCCGTCACCTCCTCACGCGCCTGATCAACCATCTCCCTCCCAACCACCGCCGTGCAAAGTGTGTTGTGAATTGGTGAGAGGGCAGGGCGGGGGATTGGATACGGTGCAAGGAAATGGGTGCGGTGCAAGGAAATGGGTACGGAGAGGGAAGGGCAAACGCGTGATGAAAGGGAAGGGGAAATGTAGTTCCTTCGACAACATGGCGCCTGGCATGGAAAGTTCAGGTCCAAAACTATACTAACGGAACGCCACCACGAAGTGGTGACCGCTTTGATCTAGGATTTACGGCTCTATGGACCTTCTCTCACGCACAACGGCATTGTGGGTGTGACCACCGCACTCGGTGACGCAATAAGAAAATGATGAAAACATGGCAGCTGAAGGAGGGCTTTTAACCCCCCGCTGCGTCTGAGTCCATCTGCCGACCGTCACGACTTTCGAGAAGGGCTTTTAACCCCCTAAGTCTGAAAGCTGGCTCTCAGTCTGAAGAAGAAGAAGAGAAGAGAGTGATAAATGGAGAGATCGGCCTGGATTTATCCACAAGATTTCTTGGGCCATGGGTGGGAGACGAGTTCGGTCCCAATCTTGTCTGATGAACCGTGTCCGAGGGTGGATGGGAATGGGAAGGGACGAGGTGGCAAGTGGCCTCATTGTGAACGTTCCTTCAAATTGAATGGGACAAAGTTGTCCGTCAGTTGGTGTCTATGAAAGGAGCCCATATTGCCAAGTGGTATCGGGGTATGAACGATGATCAGAGTCTACAAGGCCAGAGATTGGCTGGATGGATCGGCATGTGTCACTGTTTATGCATCTGTTTGGAGCTTCATTTGAAGTCTGGTCATTCTCTGTACACGGCAGCTACATATCATAATATCAAGACACTGTATAGATGCGGCTCCGAATATCTACCTGCAGACAGTCGTCATATTGAGAGTGGACCAGTGCTGTCTGCGATGTCTCGAGAGTCACTCTATACCTCAAGGTGCCATATGCTGTTATGGATGTGATGAATGTATAGACATAATGGTACTTTTGATTACAACTAAGCTTCTTCTGATATTTCAGCTTTGAGTTGGCACCTTCATTGTTCGGTAATCCCTGGACCGTCGGATTCCAGAGAGCCCAAGCATGAATTTCCAGCCGACAAACTTAAATCTCAGTCTCACTCATACTACGTTTCATAGGTATTCAAGTGTCTTGTTTCTTCAGAATTGGTGTGCATGTTAAGAGGCCCCATAATCTAGACAAATTCCTCCACCTCAAGATAGCTTACTACATCTGAGCTATGAGCTATGAGCTATGAGCTATGAGCTATGAGCTATGAGCTATGAGCTATGAGCTATGAGTTATGAGCTGTGAGTTGTGAGCTCTGGTTGTGGAGTGGTCGCGGCAGTTGAGACCCGCTTCCGAGCAACGTCCCGCCATTCCAAGTCGACGCCAAGGTGCCAGATGGCCTGTGCGCCGAGGCTTGGCGGGGCGGATGAGATAAGCGTGCATGGATGCAAGCCACCGTGGTACCCTTGGACCAAGCTTCCGTCCTGTTGGAGGAGACAAGCCCGGCGCCTTCACCTAGCGACAAGAGTGCCGTCCTGTTGACAATGCGCAAGGGCAACCGACAGACAGCCTGACCTCACCAACCTCGACCGAGACACATGGAAGCGCGCCTTGCACTTTCGAATTTGCCCGGCAGATAGGGGGGGAAATCTAAAGCTCGGGGTCCAAGAAGGTACGCATCTCCAACCTATTCCTGCTGTCCCGCACGGCGAAAGCGGTTGCGTCAGGTTGCGCTGCCTGGGGGTTCTGGGGAAGGTTCACTCACTCACCTCCAGCTCTTTTGCTTTGCTCTGCTTTGCTTTGCTCTCTGCTAAGCCCCCCAATCTCGAAATCAACACAACAGCTGGCTGGCTTCTTTAGTCAATGGCATCTGGTATTTAGCTAATAATAATACTTTACGTCTTTTCAGATTACCGTCTTCTCCACGGCCCCGAAACACGACGACTCCCGTCCCGAGACCGGCCATTTGCTCTGTGTCGCCGCCACACATCGTCGCGTTTGACAAAGCTTCGCTGTCCACCTTTTTCTCTTGAGGCTGGGACAGTTGACCCCGAGTACGTCGAATCGTCCAGTCTGCTTGCCCGCCAAATCAAGACCCAAGTCCAGCTGCAATGGACGACTCGTTGGGGCCACCCCCTGGTGCTTCCTCAGCTTTCCCTGCCTCTGGCGGGGGAGCAGGAGCAGCCTCTCTCGGTTTCGCCGCATTCGACACCATATCGCGTGCGACATCCCCTGGAGTACCTTGTGCCGACGGCCAGGAAGATGACAAGAAAAGATACCGGCCCCGCACCTTCCAATATTTCCGGCTGCTGCCGTTCGATGTTGAGGACGACGCACACAGAGATGATGCGCTTCAGGGTATCTTGAAGAACCTCTACATCTCCATCATGGCCGAGGACTTCTCCCCCGGCGCGCTGCACTGGACTCGCGAGCTGCAAGGGTGGCTGAATCTCAAATTCGAGATGACAAGGGAGCTTCGTGCCAAGCTTACACATCTGTATTATCACCTGGCCCTCGCCCCAGGCCTTGACAGTAATACCGCCGACAGATTTGCGAGAATGGTAGTCACGTTAACTAGGTACGTTCTATCCTCTTGTCACGATGCGGGGACCAAAGCTAATACGGCCGTGATGGTAGGAAAAAACATTACTTGAAGGCTGGTCAAGATTTGACTCTGGATTGGCGGCCGCTTTGGAAAGAGCTCAAGGCTATGGTCCTCCCTTCTGAAGTTCCACACCATCAGGGACAACGCAGACGGTCTCACAAACACATCCTGAAACTCTGCCTCCACGTCAACTCGTATTTCGACCCCAAGGAGCGCGGTGCCATATTGGAAGAGTTGCTGCCTTTCTTCAGTACATCGGCCATGAGCAATGCCTACATTGTTGTTGGAGCCCTCAACATTCTTGTTCCCACCGGGCCAGCACCGCCGACGGACCGGAACTCGCAGCCATCGGACTACGCGCCAACCTTTTTCCACCTCTGGCAGCTTATGACGCGGTCCAAGGCGTTTGACGTGTGCTTCATCGACATCTTCTCCCGCATGGCGAGAGACTATTTGGGCTGTCGGCATGTTCCATTTACAGAGCACGGCATCTTCACCCGCGAGCAATCAGATGCCATTTTCACGGCTATTTTGAGGTTAACAGAAATCCCCGTGGGTCAGGCTAATAGTCCATACTCATCACTGGACTACGCCTCAGGTCTCGGCGTGTATCTGGAAAAAGACAAAAAGAAATACCCTGTGCCATACATGATTGCGAGATGGATCACCCACTCGCTGTCACCCACGTGCCTCAACCAGGAACCATCCATCTTGACCAACCTGGAAGGCTTGATGGAGTCCATCGACACTTTCTTCCACCCCTCCAATCAGGGATCGTGGACTAGTTTCCTCGCGCAGCTTACGTTTTTTCTTACCGACATATTTGTCTCTCGTTGGAACCGTGAGCAGAGTGGGGAGTTGGACATTCCGGAGGATCGGCGCATCAACGATGCTCTCAAGAAGCGGTTTGTTCTTGCTTTGAAGGAGGTCACCTTTATGGGTCTTTTCGGTAAGAGCTCCAAGGTGGTGAATTACTACTATTCGACTCTTCAAGGACTGGCATACCTGGAGCCTGACTTGATCTTGCCAGGCGCGCTACAACGCTTCTACCCGAGCTTGCAGGGCCTGGTGGAAGTGCACCGAACTACATCGAGTTTGTGTGGCCTTCAGATGATTGCCAACATCATGTCCAAGCACAAAGGTTATCGCTGTCACCTCACGGCTTTGTTGGCACTCGCTCTGCCTGGTATTGATGCCAACGACCTCGGGAAGACACAATACACACTGAACTTCATTCAGAGTGTCGCCTACAGCATACCATTTGTTCCGTTGGTGAAGGAGGGAGGTATCCGTGACACCAACCTCGCCCAGAGTTGGGTGCAAGGCCAGATGGAAAGAATGGAGGCCGAGGGACAAGACGTCAAGATCAACTACAACGAGGAGTTGAGTGATGAGGATGAGGCTGAAATTCTGCGCTCTTCTACGGCGGGGTTGGGCGAGTTTGTGTTGGCACTTTTGGGCAAGGTCTTTGCACTGCTCGAGAATCTACCGGACTCGAGCCACCTACGCACCGGGTCACCTGAGGACAATGTGATCAACACGCTACCTGCCGCTCTGACGCCCCTTTTCGCCTCTTTGTCGCCCGAGCTATTCGACATGGCTCTGGAGAAACTCGCCAACTTCGTGTCCAGCCATGTTGTTCACCAAGCGCGGGATGCCATGGCCTGGATTTGCAATGCGCTCTGCAAGGTCAGCCCCGAAAAGACTTTGAAGGTATTCATCCCAATGTTGATCGTCAACATTCGCAACGAGATTGACTACAACGGCGCTGCTTCTGACCGGAGTAGCGGGACTGAGGTCCTCCCCCGCGACCGGGCTCTCGTCTGGCATGTCAGCATGCTTTCAATGTGTGTTGTGCATGTCGGCGGCGAGGTGCTGATGTACAAGGACGATCTCTTTGGCATTGCAGAGTACATGCAGGAAAAGTGCCGTGGGCTCCCCACGATACACATTTCCAACTACATTCATCATCTGTTGCTCAACCTGACCCACACCTACCCCATCGACAATGCGCTTTATGAACCTGATCGTGTTGCCCGCGGCTTGGATGTCGAAGATTGGGGCAGGCCAACCAAACCCTCGGAGCTTACCATCAGGTGGCATCGGCCTTCTCACGATGAGATCTTGTTCGCCGTCGAGTTGTTCGAGAGTCAAACACGAAGCGCGGCGCAACGGCTCGAGCAGCTCATGAGCGATGACCCCCCTGTCAGCAGAAAGGGAAAGAACAAGGAATGGTCCGACGAGCTATCCCGAAGCCTGACTGCTCTTAGGCTGATCATATCAGGCGTCTCGACCCTGTTTGATCCACAAAGGGCCTCTGGCGAGATCAGCACCCAGTCTAACGGCAATGGGACCGCAGAGGCTGATGGGGACGCCATGATGGAGGAAGATGACGATCCCCTTGCCGAGGTTGCGGACGACGAGGAGCTCAAGAGGCAGTTCCATTATCCCGCTGGGTACATTTTGAAGCCCGAGGATCCCATCTACAACCGCATCCACGAACTACGCGAAGATGTTGGGAGGCTGCTCTCCCGGACACACTATTTTCTGAACGCCAACCAGCAGGATGATGTTGCATGCTTCACGTCCCTCTACGCAACCTATAGAACATGGATCACCGACGTTGGGATCGAAAGATCAGCACATCCGCTGGAGCGGCTCGTGCGCTTGTACAAGGCCGACATCTCACCTTTCAAGATCAGCGGTCTGCGCAAAGTGTATCCTCGACCGCTCCTTATCAAGCGTGCGGATGCCTATCAGTTGCAGCGTGTCAAGTACAACTCGGCCTACCGCAAGAAGAGCGAGCTTGACAAGCAACTGCTGCTTGATCTTGCCGAGTCTTGCACATCGTCGTATGCGGATGTTCGAAGAGTGGCCCAAGGTGCCCAGGACTCGTCCCTCAAAGTCTTGATTGGCGGTCGACCCTTGGTCATTCCCGTCATCATGGCGCGACTTCGCAAGGCCCTTGACGAAAACGATCACGACCGGATCAAGGGTGCCATGTACACACTCTTGTTTACCACGCTTCTCAAGACACTGATGCGGGACTGGAGGTTTGCCCCGGATCTCATGCGCATGTACATCGAAACAGCTGCCGTCGACAAGACCTCTATTCAGAACCTGGGGTCCACTGCACTCTACCCTCTGCTTGACTTTGGTAAGCCGTTTGAGCGTTTGATCATATTCGACCGCGAGGTTGTGCAGACCATTCGGCCACAGGAAGATTGTTCAGCAGTCATCAAGCGACGCCACGACTTCATCACAGAGCGTCGCACCAAGGTGGAAGGGAAGAAGGAAGCCCTGGGATTGGAGCTCACGGAAAAGGCCAAGACCACTCACTGGAAGATTGCGAGCCGGTGTGCCATCTTTGCGCTCAACTGCTGCCTCCGCTTCGAGACGCTGGCCAACCGGGAGCTGATCGAGCTTGTCGCCAATGGTACCAACGACCCTCATCCAGGGTTGCGCTCCAACTACCTGTCAGCCTTCTCGGCCATCTTTACCGCCATCGATATCCGAGCAGTTTACAGCCACGAGTATCGCAACTATTTGATCGAGGAGGAGCACGAGGAAAACAGATATCAGATCCCCGTGCCGACAGATGACCCCAACCTGACAGACAACTTTCTCTCCCAATTTGAGAAGTTTGATGGCACCGATTACTTTGTCGACTGTGACTATCCTGGTTGGCTGGTTTGGGGAAAGCAGTTCCCTGTGTCGCGTGCCAACCCCAAGCCGTTCTTGGCCTATGATGAGGTGGAAGACCGTGTGCGCGTTCAGATCGGTCAGATCATCACCAGGGACTGGTTCAAGAAGTGCTTCGAGTATCTCAAGCAAGAGCCCAGGGATGCTGGTGTGGATCGGTTCAGGATGCAAAATCTGCTACTGCTCATGAATGTGTTTGACCTGATGCACTACGGCAAGACGGCAGCGACATTCGATGACATTGTGGAGCTGGTGAAGGACGTGTATGGTGATGGCACCGATAAGCACCAACACCGCGCTACGGCTGAAATTCTCGGGGCGTTGCTGTCAGGCAGCGCTGATGATCCTCGTGAATTTAGGGACCGGGTTTGGAACTTTGCCGCCCCCCTCATGCTCAAGATCATCGCTGATGACTTGACGCCCGATAACCTCCAGTACTGGATGACCTGTCTTCACATAATTATTGACGGCAAGGATCCACGACGATGCAGGGAGCTGACAGAAGCGCTGTCTTCCTTCCGACTCGACAAGAACTCCAATGCAGCCTTCAAGGAGTCGAGCAAGGTTCAGCTTGTCGAGTTCATCATCAATGATGCTGGCTGGCACTTCAGGCATGAGAAGCCCATCTTGGAGGACTTTTTGGCACACATTGACCACCCGTACAAGTCTGTGCGAGAGTCCATTGGCCGTGTCATCGCGACCATCTACCGCACACGGTATCACGAGTCGTTCAAGAATGTCACCGAGCTTCTCGAGAAGAACAAGGCTGCGTCCTCGATCGGTCTCCGGGCGTACCAACCTACCGAGGAATTCTCGGCCACCATCAAGGACGTCTTTGCTCGCCTGGAGAAATGGCGCCACGAGCGGACGGCCGGTCAGCAAACCCCCTCCAGCTACACTTCGGGCTCCAAGACGGTTCTCATTTGGCTTGACAGCATGCTTTCGTCCCAAGAGTGCATCCAACTCGTCCCATTCTTTCCCGACCCGTTCATTGACCAGCTGCTGCACATGATGGATGTCAAGGAAGATCCTGAGCTGATGAAGCTCGCTTACCACGTCTATCGCCACCTGCCCAACATCCCTTTCCGATCGGGTGAGGACGACGCGTTCATCGCTGCGCTCATCAGAGTCGGCAAGACGGCCGTCTCCTGGCATCAACGTTTACGAGCCTTGGTCAACATGCAAGTCGTCTACTTCCGCCGACTCTTTCTCACGCAGCCCGCCCAACGCCAAATGCTCTTTGACGCAGTGGGGGACATGCTCTCTGACCCCCAGCTCGAAGTCCGGGATTGTGCTTCGGCCACCTTGGCGGGCATGATTCGCTGCTCGCCCGACCCGATCCGCAGCCCGATTATTATCCAGCTCAAGGATCGGTTCGAGCTAGAGCTCCAGCTGAATCCCATGCCGAAGAAGAAGACCAAGGTGCCTGGGACGGACACACCGGTGGACACGCAGAAACAGATTGTCAGGAGACATGCGGCCGTGCTTGGGTTGGGGGCGCTGGTTGAGGCTTTCCCTTACGCAACGCCGGTGCCCAGGTGGATGCCCGAGGTGTTGGCTCACTTGGCGACAAGGGCGGCCAACGACCCGGGAGTTGTGGGCAAGGCGACCAAGGCGATCTTGGCGGAGTTCAAGAAGACGAGGCAGGATAGTTGGAGTGTGGACCAGAAGGTGAGCTTATTTTCTTTTCAGTGTTGTTTTGCGTGTGAGAGAAGGATAGCATGGCTGATGGTTGGAAACAGTACTTCACTCCCGAGCAACTCGAGGATTTGGAGGGGGTGTTGTGGAAGAGTTATTTTGCTTAGAGACAAGACAAAATAGCGAAGGGCAAGAAAACCCGAACCATGGCTAAGCTGTGAAATAGTACCGAATGAAGTTGGGTGCATTGCTTGTGAGTTTTTGAGATGTAGGTACTGCTTAGATGAGATATTTGGGAATTGTGAGAGATGGGTTTGGTTGTCAGCGATGTAGTGGTTAGAGTTGATTTGGAAGTTTAGAGGAGATGGTATGGATTACAGGGGAGGGATCAGCTGTGCATCAGATGTGGTACTAGCGAAAATGGAAGACAGATCTTATTATGAGGTGTACCACGAAGAATAGGGTATCTGGTTGTTGTGCGGTGTGTTCTTGTTGGAAATGTGGCAGAAAAGTGAAGATGCTTGGTGTGATGTTGTTAGGTTATCTAAGGAAAGGAAGCCTAGACGGCGATCGGTTCTACTTCGTGGTTATTTGTAAAGGGGGTGGTATGTATGATGATGGGGATTGTGATGATGGAGCTAGAGGCGAAATCAGGGGGTATAAAAAAAAGAGAGGCAACCAAAAATCATCAAAAGAATGATCGACCCAGGGATCGAACCTGGCACCTTTTGTGTGTGAGACAAACGTGATAACCACTACACCAGCCGACCTTTCATGCTGTTTGGGGGCGAAAGTTAGGTTCATAGTGGAGATGCTGGGTGGGTTACATTACCTAGGTACACAGCTGAAGGCAAACTCGGGTCAAATTGGATCAAAAATCTAGCTTAGACAAGTAGTGGGACTAGAACAGTATTCTACAGGTACCACATCTGCATGAGTCTCAGTCATGATTATGTTGGGGCAACTCATGCATTGCTGTGCAATAATAAACTATTTCTAAGCTATCAAGTTCATCCGTACATATAAAGCTTGTTAGGTCGCTGATAACTGCATATCGGTTCTCTTAGACGATCGGTGATCTCGCTACGGGTTACTCTTATTATATAAACAAATATGGACTCAATTTTCCCCAATATCTCACCGCTCTAAATCAAGCATGCCCGAATCAGAGTTTCTTTTTTTTTTTTTCTCTACACCGAACAGTCCTCAAAAAGGGCAATTCACACTCAAAACTCCAAGATTGATCACCAACCTCTAAAATCCGCCATCCCCCCCTCCACCTCCCCATCACCATCCCCCTCAAGATTACAAATCACCGACGACCCACAGCTCCCATACCCCGAGTCCCTATCACTCAGAAGCCGCCCCTGCCCCTTCCCCACCCGAAGCCTGTCCCCAGCACTAACATCCCGCTCATACGCCCCCCTAACCACCCCATCCAATTTCATCTCTTTTCCCCTCTCCCTCTCAGCACAATCCGCCAGGGCCATCGCCCACGCTGGAGTCTCGCTGATCGCAGACCCTGGCTCTGCCCTTGCTGAACCGGCCACAGCTGAGTCGAGATACCAAGAATAGGAGCGGAGAGAATGTTCTACTAAATCTGCCATTGCGGCTAGACAAACAGACGCCAGGCCGGGAATAGTGGCGGTAATTTCGGAGAGGGTGGAATGTAAAGGGATGACGTACCCGTCGCCGGTGCAGTCTGTCGAGACGAGGTGGCCGTAGACGGTTTTGGAGATGGGGTTTATCACCCAGGCGCCCGAGTCGCCGTTGTCAACTTGCTGAAGTTCAGTTATACTGACACAAGATGGGGAAAAACCGAAAAAGGGGCTTACCTTGGTAGGTCTCGTCTAGTGTTAGAGTGTAAGCTTGTACAAATCCGTGGTCGGGGGACAGCATCAGGCCTGCGGGGAGGTGTGATAGAGACCCGTGTTTTACTCCTGTCTGGCTGAGGAGTTCGACTTCTATGGAGGCCATGTCTGGGAAGGTGGATGGTTCGGCAAGGGCGAGCTCGTCGGCTCGGGCTTTGAAGTGAGAGCGGGCCGATGATTGGAGGCGGAGGTTGGGTTTGAGGTTGGATTTGGTGATTTCGAAGAGGGCCCAGTCGCGGGGTGGGATTTTGAGGTCTGAGCTACAGGTATTAATGGGCAAAGAAGGGTGGATGAGCTGTCCAAGGAGTGGCTTTTGCGGTTGGGGCTGCTGGGGGGGTTCTTCTTCCGTCTCGTCTCCTTCCGAGTCCGAGCCGTCATCATCATCCAGCAAACCTTCCAGAGCATGCGCAGCGGTCATCCCCACAATTTGAACCTCCCCGTCGTGATTCGTCAGTTTGACCAGTCCCCCGATAGTAGACGCAACAGATTTGCCCCCCGCCGTCCCAAGCCGTATCCCCTCCCCACACCAAGTCGGCAGCCCCTTATCGTTCACGCTCAGAGCTGACCCCCCCTCCCAAGTCACCTCCACCATCTGTAAAAACCTCTTCTTCGCCGCCTCCCCCACAATCACCACCTCAAAGTTCGTCACGAACCCATCACCAGGGCAATACAGCTCCCTCACCCCCCGCTCCCTCATCACCCCCTCCAACCCCGCAGTCTGATCAGTCGACACAAAAATCACAATCGACGGCCTGGCTGTCTCTGCCGTTTTGCCCACCATCATCAACCTCATCGTCAGGACCACCTCCTCCCCGTCCCTTTTCTTTCTCCTCATCCCACTAGGCAGCAAGGAAGACCACTTTTGAGAGCTGGCGACATGTTTCTGCAGCACTCGCTGAATCTCAGGCATGATCTCCCTGAAGCGGGAAACTGCCTGAAACGAGGGCTCCATGCCCGTGCCACGGAAGATGAGGATGTCATCTCTTCCTGGCAGGGGGCTGCTTTTGATATCTGATGGCTTGCTTGGCTTGTTGTTGAGGAGGGCACTGAGGAGGGATTTGGGGGGGTGGGAGTCTAGGGAGTCAACAGATTGGAGGCTGGATTGGGTGCCGTAGCCTGAGTCGGGGAGTTGTTGGTCTTCGGGTTCTAGCTCGAGCTTTTCTGAGTCTGAGTCTGAGGAGTAGTCCGGGTTGTGCCGGCGAGGACGCTGGCGTGGGAAGTGGTGTGGATGATGACGCTTTTTGGTGCGTGGTGGGGGACAGGCTATTGGTTGGTAGAGGGAGTTTGGTGAGATTTCATGGCGGGAGACGATGTGAATTGGGGAGGGCTGGTGCCCTGGGGCAGGTTGGATGGGGACTGGGTTCCGCGACATGGTCTTTGGTCCTGAAAATACAGGAAAATTGGAGTTTGTTAAGAATTATTTCCGAAATTTGAGGCACGATGTTTTGGGATTAAACACTTTCGAGTTGTTGACCTCTGGAAAAGGGGAGGCCACCTGAGCTCAGGGGCTGAGGTGTAAGGCATCGAGGCGCAGCTAGTGACCTGCATGGGAGGGTCAGTCTCATGACAGCTTCGCAGCCAATTGAACAACTGGTTCCCTTCGAGCTTTTAGACAGCAATCTATCCGGCAGATGCACAAATATGTTTCACGTTGAGTTTTCAACGTTATCTGGAGGGCCACGGCACTTTATTGGGCTCGTTGATGTGTTTGATCAGCCCACCTTTCGTTGCACTGGGTTGTGGTTGACAAATCCACTTGAACTGCAATCGACTGTGTGAATTATCGCCAAGGGCGGCATGGGAACATGAAAAATGGCACTATTGATGGTCGCTTTGAACGGCTTTGAATTCATCGACAACCAGACTATGACGAGTGGACAACACCTTGCTATATTTTCGTGCTGTAAACCCCATTGCCTGTGCATTAGCGCAGGATATCAAGTGCGTGAAACTTACCTTAGTCATTGGTGTTTCCTCATATCTATTCAAGCCATTCGACTCCGTTGAAGGTCCCTTGACTATATCTAAACTCCTACACTCTTGCAGAGCATATGCCCAGAAACCCCCCAAATACTTCGGTAAATAGGTACACCCTTCACAGAGAGCATATATCAAGTTTAGGTAACTTCCTCCCCAGACAGCATAGCATGCCTCGTCGCGATCCAAAGCGTGACCTAACCCCCCCTCTCCAACTGTTCCCTCTCCAACTGTTCCCTCTCCAACCCCCACGTCTGCCACGAAATCCTATCTTCTATTAGCTCCCTCCTCTCCCCTCTTCAGGTCATCACTGAAAGTAACTCACCAAGCCTGAAAAACCCCCACCCCCAACCCCAAAACCCCCAACACCACCGCCGCCATAACCCCCGCAATAGTAGCCATCATCACATGCCTGCTCTTGCTCCTCCTCTCAAGCCAAACATCCAGCCCCGACCTCGGCTTCGGGTTCTCAATCTCGTCGTACAGATCCATCAACCTCGACCCCCAGACACCAAATTTTATCACTTTTTCCCTCTCTTCCGGCCCGAGTTCAAATGCTGAGAGGCCGGATGTTTTGAACCGGAGGATATCCGGGTCGAAGCCCGATTTGGAGACTAGGGATCGGAGAAGGGATTGGGATTTGGGGGAGGAGGGGGGGAAGAGGAGGTGGAGCGTGTGGAGGGTTTCGAGGGCTAGGGGGCGGGGAAGAGGAGGGGGGGCGCAGGTGTTATCTTGTCTGTCGTGGGCGGTGAACGGGAGGAGAAGGTTTTCTTTGAGGAGTGAGCTCCAGGAAAAGATCTTCACCACGCCTTGTGATTCATCCAGTTTGAGGTGCTCGCGCAGGTCATCAGTCTTTTCCAACTTCAAACCCGCTTTCTGGACCAAATTGTGAGCCTGCAGCCCCTTTTTGACAGCATGCGCGTGCCGGTCGGTTTCCTGAAGGGAGGGGTGGACCCGAACCGGAAAAGTCTCCTCAATCTTAAACGGGTCGGATCCTAAGTCGGTATGATTATGAACCCTGCTGTGAAGCTCGTCCTCCACCGAGGGTTGCGGACTGGTCATCGTCATGATGCGCAACGCGAGATCAATAGCCCTATCCTGATCTCCCCTCGGCACACCCCTCTCCTCGAAAACAAACTTTCGAAAGGTCTCCCTGCTGGTATCCCGCCCGTAGACTCGCAGTTTCGTGATCAGCTCGAACAGATCCTCATGACAAGACAACGCCGCCGCTTGGCTGTCCTGTTCAAAATCCTCAGGTACGTAACCCCGTGTAAGCCGTCGGTAGATGTCGAAAAATGGCATTAACCTATCACTTCGCTGAGACCAGGGGCATGATGTCGGGTTTTGGCAGGTTGTGTCCTCAAAACAGCCAGGGCACATATCCCAGTCCCAGAGCGCAGCACATAACCCCTTGAGATTCTCCCGAGTTACAGTTCGAAGCGGGAAAACGTGTAAACTGGTGACGGAAGCTTTGGAACGTTGAGAGGCGGCTCTGTTGACTACCCTCATGATGTCTTCGTTCTGGTCATCGTTATCATTTGATTGGGAGGACAAGGTTGTGAGTTGGATGGCTGTCTCTTCGTCGCGTGAAGTATCCCCCATTTATGTAGCATTTGCACAATCCTTGGTTGTTACTAATTCAGAACAAGATGATAAGCGGTGGCGACGGCAGGCGGTGATCCAGGAGTCTTTAAAAGCTGTTTGTTCCCCGCAGGTGCAATGCGATGAGGCCAATGGATGACTGACAGGGGTGCCGACCTAAGCATGCACCGCCTGCACGCTGCTGTGCGACAATGGCAAGGCACAACCGCAATAGTGAACAGCAGATGATTCCAACATGAACAAGAGAACTTCAATATTTTTGTGTATCCAAAATCCACGCTATGCTAAATTCCAAGATTTGTACAGAGATTTCCCGTCCCCCCCCTCCCCCGCTATCTTCTCTCCTTTCTCGCGACATCGGCCCAGCTTTGATGTGTTGGCATCGAAGGCACCTTGAACATTGAAGACCTGTGGCCGTCAAGATGCGCGTGCGCCGCCCGCGGCGATGAGAGGGCCGAACTGCTGGGGTGAGGGCTACCCATGCTCGCGGTAGCAGCAATATTGGAGCTGGCAACACTGGCACTGTCCAGGATGCTATTCCTCCTGGTACAAACACTCTCCCTCCGCACCATACCAGTGATACCAAGACCATACCTCATTTCTACTGTTTGGTCCTCTTCCGAGCCTCCATGGTCAACATGCTCGTATGACTCTCCGGTGTGCGAGTTCTTTCTCTCCTGAGTCAGGGCCGGAGTACCCATGGCTGGGGTTCCTGCAGCACTCGTCTCGGCGAGTGAATGCTTGGAGCTTTCGAGGCGACTGAAGACCGAACTGTTCATGCTGTATGTTGTGCTGTCTGTCGATGACGGGTCACGGTTGAGGATGGGGGTTCCGGCACGGATGGGTGTGGCAGGGTTGACAGGCTGGGGTAGACGAGAGCCAGAATTCCGAGAACGAAGGGTGTAGCCTGCAAGGTCTGGGTTCGGACTACCGGGAGTGGCCGCGCCAGGCGAAGGTGTGTTTGCGAGGCGATTCATCGAATCACGACGGGGTATCATGGTGGGATTGAGAGAATCTCGTCGGGGCAGTAGATGAGGAGACATTGCCTTTGGGACAGCGGCAGCTACCAAATGGGGAGATGCAGGCTTGGAAGAGACGGCGCCTGCGGCCGTTTGCGAGTAGGTGAGCTTGGATCCAGGGACAGCAGTTGGTGCTGCAAGCTTTGTCTGCGTTTTAACCGGAGGCGACAAAGGCGCTGCAGGATCATTGGGAATGGGATGTGTACGTGGTCGCATTCGCATCATGAGGCCACCGTGAGCTGGATCTGAGGCAGGTCGGGGGAGGGTTGGTCGCGGTTGGCGTTTGTACGTTTGCTGGAATTCTGCAAGTTGTGCTGTGAGGCGCTTGCATTCACTTTGTTCCTTCTTGAGAAGATCCTGGAGCCGGGCAACGTTCTCGGCCTGGGCGTTTCGCTCTTTCAGAATCCGGGACTCGTAGGTATCGTCCTTGGCCTCCAGAACCTCCAAGCGCTTGGCCATATTCATGTGATCAGCTTTCAGGCGATCGCGTTCGTCAACAAGAGCCCTGATCTTGGTGTTGATCCGATCAGTCACAAAGCGGGCACTCTTCTTGCAGCAATGCGAATGGTAGACTTGTTCCACGCCGCCCAGGTCAATAAGTTCAGCATCCACCTGGAAAATGGATGGTCGGCGTTCGGCATCGAGATGGAGCATTTGTGACACCAAGTGCAGAGTGTGCTTTGGTGCAAAGGTGAAGGCGTTGACATCTTGGACCTCCTGAGTCGCCAGAGCCAAACGCTCCAGTTTGGGAAGGTAGGCGTTGATCTTGTCATCGCGACCTCGAAGCGTTAGATCAGCAATAATTTCGTCAAAATCAGCCAGGTCCCCTCCATGGATAACGGTGGCGATGTTCAGCAAGACAAGGCCGAGCGAGTAAACTTCAGCCGCCTGCATGGACCAGTCGCACTGCACTTGGTTGAGTTCAGGGGCTCTCCATTTTGGGGTTCCGGCAGGTCCTCGGGTCATTGTGTGATCTCGTTCGCCCACGTCTTTTGCGATGCCAAAGTCGGCGATGTAGACACGTCCGGGGTTCAACAGGATGTTGGAAGGTTTTAGGTCGAGGTGGCGGATCTTTTCCTGGTGGCAGTATGCGACGGCTCGCGCAACGCATCCCATCGCTTGTTGTAGGTATTTCAGAGGGCATGTTCCTGTGTTTGGCTGGCTTCTCTTATCCACCGCGCTCAGGTTATGTAGGTCAAGGGTATGCAGGCGTTTGATGATATCTTCGCGGTCGCCGTCGCCCGACTTGAGATGGTCAATGTCGTTGAACAGGCAATCCAGGTTGCACACGGCGACGGGCCAGAGTAGCAGGTACAGATTGCTAGAAATGCAGTAGGTGCCAACCAGCTTGACGATGTGATCATGGTCCAGCTTTTCCATCACACTGGCCTCCTCCCGCAGCAGTGATATTGGGAAGCGCCGATGTGGCGGCCTCACTTGTTTCCTCGCCAGGCATATCGTGCGACCGTTGTTGGCGTAGACGACCTTTTGCACCACTCCAAAGCTCCCGGTTCCCAGCGGCGTATCGTTGGCGAGTTTGAATCGAGTGTGTAGTCTCTTGGCTTCGGTATGGTCGTCCAAAGGTGTGTGTTTGCCACTGTTGGCTTGATATTAGTGATGCCTGGCGCAAGTGGTACCAAGGGCGGTAGGGATATGACTGCTGCCTTACATTCCAGACCAATGTGTATGTGTTCTCTCCCACTCGTTGAGAATCTGTCGTTCGCATGCTTCTAGCTCGGCCCAGGCGTCGCGGGAAAGGCGCTGTATACTCGAGTGGGTGGTGGGCATCACCGTTTGCCAGCCATTGCCAGAATCACCCATGCTTGTTAACGGTTCTGACAGCGGCAAACAGCGGAGACGGTGGAGAGAACGGATGAACTGGTGGGTTTCGACGGTAAACAAACTGGTTATATAGTGTATCTCAAACAAGCAGAGACACCATGACGATGTTCAAGAAATACAAGGCGGAGGAGAGGACTGTTGATGTGAGAATTCAGGCCAGAACTTACTTGTAACAGGAGAAATCGCCAAAAAGAGCCGGCCGGTGTCCCTCTGGCGCTGCTGCAGGTGAGGGCGGTGGAAGAAACGTTTTGGTGCCGAGCACTGCCCCTGCAAACTCTACTGGGAGCGGCGGAGCAAGCGGGGGAGGTGGAGCCAATGAAGATCCGATTCGACATGGATGCCATTGGCCAATTTGTCTTGGAGTCCGTAGGGCTGGGTCAACCTTTTTTCTGCCATCGTTTCTTTTGGGATTTTCTCCAATCTGAAAAGATGCAAACAAGCTTTTCGTTGATCATGATTTTTCCTTCCTCCCGACACTGAGCTCGAAGGATGAGCCGGGCATAGACTGACGACCCCCATGGCTCCTAGCTCACCTCAGGGCATAAGGTATCGTGAGGGAGGGGTTTGCTAACATTGACGTCGGGAACATGGACTGTTGTCAATTTGGGGGTTCTCATTTGAGAGAAGTCTTCTAATGAAACGACAGGGAAAAGGAGCAACATCGCCGGGAGGATGAGGGCATTCATAACCAGCTGGTAACCATTGGGAAAGTTCACCAAGACGGGCATGGCCTTAGTCCCCGGCTTGGGACGACTAGCTCCCACTGACTGCTGGGTTAGCTCAGTATCTTAGATTAACATCGGTTCCAATTGGGGTTACCAAAAATTGCTAAGAGATGTTAGTCGGCCACGAGCTCACTTGACGTTGAGTAATCACCAAATGCTCTTTGCGACTTCAGATCATTGAGGACAGCATAGGACTCCTGTCCGTTTGTCATCCTTGGACTATGTCATCTCAATCGCCGATAACGTGTACTGTCGCACTGGCATTACTCAGCACGTCCGTGAGCGAGGCTTGATGAACACAGAGAAAGGCCCATGCCACAGAAGCAACTCATATACTAAGCACCCCTGGCCCGAACCCCAACAACTGCAAAGAGACCCTTGTAGGGACACCGCCGGCTGACCAACGCCCACTTCCGATCGTTGGGACGAGATTGTCGCCAGCTCTTGACCTGGACAGATCTGTTGCCTCTTTTAGCATTGTGGTTTTGGAAGGGCGGTACTACGAATTTTCAGGGAATTGATCACTTCCCCGAGGCTGGTTTTAACCTGTTCTGCGACAACGCAGTGAATATCTCACATATTGAACACCACTTATAAGTCGTCAGGCAGCAAAGAAACTTCTCGTTACACCGTGGGTCAAGGCTACACGTCCACGGACAACTGGTCCCAAGACAGCTGGGGTCCTGGACACAGACGTTTATTGTGTCCTGATGCGCCGAGGACACGGCAGAACATATGTCTGAGACGACTACCGAGGAAGACGAAGAGGTCCACCCAATGCGTTACTCGCAAGGCGACCTCGCCATCCTCAGCGCCGAGGTCTACAACCCGGGCTTTTCCTACAACACATCTACCAAGGCACAAGTGTCAAAGAAGGGACGCCCTGCGGCATCAAATTTGGATACCGGTCCGAGGAAACGTGCAAAGACCCAGGCCACCGAGACAGAGAATGAACCAGAAGAAAAGAAGCGGTCAAGAGGGCGACCGCGCCTGGACGTGAAGGATGTGTCACCCAAGGACGTGAGTGCGACGGTTATGCTTCAGACTGATAGCTGGTTTTGACGTTGGGACAGCGCCGAAGAACACAGGTGCGCCTCGCTCAGCGGGCCTATCGCAACCGAAAGGAAGAGGCTATTCAGACTCTCGAAAAGCAAGTCCAGGAGCTCAAGGAGAAGAACCAGGAGATGAACAATGCCTTTCTACGGCTGTCCGATTTCGCAACGAGTATGGGCTTCTTGGAGCAGTTACCAGAACTTGGACACCAGCTGCGCCTGACAACCGAGAGATTCCTGTCGCTGGCCAAGAGCACTACTGGTCAAGAAGGGAACAGCGGCCAACCGGCTTCTACTTCTAGTGACGGCTCGTCATCCCGAGACAGGTCGGAAAGCGCACCAGCCGACCCCCAGATCCCATCAACAGTCGCCGATAAGCCACCACAACAACAAACACAATTGTATGGCGGGCTCATGGTCAGCCATGAATCGGCTAGCCAGCCGACCAGCATTGTGTCTGCTCTCCCCCATGACTTTGGACAGTCCATGCCGTCAACGGCTCTTGGCTACGAAATTGTCACGCACCCAACCCTCACCAACGCTAGCTTTCCGTTCCAGACAACTCCAGACTTGACCTTCCTAGACCAGTTCACCACACCAGGTCTCCACAGCTCTCTCCCAGCGCCCCGGTCTTACGCCCCTCACGAGATCACATTCGGCCGAAGACTCCAACGATTCGCCATCGAGAAAGCTCTCGTCCTCATCTCCATGCCGGACCCCCCCGAGAACCGGATCACCCGTGTCTTTGGCTTTTGTCTCCTCTTCGAAACACCCGACCTCATCAAGCGCCGTCTCGCCAGACAAGTAGCCCGCAACGCGCAAGACACCCTTCACAACTGGCAGTTTCCCTTCCACCACCTCGGCGGCGCCGGCACACACTACGATGTCACCACGGGAATCACCTCGCAGCGAATCGGCAACCAGGGCACAAGCGATGTTCTCAAACCAGCCAACACATCCGGCTTCGCGACCGGTCCATTCAGCCCAGAAGTGAACCGGATACGAGACAATGCCTTGGACAAAAACATGCGGATAGAAACCCCTGGATTCGGAGGGGACTTGCTCGACCCGGATGAGGTGGAGATTTATCTCCAGGAAAGGGGCGTTATTATTCCTTCCGGGACAGACTTCATCACGGCAGAGGTTGACCCAACGGCATTTGACACCCCAGAGTCGGGGAAGTATCCGTTCAAGAGTGCGGCGGGGGCACACCCGGAGTTTTCGTCACTTTCGAGTCCTTTGACGGCGGGGCGTGCTTCCCGACCGCCGATGCCGAGTAGTAATACCTTTGGAGATCAGTCGCGAGAGTCAGGCTGGGGGAATCACATGACTAGCGGGGGAAACGTCAAGATTGATTCGCTGGGAAGCTTCTCACAGGCCCGTTCATACACAATGGGCGTGCCGTCAACATCTCATGATGCTGAGTTGAGAAATTTGTTTGCTTTTTCGGGGGGTATGGAGAGCAATGGTGGTTTTGGGGAGGGGTCACAGCACCAACAGTCACTGCCGAGACAGAGGGTAACGGTTGATGTTCATCAGTTTATTAAGGGTAAGTTCTGATGGGATGTTTTGCTTATGAAATCGTTTGTGTGCTGATATTCTGCATCATAGGAATGGTAAGCAATGCCACCTGTTTAGGTCGAACACCTGGGTTCAGGCAGGAGCACATAAATGCAGCGTTTTGGCTGGCAGTGCAGAGTTAGCTGATAAGCATCTTTGTATCATAGTATGGAACAGGCAACCATGAACCCATGATATATCTTCTGTTATCATATACAACAATGAGGCAATCCAATTTGTCCTCTTCATATTTGTTTTCCCTCACTTCTTCTGGTCTTCTACTACCACATCCTCCGGCAGCGGAGCCCTATCACTCCCCTCCGTAAACCTCCCCTTCCTCACCCCCTCCAAATACCTCTTCTTACTAACCGGCAACCCCCTCTTCTTCCTTTCCTCCTCATGATAATACCTCCCCGCCTCCCTCCCCTTCTTATTCCTCCTCCAGCTCGTCCTCATCTTGAACACCTCCTCCTCCGTCACCTCCCCCCTCTCCACCCGCTCCCTATCCTCCTTTTTCATCTGCTCCTCCTCCACCCGTTCAATCTCCAAAAACGCCTCCGCCCTAGCAATCATATCCTCCCTCTCCCTATTCAACTCCCTCCCCAACCAGCCAACAACCTCATCCAACTCCCTCGCATACCCCCCCGACCCGCCCGCCTTCCCCAACGGAAGCAGCTGGTGCATCTTCCCATCCCACTCATCCTCCAACTCAGCCCTCAACCTCCGCTCATCATCCTCCCGGTAAAGCTCAGACAACGCAATGGTATTAACAGCCCTGTTCCTATTCTTAATCCTCACAATCCTCTCGATAACCCTAGATTGCGGTTTCTGCATCCTAAGAAACGGCACCGTCCCCGCGGCGTCCAACCGTGGCGGTTTCCGTATCCCGTTTGGAATTTGCTCTATCGGTCGTGGTAACGGACGGGCAGGGTTGGGGATGTATCTAGGTGGCTCCCCCTCTTTCGACACCTTCACCACGACTGGAACCGTCCCCGGGATCGGGGTATTACTCGGCTCCAGATCAAGGAGACGTTCCCTCCTTTCGCGGAGGGATTCCACCCGTTTTTTGTTTTCTCTCAGAAAGTCCACAATTTGGGTATACGGGGAAGTCAAAGGGTCGGCAGCGGAGGAGAGCAGAGTCAGGGCGTTGTACCCGTTTTTAAGGGCCGAGGTGATCAGCCGGGGGGAGACATCGTGCTTGTTACGTCTGAAAGCGTTGCGGATTATGGTCTCTATCGGGGGAGGTGTGGGCTTGGTTGGTTTCGCTGGGGGGATGTACAGCGACGGGTCGTCAGTGATGGAAGGGAGGGGGACGAGCGAGGCGGTGCGGAGGAGGGCTCTGTAGAGGGCGAGGCCTGTCGATTGTCAGTAATTATCTGGTCGAGGGGCATGGGGAGAAAAGAGGACAGACATGCTATCCTATGCCGCGACGAGCGGGCGGGTTGAAAAAACAACGGCATTCATGTATCCATCGCCGCCAAGGTTGGCGATCACCGTTTGATGCGACTTTGAGAAATGGCAGCCTCGAAACTTTTTTGGAGAGAGCTCAAAGCGTCAAAATTACTTGGCGCACGCGCGTGGCACCGCGCAGGGATCCGCGCGGTCACGTGTGCCCATTAAACACCTGGGACGTCATCGCACTGAGCCTTGAATGGAGTGAAGAGATCCAAAGGGATTGTCATTTTGAATTGTTCGTATTTGCTTTCTCATTGTGTCCGGCCATCCCATCAACGCCTACAAGACCTTTCCGTTCGCTAATCAAACCCCCAGCCGACGCCCTCCTGGATCCCGCTGCGTTTGCCCATTCCCTCGGGAACAATCTAGAAGTCGCTCTAAAAAACGTCTTTGTCATGCCATGTTGCGCCTCTTTCACCTACTTGTAGACGGCATACTTGGAGCCCTCAGGGGGCTGGGGAAGCTTCTTATGTTCGTCCATATATCTGCGAAAGACGGAGGTCAGCAACATGTTGTCCCAGTCTCTTGTCCCATGTCCACATATCTACTCACTTCCTGATCGCAATAAGAGCAGCCTCCAAACTCAAAGGGTCTTCCTTGGGCCTTGGGTTCTTGGCCAACTCGGTAGCAATGCGGGTCCAGTCGCGGAGAATAGCCACGGCGTTGGGGTCGACCTTGCCGTCTGTTGGGCTGACACCGGGCAGGTTGATCTGGCTGACGAAGTGGATGACGGGTGGCTCCTTGGGGTAGTTTGGGCCGCACTCCATCTTAAGTTCGTAGATGCGGTTCTCGTGGTGTCCCTGTGGGTGGTCCGTCAGCTTGCCATGATGCGATGGCGGGGTGGTACAGCTTGTCGCAGGGCAAACATACATGAGGAGGGCCCCAGATGGTACCTCTCCAGTGGGTCATGAAGATATCTTCGGGGTCTTCGAGGCCATATGAGCAAGCACCTGCAGAGGACATCTGGGTTAGTTACTGCTTGAACTTTTCAGTCAACAACATAGCTTGGACCTACCCGCGCCCATGCCCTTCTCGCCCTTCTCCAGCTCGGCGAGGAGCTTAAAGTTCCTGGGAACCTGAGCTACCGCCATGGTGGTGTGTGTGGTTATTTGCCGGTGCCAATGTGTGTGTGCAGAGGAGGAGCGAGCAATGCTTCCCAAGTTCGTTTGTCGGATTGGGCGCGGGGGGTTCAAAGACAGACCGATGGCGGGAAGCCTGGACCACCAGCGTTATGCGGGACTGCGGGGACTTCCAGGTTGCCAAGGCGTCCTGCCAAATGGTGGGGTTCAAACACCTGCAGCTCAAAGGCGGTGAGTCTTTGCAGCCTGCTTAGTCAGGCCAGCTCCTGTCTTGGCATGTCCCTGCACCTCCACCGTTGGAGATGGTTGGTTGGCTGTCCATTCCTCTGGCTGCTATGAGTGGGCATTGGACAGTGGACAACGAATGCATCTCACATCAAAGACGACCCGAAGACCACCGCCAGGAATTCCCCACGGTTAACCCTGGACTGTCAGCATATATCGTCGTTTTTCTGCCTATGAAGCCTTGAAAATCCCTTGTCTTTACGAAATGCCATCATGACATCCCAGCTATTGGCGTCAGAGCTCGCCAATCTCATCCAGGAGAGCAAGCGCAAACACAATGACTTGCGCCAGGTATGCGCTCTGCTGAATGTCCTTATTTACGCACATGGCGCTTACACCGTCACAAGGCCGCCGAAAAATCACTTGAAGAACTCAAGAGTATAAGAGCTGGCTCTGAAGCTCAAATATCGGATGGTGTGCTAACATCCTGTTCCCACATTGGGCATTGTTCATGTTGATGGCGCCAGACTTACACGATACCAGAACTCACTCAACGGCCAAACTTTGTCAACCCCTTCATCATTGCTTGCGGGACCAAAAACGTCAAGTTCACCGGCATTGCGATCGTTTGTTTACAGCGCCTCATCGTTTCAAGAGCCTTACCAAGATCTAGATTGAGCCAGGTGCTGGAAGCCTTGCAACAGGCCACGTCAGCCGGCCTCGACGTCCAACTCAAGATTCTCCAGGCCCTGCCCTCATTATTATCCAATTATGCCGCCGATGTGAAGGGAGAACTTCTCGTCACAGCACTTAATGTTTGCTTTATCCTACAGTCGAGCAAGAATGCCATTGTCAACAACACATCTGCAGCCACCCTGCAACAGCTGGTCGTTTCCGTCTTTGACAAGGTAGTAGCCGAGGATAGTCAGTATTTCATTTGCAATCATCAACTCGAGTGAAACTAATATGTCATCCAGAAAACGGTCAGGACTCACAAATTGTGGGCGAGGTGCCGCTTCAAGATGGCACGACCCTTCCTCTTCGCGCTGCGGCCATGGATGCCTGGAGGGTATGTTATTCTCTCGACTCGTTCTTCGTACGCTGCTGACGTACCAGGTGTTTAATGATATCTGTCTCCTAACCGAAGGCCAGCGACCCGAGTACCTTCGCTTCTCTGGCCTGCCACAGACCTTCGGTCTGGAGCTGATTGAGTCTGTGCTCACCAACCATGCCGCCATCTTCACCTCACATCCAGAACAGGCCGATATCTTACGAGCCCGAGTGATGCCCTTTATCATCAGCGCACTTCGGGGCCGACCAAATTTCGCTACCAGCGTGCGTCTTGTGAGAATATTGTACACCCTGCTACGTCGGCATCTGTCCATCCTCCCAGAGGAGAGTGGTGACGCTCTTGAAATTTTGACCCATCTCTTGGACATGGACACAGCGCTGTGGAAGCGATCATTGTGCATGGAGGTATTCAGAGGTGTCTTTGCCGACCACGCTCTTCTGAGGCGTATCTTTGGCATGTTTGATGCCCAAGAGGGAGGCAAGAAGATTCTGAGGAACCTAACAGCCACGTTCGTGCGTGTGAGCACAGAGAAGCCCACTGCTATTGGACTCGGACACCAGTCGACCATCCCAGTTGCCAACCCCTATGGCGGCTCAGCTGCTTCAACCGATCAAGCAATGTTGGAAGCTAGTGGCGCTGGCATCATTACAAGCTCGGTAGGTTCCGATGGCCACAACACTGGTATCAGTACTCAGTGGAGCACCATGCGGGTTCCATGCATCGACCAGCTCGACAAGACGGACCCCCCAAGCATTCCGGAGTCGTACATTTACAGCCTGACACTGGCATGTATCACCTCACTATCCGAAGGCCTTGCCAAGTTCATCCTCCCCCTCACTGTCCCCAGCGACGGGAGGAAGAAACGAGGCACCAAAACAGACATAGGCCGAGACTCCCCTGCGCCGTCAACCGACGAAAAGCTCGACCCAGGAGATAAGAGCTCGCTGGAGCGGTCTTCTTCGTTCAAGCGCAACCCTGTTCCGGTCAACCCCCTTACGCTGGAGAACCACCCACTCTATTCCGAAGTCAAGATATATGCCGCCTTTATTGACGAGTGTTGGCCAGCCATTCTTGCAACATGCTCGACTTTCCTGTATGCCGCGCTTGACTCGGAGTACTACCATGGTCTTGTCCGGTCATTTCAAAAGTTTACACATGTGGCTGGCCTCCTGCAGCTCACTACCCCACGGGATGCCTTTCTTACCACACTGGGCAAGGCAGCTGTGCCACCGAATGTTCTCACAGCATGCCTTAATGCTGGCGCCCCTCGGAACCCAGTCACCCCTTCTGAGCCTACCAACAGCATCTTCGGCAATGCACGTGGCCTTCTTAGTGTCGAGAGTCTCGTGTCGCCGACTGTGGAGAAGCAGCGACAGGTTTCTGTTGATCCTAGTGCCGGCACGCTAAACACACGGAACATGCTATGTTTGAGAGCATTGCTAAATCTCGGGATAGCACTTGGTCCAACACTTTCGGCATCTTGGAACATCATCCTAGAAACACTCCAGCAAGCCGACTTTGTGTTGTTTTGCTCCGGTAAGGCTGCAGGCAGAACACCTCTGGCGGCCAAGGGTCCTGATCACCAAGCCGAGCAAGAGGCTAGCACTCTCCTTACCAATTTCAGCACTGAAATCCGTGCGGTTGAGACGGCCGCCTCACGGTTGTTTGAGAGTACCATCGATTTCCCCAATCCCGCCTTCGTCGAGGTGGTCGGGGCTGTCTGCAGCCTGTTGGAAAAGCATGGTGAAGCCCCCTCGGCACCAGGGAGCAGGCCGCAATCACCGCCATCTGGCGGAGGACTCAAAACACCATCGGTCCCGCACAAGCGCCAACTAAGTGTTTCAACTCCGGCGCTGACTGGCCACAATCAAGAGGATCAATTTGCCCTGGCTAAGCTGGGTGATCTCGCCTCTATCAATATTGAGAGGCTACTTATCTACGATCCTGAAGTCTCCGGCTGGGCACCACTGATCTCTGAGCTCATCACTGCGTTGAGTTCAACCTTGAACACAGCACCAGTCAGAGCACGGGCAGCAGAGACGCTGGTTCGGATTCTGTTGGAAGCTGCCGCTGCCGTGTCATCTCAGCCCGAAGAGCCCCGTGGGGACATACAGCAACGACTGCTGGAGGCATTCCGTGACTCCCTCCTGCCTCTGCAAACCCCTAACCGAGAAGTGTCTGTCACCAGCCATGTCGTCGACGTTGACATTCACAAGATCATCCTCGAAGGTCTCAAGAGCCTTCTCGAAAACTGCGGAGAGACCTTGGTTCGGGGATGGGAAATCACGTTCCAGATTATCGATACCATCTTCGTTGACAAAACGTTTACCCCCGAGAAGCAGGAGGCTGACAAGCGGTCCGTCCTTCTCACCCGCTCTGTCAAACTGATTCGTCCTTCTTTTGCCTCGTTGCAGTTGATCTGCTCGGACTTTCTGCCTTCTCTCCCTAATGCCTGCTTTCTTAACCTCGTCGATACCCTGTACAAATTCTGCACTCAGGATGATGAACTTAATGTGGCCTTGACGGTATGTATGCCTACGTCTCTTGACCAGAACGCAGTAGCTGACGAGTAGCAGACCGTGACTTTTTTCTGGGCCATCTCGGACTTTCTTTCTGGTAAAGGCAGATCCATGTCCATCACCGAAGACATGATTGGGGAGTCTGGCGACGAAGCACTCACCAAGCTGGCAGCAGACTCCTCCCACAACGGATCAGGGGCAGCCTTGTGGATGTTGCTTCTCCTGCGACTCACCTCGGTTGCTACAGACCAGAGACTGGAGCTGCGAAACAGCGCCATCCAGACTCTGATGCGCATCATGTCGGCTTACGGCGATAGTCTAAGCCCGGAAGCCTGGTCCATCTGCATGAAGTCTGTCATCTTCCGGCTCATGGCTTCAATAGAAAAAGAGCTTCAGGTTCTTTCTGGAGCCTCAGCAAAAGACAAGAGTCAAGAGGAGTGGAAAGACACGGCCATTGTGGTTGTGCAGGGTGTTTCAAGCCTGTTCGCCTCATATCTCACTGTATTGACGGCTCACAACAGTTTCATCAAGATTTGGGAAGACCTTTTGGATCATTTCCGGATCCTGCTGGATCTGAACGTGTTGGACATCAACGCTGCCACATACAGTGCCGTCCGGGACATTCTTCACAGGTGCGCAGAGCAAGACAGACCTCGCGTGGGCAAAGAAAGCCTCGACCTTGCCTGGGATCTATGGTCTCGAGGAATTCCAGTTCCCAAAGATGGCAAGGACGACAAATCTTCGGACAACCAGAAATGCCTGTTGGTGTGGGTAGAGGCATTGCTGGAGCTTTACGGCCTCATCCAGAAAGACTTTAGTGTCGAAAGAGTCCGCCGCATGCTCACTCTGCTCCGCAATGCCATGCAACATGCCACCCCAGGAGCCTACGCCAGCGACGTCGAGTATGTCACCCCATTGCAGGGCAAGATTCTGGAAGTGTTCCGCATGGTTCGCACGGACCTGAGCGGCGTCCCGTCTGCTATGATCACCCAGGTTGCCGAGTTTGTGTCCCTAGCATTTGCCCAGGAAGACGCTGCCAAGGCGGCGGCAGAGAAGCGCACATATGTCGCCATGTCTAAGGAAAGCATGTCTATTCTACAGGCACTCATCATCAAGAACTCTTCTGGACGGGATATCTACGAGACCGAGGCCTTCGCCACTGCCATGTCTGCGCTGGCGAAGCCCGTGGTCCTAAAGTATTCGTTCAAAACCACCACTAGATCCAACCAACCATGGAAGGAGGCCACCAAAACCTCACTTGCAGTTCTGGAAGCTTCCCTTCCATACATCCGCACTGCTGACCTCCCCCGCCCCATCATACAACACATCTGGGAGACCATCATCTCCATCGCCAACGGCATCATCAGCGCCGACTACCCCGACGCCCCTCCCGGCACCGACATCCTCGCCGACCAAACCTTTGACATTTCCTCCTTCCGCAAACTCCGCGAGCTCATCATCCCCGCCCTCGGCGCAGAAGTCATCCTCGACGCCACACGCAAGTCCTACGCGGAAGGTCTCTTCAGGACATCCATCATCCACGCCCCCGCTCCCGCCGAGGCCTCCATCATCTACGGCAACAGCAACGAAGGCCTGACCACGCTCTACAGGTCCCGCCCAGGCCGCACCATTGACCCTCCACCAACAAAACGGACCCTCATGGCGGAGGTTTGTTTGGATGAATTGTTCTCCCTAGTGGAACAACACGACGAAACTTCCCCGCCAGAGATCAGAACCGAACCCCCCACCTTTCCATCTTCTGACACCGCCTCACCGGAAACATCCCACGATTTATCCGTCCGACTCTCCCAGACCGCCTCGCCCTATCTCATCTTGAGGTGTGCGCTAAGCATAAGGGCTTACATAGCCGACCAGCCCCTCCGGGGGCGCATGCCGCAGCCGCTGTCGCAGAGAAAGGAACTTGGTCGTATCCTCCGGGCGTTGATCGACCTCAAGTCTGAGCCGGACGCGATTCCCGACACCCCCAACGTGGACTCAGAGACGAGGAAGCATTTGCTGAGGTTGTACCCCCTTTTGGTGAGCGCCATTCAAGTTGCCGGTACAGCAGGTGACGAAAAGGTTTTGAAGCTAGTCAGAGAGGCGCTTGATGTTGTCGGTGGAGAGCTGGGTGTTTAATTCTTTTCTCTTTTTAGTTGGCAAATGTAGACAAAATGGTAATTCTCACTTTTCTCATCATTTCTTGTGATGATTCTCTATTTTTGTCTCTTCCTCCATCTCTAATACTGAGTAGAAAGTTGTGCGTCCTTACTTTGTACAACTAAACAAAACGTCCACCCTATCATACCATCATTTCACCCTCCCTTTTTTTCGCTGTGGGAAACCATCCCAACCTATCCGCTTCGATGTGGCCCATCACCGCCTACAAGAAACAATTAAGCCCCATACTCATACACCAATGCCCTCAACCTTGCCCTCAGCATCGCCGCCTCCACCTTGGGATCCTTGGGGGGCGGCTGCTCCAGAAATTTCCTCACCTCTTGCATCAACTTCTTATCCGCATTCAGTTCCTTAAACTTCCCCTTCTTGTCATGGCCATCCTAGGCCTTGACCTCCTGCTGCTCCTGCAACAACTTCCTCGCCTGCGCCGCCTCCAAACCCTTCTGCTGCCCCTCACTAACCTTCCCATACACCCCCATGGCAGTAGCAATCATGCCCCCCAAATCCCCCACATTCCCCGGCACCACCACCGCGGTCCCCTCCTTGGCCAGCTTCCCAAACGCATCCACATACTTCTCCGCCACACTCAAACTAACCGCATTCTGCGCCGCCCCTTGTCCGTCCTGAATCGCCTTGGCCACCGCCTCAATCCCCGCGGCCGTGGCCTTTGCCCTCAGCAAGATCGCCTCAGCCTCACCCATAGCCCTGTTGATCTTCTCCGCCTTGAGAGCCTCCGACGCAAGAATAGCAGATTGTTTCTGACCCTCGGCAATGTTGATAGCTGATTGCCTCTGACCTTCGGAATCAAGAATTTCGGCGCGCTTGGAACGCTCGGCGGTCACCTGGCGGTGCATGGCTTCCACGACGGGCTTAGGGGCGTGGATGTCGCGGATTTCGTAGCGGAGGCAGGTGACGCCCCAGGCTTGGGCAGCCTCGTTAATGGCGGCCGTGATGTTGATGTTGAGGGCGGCGCGCTCCTTGAGGACGTGGTCGAGGGTGAGCTGGCCGATTTCGGAACGCATTGTTGTTTGGGCTAGTTGGGAGATCGCGTACTCGGCGTCTTCTACTCCATAGCTTTTGGGGGAGGGGGGTTAGTGATGAGAGTAAAAAGGAGGGAGGGGAGGGGGACATACCTGGCCTTGTATGCGTCAAAGACTCTGGTGTACAAGACACCGTCGAGCTCGAGGGTGACATTGTCGGCTGTGATGGCGGATTGGGAGGGGATCTCGATGGCGACTTCCTTGAGGGACTTGACGTAGGCGATCCGGTCGATAAACGGTATCAGGATTGCCAGGCCGGGTTGGAGGATTCTATTGAACTTGCCCATGCGCTCGACGATCCAGGCGGTTTGCTGGGGGACGAAGCGGATGATTGTGTTCACTGGGAGGGAAGCTCGCTGCTGGAAGTATGTTGGGGGAAAGCCGCCGCCGAGGCCGCTGCTCGCTGGGAGGCGGCTTGGAGATGTGTTTCGGAGGGCATTTCGGGGGGTTGCCGAGAGTGGTCGGGACTGGTGCTGGGAGCTGAGAACTGGTGATGAGGAGTGTACGAGCGCTTGGCGAGCGATGATGGGGAGAGCTCGTGGGGCTGTTGGGGCCGCGAGGGCACGGCGCGCTAGTGTGAGTGACATGTTTACGGTGTGCCCTATCTAATTACATATGCTGGTGGATAACAAAGAGAAAAAGAGAGAACTGATGATCTGGTGTTCGTCTGCTTCGGTGGATGGAGTTGGGAACTGGTGGGACGTGAGAGAAGCTCCAGAAGATGCGAATGGCAAGACGTCAGTTGCTTGCTGTCATTGGTCACAAGGGAGCTGCATCCTGGTTGCTTTGGTGGGGTCACCTTTCTGTGGCAAGCACAGACCATGTTGCGATAAATCAGGCCGGCAGGGTTTGCCAGCCTCGAGATCTTAATCACAACTTCACTCGCTGCCCGCATTATACAAAGCCATCTGCCTCCCGTCTCTATCACCCTCAGGTCTCAATCAAGTAAGTCCTACCACAGGGACTGTTCACCAGTTGTTGAAGAGTGAAAATAGCGTCCAATCTTTCCTTCTCAAACATTTAGATTTGAAGTTCGGGTTCAGTCTGGAAACAACGTCTTCAATCACATGCACAATTCTGAGCCGAGTCTTGTCTCACCTCCAGGTGAACTCAAAGGCACTGCACCAAGACGTGTCCGCCTGCCTTTTCTTCTTGTTTCACTTGGTTATTCGTCCAAGTACCTATCTAGCCGCCTCGTATATCTGTCTATCCTACCTCTATCGATGAAAATGGTAACTCCGCGCCTGAGTATCGCACCCAGCTGCTTAGTAGATATTCACCCTGCTCCTCCTTTCGCTGTAGATACGGATGGTTCTGTCTGCCTGTTTGGTTCTGTCTGCCTGTTCAGGCCTCGGACGGCTCACCATCTCCGTGTCTTTTGATAGCCCTTTGCTGACGGAGTATTGTACGCCAGGTTCGGGTACTCCACGACCTCGAGTGCATGGCCTGAGGAGATAATCTTCATTGATTCGAGATTTGTCCTCTAAGATTTGGAGCTTCTCTGCGAGCTTCAGGCTTTTTATGCGTTTCGTGGGTTCGATCTCGAGCATGTCGAGCTGGATTATGTCCAAAAGGTCGTGAATTAACTCGGAGGCCTGCGGACTTGCGTGCAATTCATGAAACATCTGTGATAACCTTGTCAGCGGGTGGATACGTCCCAAAAATATGATTGATCCTCACCTCCACAACACCTGGCTTAACAGTCGTTGTAAGCATATTGTCCTCACGGTAAAGCGCATAGAATGTATCGGTATCAAAACCGTGTTCATCCGCCGCCAATCGCTTGTCGGCAAACTCGTTATACCCATTGGGACCCAGCAAGAACCAAGTCAAAAATTCAAGGTAAACGCAGCCCAATGACCATATATCAACAGCACGACTCCTTGCTCCCAGTCGTTGTGCAGCTTCCGGTGCTTCATATGTCACGGTGCCGAAGACAAGGTCTGACATCTGTCTAGACTGGGTCCTTCTGTTGTGAATACGAGCGAGCCCAAAGTCGGCCAAAACAAGGCTTCCTCCGATAGCATCTTCCGTACCTGTACCAAAGATGAGAATGTTACTCGGCTTGATATCGCCGTGTCTGTAAAATCCCCTGTCATCGTTTAAGCCTTCTGGATCGACGCGCTCCCGGTGCAAGCTTGACAAGGCTTCAGCAAGTCCTCTGCATTGTTCGATAGCCCACTGGTAGTGTTGGGCGGCACGTTGCGAGGTTGGGTCCGCCGAAAGACAATACTGGTGCAAATTCATGTCGGCCCAAGGGAGTATGAAATGATAGCGGCCATGATACTGGTAGGTTGCTAGTAAGGAGAGGAGGTGGCGATTTGACTGCTTGGTCGCGAATTGTAAAGCCTTCATCTCGGACTTGAAATCATCATCCGAAGATAATGCGTTGAGCTGTTTCAAGGCAAAGCGATTTCCTTGATATCCGAGCGGAATCTAGTGTAAATTAGCAAATTGCAGCTCCCAACGATGATTTTGAAACCTACCATTGAGGCAAACTCGTGATGGTCGGGGTGGATCACCACACTTGTAACGGACGCAAAACCACCGACCAACTCGACAGTCTCTCTTCCAGGCCCACCTATGAATGGCAAAATCTGCCGATCCGAAAAGTTGTAATGTCTGGCTGGATTCTGATCATCTCCTTTGCTGAAAACTGGTGCTAGGAAGGACCACTGCCTGTCCTCAAAACCATGCTTGACAAACGGTCTCCAACGTCGGGTGTAAGTCAGTTTGAGATGCGGCTGAGTAGCCGATTGGAGTTCCTCCTCAGAACCGTGGACAAGGGGCAAGCAGTCGTCCGAGGTCCCCGCAGCAATCATGTCAAATATATAACCCGCCCTCTCCAACAAGACCAGAATGGCGAAGACCTTCTGGAACGATTTGCTGGCCTGACAAATGACATCGGCGGTTTCACGAACACTGACCTTCAACCATCTTTTGGGAAGGTCCCGGTTGCGGACCAGCCTCTCCAGCTCCTGACAGACGTTGTTCGTGTTCACGATAGTAGATAAAGCAGTCCGAGGCAAGAACTGTCTCGTGCCCCAGTGGGTAAGGACCATGGCACTGACTAAGGCATCCTGCATCGCCGAAGCCTCTTCATCTGTGGAGTCATCACCGGCAGATATCCTTTCACCAGAGAGTATTTCATCGCTCACCAGTTCTGGGAGACTGATCGATGCCTGACCCCCGATATCGGGTGTTTCGTGTTGTCCCAAGGGGGAGGGCACGGAGACAGAGACCATCGCAGCGTCAGTGTCGAAGGCTGGGTCATGATTATCCAATGTAGCTGGGATTGTGCCAGGTCCGTCATCGGCCGGTTCTGTTTTGGTAGCGTCAGGAGTCCAACCCAAACTGCGCGGCTGATCGATTGACTTGTGACTCTGGCCCAACATCGCGTTTGGGGCAGTTTCTGGGGTAAAGACATGGATGGAGCCTGGCCCGAACTGAGTTTCCATTTGTGTCCAAATCTTCGTCATCGGGACCACATATGCGCACCCACGCGGATCGCATGCTACAACATGACCGTAGATCTCGTGAGTCTCTTGGTCAATCACCAGGGAGCCGGACTCTCCGTCAATAATACCTACGCTTCTGGTCAGCAATATTCTACATTCTCTCCGTAAGATGTCAAAGGTATACTCTGAGCTGTATCCAAGATCACTGTCCATGCTTCACAGAGAACTCGATCAGGCCCCGAGCCAAGCATCGCCGTGCTACCCAGCAGCCTTCCTGAAAGCACGCCGCGGATACCAGACACGACGTGTACTGGGACGCGGTGGAATCTAGGTGCCTTGGCAAATTTCTCCAATGCTATGGCTTGCCCTTCAGGGCCAGAGGGGAAGTACTGGTTAGGGAGAGGGAACAGGGGTTGTTGAGCACTAGGCGTTACCAAGGACCAGTCGAGGTATGCTTCCCAGCCATCGAGTTGACGAGGTGGTCGGATCCTATCGACGAAGAAAGAGTCACCTTGCACTGAGCTTTGGAAGCGGGGTTCGCGGTCCCATTCCTCAGATATCTCATCTTCATAGTCCTCATCATATTCCATAACCTTATCGGTCCATAACTCTCCCAGATCTTCCATCTCATCATCATTGAGAGTAGACTCGCTAGAGGCGTCCATATCGAGGGATGCTGTGTCTGTGGTGATGAGAGAGTCGGCATGTTCCTGCTTTTCGGGTTCAAAGAGATGATCAACCGTCATGACAGCAATAGAATCCCCGACTCGGATGGCCAACCCCAGAGTCGCGGTTCGAGACCCATGATGAGCGACAGCACCGCACCAAGTAATGTGCCTGCCAGGTTCCTGGTGGATGTTCTCGTCCACGGCGGTTCGTTTCTTGGGGTTTTTGGGCGACCGATAGTATAATAGCTGAAAAGGCGGCACCGGCATTTTGTTTGGATCGTCTTCGCGAAACAGGTGAAACACTTTCGACTTTTTACCGCAGTACAAGGGGTCCTTCACGCGCTTTTTGAAGAGGTCACTGAGCTTACGAAAGTCTTCTCTGCGACAAAAGATGACGATATGGGGTGTGGCTTCCTCTGGTGATGGTCCTCCCATGTGGAGACGGTAGTCTATTGTATCGGCGCGATCTCGAAGGTCGGGGTTCTCGTTGACTGTCTTGCGCATTTCCTCCGACACGAATCGAAATCTGGCATCGTACTCATTGGCTCTCCATTTACCGAGAGTGACCTCTGCGTCAGGGTAAATGAACATGCTCTTAACCCCAGGTATGGAGTCTGCCCGGTCGTAGGAATTGGAGGCCAAGGGGGCGCTGATGGCCGGGGCTGATACTGTGGTGTTGCTCGGCCCTGTAGGTTGTGATGGTGGGGCTGCCCGGGCTGCGACATATGCGTGATGCTGTAGTTGGTGCGATGGCTGCTGAGGCTGCTGAGGTGAACTTTGCTGCGATGGTTGATGAGATGATTGTTGTTGGTGATGGCTGCTAACCGCTGCATTGTCTAGTGGAGGTGAACTGTCGTCGCCGATTGACTTCGGTTGGACCGACGAAATGGAAGTAAGGCTTGTTCGGAGAGTTGAGAGGGCATCGTTCGGCTTCGCTGTGCTGGCCATGTTCGGACAGCCTGCTATAGGGCGACAAGTGCGTGGAAGATTTTTGGAAACGACCATGCAAGATAATAAGATGCTCATATCTTTCGCGAGGTATTCAAACATAAGACATGGTGGGGAAAGATTGGTTAGAGAATTTAGATGAATGAGGTCAATGGAGAGATGCAGAAGATAAGGGAAAAGCAATCGAAACGTGGTGTGGACGGGGAGAGGGTATCACTTCGCTCTGGCGGCAAGCTGACCTCGACTGTGCCATGCAAAGCACCTGCAGACAGAGCCACCAATCGCAACACACTCCCAACGCCACTCACACATTTCCGTTATTCAGGCGTCGTGGCTCAGCCCCTCTGTTAAATATGGTGGAAATTCGAATGCCCGCCTAGTTCTCGTGGCACTTGCCGTTTTCCCCGTTAATCATTAACTTAACACTCATTAACTCATCCCCTGGGCGAGCCTCCTGAAGCTTATACCTGGTTGTCATACATAACTTGGAATTCTCAACAGCTGAGCCAAGATGGCCACCGACTACAAGACTCAGATTGCTGACAGCCTGTTGGGGAAAACAGGAGAGTTCGACGCATTCTTTAGACTCTACGACGAGCTCCTTAACATTGGTTCAAGGAGCTTCGTAGTTCAGATCAACAACCCATCACAGCAGAACTCTCGGCCTGTTTCTCATGACTCCATCATCATAGCCGCAAAGGTTTTAAAAGCCCAAAGCTCCCTCAGCCTCAAGGACACCAAAGAGGCCATCCAAAAACGTCTTTCAGCACAGAAGCTCTCCTCGCTTGAGGTAGACATCGTCTTGAAAGTGGCTGTACAGCTGGCCTTTATGGTCCACCCCAATGTTTATGACTCCCATGGGCCCGCTTTCAGAATCGGATCTTATCGGCCTGCGTCCTGGTTGTCAGAAGAGAGTTTCACTGACTTCGTCAGCAAGTCGTTCCCCCATGTGTCTTCAACGAGGATATTGCGAGTCCAGGATGTTCTTGCGGAAGAAAAGTCCCTCAAGGCCTGGAAGTTGAAAGAGCGATTGGGCATCAAATTCCGACCGACCAACAATTTGGCTGAGCATCTTGTCTTCGACCCCGACAGCCAAAGTCTTTATTTGTTTCACCACGCTGGATATCTCAAGGCCCATCTGGACTTGTGGGAGCCCAAGAAGAACTCTAGAGACATTGGAATAGGAGAAGCCATCGCTGAGTGAGTTACTTACCTAGGGTTCTTACCTTTTTGTCTCTATTTTTCGTCGGCATCGTACTGATAACAGCAGTGGAACATTGAGCCCCCGGTTGCTAGCCGAGACTCTCCATTCACTTCAGTCTATTCTATTCCGATGGGGCGACGAAAAGTCCAAGGTCATTCTCAACGAACTGATTAAAAAACAGGGCTTTGACAGCTCTTGCGCTATTCATGAAGGATACAGAATGTTCAAAGATGGTACCGGGGATTTTGTTTACACCTTCTGGGGAGAGAGGCTCGCAAGCATCCATGACTTGATGCGTGAGCGTCCTCCTCGGACAAAGTTCCAGAAGTGGATCAAGTGGCAAACCACAGAAAGAAACTTCTTCCTTGTCGGCGGCCTTGCCTTGATCATTTCTGCTGTTGTTGGGATATTAAGTCTTGGTCTTTCTGGGTTTCAAGCATACATTGCGTGGCAGGCGTGGAAAGTCGCAAACCAACCACCTACCTAGGAGGTGGTTAACCATTACTAGATCAGCAATGCCGACACAACTCTAACATCCTCGGACGTGGGTCAGTAGTTATCTACCTAGGTACGAAACCAAAGGGATCCGATAATGCCACGAGGTCAGACGAAAGAAAGAAAACACAAAAGCCCGGTTTTGATTCTGTTATGCACCAACCTCCGACCTGCCGCCCCTTCATAAAACCTTGCTAGCATAGCATCTTCTCCATGTCCTTCCCAAAACCAGCTGCTACCTTTGTGGTTTGCCGTCTTCGACAACAGTGTCGCTGGACTTGCTCAGATCTGGCTCTCAATCTCATCGCAGGCAGCAAAGAACTCCTCCTCCGTCTTCTTGTAGGTGCCCATTCAAATGGCTACAAATCTCATTAGCAAACAACCAACGAACTGTTGTCATAGCATCTATCACTCACACTTAATAACGATGAGTGCATAAGAAGAGAAGGTCGAGATAGCTTGGCTCTCGACTCCCGTGTCCTCGATGAAGTTGAGAGTGATGATGATATCCTTCAAGAGCATCCCGCGCGAAACCCACTCGTTGTACTCCAAATTCTGTGTGACGGCCTCGTAGGCGAGGTGAAAGGCCTCGTTGTGGAACTCAGCAGAGTTGGAAGGCATGCTCAGGAGCTTGAGATCTGGATTGCGACGGTTAGTAGCTGGTTGCGCTCGCTCGATGAAAGCGCGGAGAGGCGTGAGGCTTGTGCTTACAGTCATTAGGGGACATCTGGATCAAGCGCTTGTGGCCGGTCTCGGCGACTGTCAAGATGGAAGAGTGGTCAGCAAGCTAGGAAAACTCGCTTGAAGGGAGTTTTTAGAGCCGAGGAGACGCCCGAAGATTGAGCCGGCCGCGCGTGGGTAGGGGACTTACGAAGGATCTCGCGAAGACCGACGTGAGGGGGATAACAGTGGTGAATGTTGTGACCGCACTCCTTCTTGGCCATGCCGATGGTCGGCTGGTGGCAGGTGTTGACGCTGGCGTTGAGGTGGACGGTGAGCTGCTCAAGCTGACGAGGCATAGCCGTCTTGGTCTCGACGGTGCAAATCATCTTGATGATTGGTTCTGGTTGCTGGAAAGATGGATGTCCGAAGAGGATAAAAGAAGTCGAGATTGTGTGGAATGTGTGAAAGTAGAAGTGGCAACGGTTGTTCGGTCTGACTGGATACTGGAAGAAAGAGAGGAGGAGGAAGATGGGTGGAAGGACGAGACTTTGTACCTGTGCCTGAGAACAACCAGGAGCAAACAGAACGGCAGTGGGTATATAACCTGACTGGCGCTAGGAGTGAATACCCTCAGAACAATAGGTAGTGAAGGGGGTGGCGTTGCTCGTGACTGAGAGTGTGACTAACCCTTACTCACCATCTGAATCAGCATTGCTCCCGGCCACAAACCCAACACTTCACTCTGATCCCCTTGGTATGAAATGGCGCCAGAAGGAAGCAAATAATTGCGTTTGCACTGTCAAATTCTACCGAGCATGTGCATGAAACACGTGAAGTACTCCATCGGAGTATTTCCTGTGCTTTCCCCGGCCTTCGGTCTTGGTCAGGTGTCCTCAGTCTTTTCCAGCTGTCCCATGACGACCGTGAGCATCCAGGATCTTCTGGCAGCCTTCTTGGGCATAAGCATAGGATCGAATCACGGGAAGAGATTGATGAAGCTTCCCAAGGAAGACCACAACCCAGACGAGGTGAAAGAGGAAGAAAACAGCATCATTGGCCTTGAATTCGCGTACCAAGCCAGTCGATCCAATACACCGCGTCCACAAAAGCTCTCACGATTTGCAGACGTTTTTTGGTCAAGAAGACGGGGTGCAAGTGTCATTGAGTCAAGACAAAAGAGCGGTGCGGTGTGTTTCTTGTAGCAAATTTAAAGTCTGATGACCGGATATAGGGGACGTGGTACATTTGTAAAATCTGTGTATATCCCACAATTTGAAGATGTGTATTGATCTTTGGTCCATAACAATAGAGCTGTTACCTTCGAGTGTGAATGGCAGTGCTATCCTTCATTTCAGATGCTAGAGACTGACATCCCTCGGGGGTTCAGGCTGGCGACTGGATCATTGGCAAGGACTAAAACCAAGCGATGAAGAAGAGTTTGGATAAGAAACACAAGCGGCAGATAAAATTATGGTCCACTCCCCAATTGATTTTCCCAGCCCCTTCTTATCCTTAAAGCTACTTTCTTGTCCGGTTTCCAACCCTGTTGCAGAAACATCTCCAAATGATGCCCTCTGATCAAATATTGGCGGGGCCTTGATGAATGGTATTGAGCAGCTCCTCGCAAGTCCAACCATTTTGCATGTAGATGTCTGCGAAGCTCATTAGTATGGTAGAAAAGCTAGGACTTGGCTGAGATTCAAGCCATCTTACCATAGAAGGCCCGGAAGCAGGCGGAGTAGAAGAGAGCGCGGATGAGCCGTAGTATTGCCCTTATTCTGGTGGTATGAGTGAACATGCACTGATTGCGATCGAAGATTTGATTGATCTTCTGATAGGCGAGCTTCAAAATCTCGGAGGTGAACTTCGCGCAAACAGGGCCCAGAACTGGGTTCCAAGCGCCGAGGAGATACTCGTCTACAAGCAATGTCAGCCGCACGCACGAGGGCGGATCGGATGAATCAGACATACATCTTCGTCGGTCAGGACAACCAAACGCTTGCGAGAGATGGAGGTAGCCGTTTGGTTTGATTAGCATATATCTCGTGGAACGCCAGACGACGACGACTCCGTCAAGGGCATTGTTGAAGTGAGGAGCGCACTTACAAGCCATGTTTGATCTTTTTTGATAGACGGAAGTACGATTTATGCAGACTGGATGATAGCAAAGCTTAGTCGAATGGTTGCGATACTGGCAAAGGTGAGAGGTTGATCTGTTGCGGGTTGGGTGGGGAGAAGGAAGAGGAGAAATGAGAGGAGAGGATGATATTTTATATCTGCAGAGCTGCGCTGGGAGCAACAGGCGGGTGGGATGGACAAACGCAGGGCCCACCTTAGGTGAACTGGGAGACAACAATACCTGACTGCGGGGCGATATTCAATGTCATGGTTCGGGAGGAATGTCGAACCGCACTCTTCCACATGATATGGGCTCGTTTTCCAAGCTGAAGAATCATGTGTCCAAACACTTTGAAAAGCTTTTAGCAAGGGAATCAAGTATCTACCTATCCGGTTAGAAAAAGAGGAAATACAAGATGCCTGTATCGGAACGGAGGACGATGCTAAGAGTCAAACCAGGTGTTGTTTTGCATGTTAACTTGGTGTGTTTCAACCCGTGACCTACTCTACTTATAAGGACCCTGCGAGTGTATATAGGTATACACTGATGTTTGCCTGTAGACGTATGTAGAAAAGATTGGTTGGTAACGTGCTATGATGTCTGGTACATCAGCCACGCCGTGAGGCAAGATGTTCAAGCATGCGGATACAAGTAACGAAAGGACTAGGATTCAAGCACTGATCACATGGCATCCGTCCTCGAGATCTTCCGAAAGCCTCCTGATCAGCTCCAACCAGTGCATGTGGCCACTATCTTCACTCCATTCCTGGGCAACCCCAACGTCGCCCGTCGCATTGCCTCTTACTTCGCGAACTATATAAAGTAAACCTGGGTATACTCGCATCGTACCTATCGTAGGATATCAAGAACACGAACCCTTTCAAAAAAACGAGACAAGAAACGCGCATGAAGGACTTCACACAAGGGACGAGAAATGTAGAGAATATTGTCAATTCATGAGGCCTTCCGTCCGTTCGCCCAGAAACACAAATAGCCCCATGGAGGTCCACCAAGGAATCCTGCTAGCTACCTCCTGATACCGACCAGCCGTGACCCAAAACTGCTTACTTCTCCTCTCTGATCTGAGCAAGGATCTGACGCTCTGTAGCCAGAAAGTGCTCGCGAGTGCGGCCGAAGCTGATCCAAATATCTACACCTCAATCAGCATCAATGCACAGTGGTTGGAGAAGTGTGAAACTTACCCTCGAGGATTCGCAGGGATGCAGCGACGAAAAGAAGGAGAATGATGTCACCGCCGGAGCGGTTCTCATCATAGGTTCGAAGAACATCGGTGAAGAGGCTCCGGAGCGAGAGGCATTGGTTGTCTTGTAACAGCTCATGGATGGGGATGTAGGTCGTGATATGAACATCCTTGGCGAACTCGTCGTTGGGGCCAACGATCGGGTTGAATTCCTCAGTCAGTCAAGAAAGGCTGGCAACATACAAGAAGGCTTCTGCCCATTGGAAAAAGCACGCGAGTTGCGTTGCTCGAAGGCCTTATTGATCGAAGTATGAGAAATCATGGTGTAATGCTTGTGGGTTGGTGTTGAGTGTGGACGTGAGTGAATGTTAAGACAAGGTTCAGTGAAGGCTGAGTAGAATGAAGTGATCGGAAATGTGGTTGTCTGGTGTGGCTGTGATGAAAGGAGAGAGGATAGAAGAGGAATTATCTGGGAGGAGGGACGATATTTTATAATTAAACAGGAGGTGGTGGGGCAGGGCCACAGCGTAAGTGAATGAATGACAGACCCACTGGAAGTGAATATCGACAATAGCTTCAAAAGTCTGCAACGCGGTGAGAGATGGTATCTTCTCCACAATCTCCCTGTATCAGACACCAACGCCTGCTTGGCCCTTCCAAAGAGGCAGCGAATAAGAGGCAATGGGAAAGTGAACAAAAGGTATTTAGGTAGAAATTCAGGGGGGTGAATCAACCACTGCACCTAACGATGATGCATTTCAATTTCGTGCTTGTATAGGTAAATGTTGACCCAATTGCTTCTTTCTCCATCATGCCTGCTATGGAGTAAGCCTTGCAACAGAGCAAAAGGGACTGTTTGTCTGCATAAAGGGGCGCCGCTTGCTGAAGCCAACTGGGGAAGTTTGCGGAGGTCTCGATGTCAAACCTTCCACATCAATCAAGGAATGACCGACTTTCCCAACACGGACTTCAAGCTGCCAGTCAGTGACAAGCGTGATTACCGTTTGGGCTTCATAACTATCTCTGACCATCGACAGGAACAAGTGGGTGTGGCATTAAGTGACGTCTCCCTCTTCTAGCCGCCTTCCTTGCTGTCGACCCTGTGTTTCTACCGTGAGTTTGAAGCATCCACCAAAACCGCCTGTTGTAGTCAAATGACTGCAGCAAATTTGTCTATCAAACCACCCTGGTCATAGCCACTGGCCCAATAAGGCGCTTTTTGTGATTGTAACTTGTACCTAACAGGCTCTAGCCATAATTACGTGGTAATCTGATCAAATCAGACCATTTAGCGGGTTCATTATGCTAAAGCATGGTATGAGGAGGACGGAGTAAGCCACCAGTCAAAACCAGGGCTGTTATTGGACGCTACGAAGACATTAGGGCTAAACGATTCTAGCTGCCATGATCTCGCTTCCTCGAGGAAAAGCCCACCACTTTAGAACACTCTACATTCAGGCAGTAAGACATTGAAAAAGTCCCATCTGAAAGCTGCTCAGGTTGACCTCGATATTCTTGAGAGAAAGGGGAATGCTGCGAGTATGAGAGGGATGGAACGGGTGGAATCTTATGAAAGATGGTGCCCATGGTTGTCAGGCTGCGAAAATGGAATGCACATGGGTGCACCCTTGTCAATCTCTAGGTACATACTGTGGAGTATTCAAAAGCAGACAAACCCATCGTGCTGATTTCTTTGTGTTGATGAGCAATGGAAGATGGGGTACAACCCTAACCCAGGAGCGGCTGTGGGTAGGGTTGGTAAAAGGGGGAAGTGGGGCCTACCTTGTCCCGGGGACTTTGGGGCTGTCGGTGCAGCTGGACCAAGACAACGATCAAATAAACGCATACCGAGCAATTGATGGAAGCGTAGAACGATAGTCTCAGAGTTTATGTCCTGCAAATGTCATTGAGCATGCTCGGTCGATGACAATAGGTATTGTCATGACTGGATTGTTCTTTGTCGAGCTTTCCGGAAGCATCGCGGCTGGTCACGACAAACCCCTTTAAACAGCAGACGTTCTTTGTGAGACTTGGCGAGAAACATCAATGAAACGTCAACATTAGAAGTAGTTATACCCCACGTAAAGTGAGAAATACGGTGTAAGCTGCTCCGACCACCTTCCCCGTCCCGTGGATCAAGGTGTTCAAGTCAATTGCGTCGAGTCTTCAACTTCTCTCACAATGGCGCAAGATCCTGCGCAGCAGTCTCCCGAGGACCCTTCAGCTGGTCAGCTGGTACTCTCACAAAATGTCACCCCCAGTGAACCCAGGGAATGGCCCGAGGCGATCCCGCAACCTCACTGGGTGGAGAATCCACCAAGGACCGAGTGGAGGCGGATGGTCCGATGGGGCATGTGGCGGTTCCGTGAAACCGGCGAGCATATGAATCTCAGCACCTTCCAGTTCCCTTGGTGGGCAGCAGACTTCCCCCCGTTCATCCCCCTTCCCGGCAAGTACAAGGGCCCGAGAGTCCCGACAGGATACAAGCCCGCCCCTGGCGGGAACGACGGCGAGGCACCGGCTGAGGACTTTTTCAAGGCGAATAAGTTTGAAGAATTCACAGAGCCCCCACAACCGCTGACGGATTCGCCTTTTGTGGCACAGGCCCCACGAGAAATCGTTACCTTCCTCGAGAATTACTACCGGCTCAAGTTTGTCAAGGTGCTCGGCTGGGGAGGTGAGGGCATCGCGATTCTTTTCGTACACTCAAGAGAGGATGGGACGTGGTACTTTGTCGCCAAGGCCCCTATCGACCAGGAGGGATGGGATGGTCTGAAGCGGGAGGAGGCTTTTCAGCGCAAGTTCACGGGCGCTCAGCACATCGTTCAGCTTGCGCCGCTGGAATGGGTTTTACAACCTGATTTAGAGAATCTTGGAATGGACCTGCCACTACAGCTTGATCTCGACATTCCTCACCCGCCAGATGTTGAGGTCGCCTCGGCGGTGATGCTGTCGGAATTCCTCCCGAGCGGAAGTCTTGCCAAGCTGATCAACGCTTTGAATCTGAAGCCGCATCTCAAGCCGGTGCCCAACTACTTTGCCTGGAACATCTGGCTCTGCAGTAAGTGAATTTCCCGTTCCACGGTAGACCCAAGGGCACTTACCTTGCATATTAGTGGTGAGATCGCTCGTGGAATTCAAGTACAGCCCGCAAGAGAACAAATATGATCAGGGAGACGGCTTCCCGGTATCCATCACATTTGACGATGTAATATCGGGAAAAAAAGACAACATTCATTTTGACCTTGATCCTGCCAACTGTGAGTTAGCTGTCTCCTGCAGCCAAAACAAGGTTTCCCTCAACCATGAAAAGGCTAATGTGATTTAGACATATTTGGTGACCGTGGGGTCGGCTGGACCGATGATCAACACTACATCGCGCCCGTTCTCAAAATGGCCGACTTTGGCGCCTCTGAGACTATCGAACAGAACGTTTTGTTCAATAATCCGTAAGTATGCGACCCTGGTGTGCAAACGATGAGATTCAGGTAGGGGGTATCTGACTGCGTCTCCCTCCCTGTCTTTAGGTTCAAGATGTGGGGATATCGAGTCCGTGGCAAGTTCTCGTACTGGGCCCCTGAACAGTTCTCAGAAGAGTGGGATTATGTCGAGGCACTGCCACACGATATATTACCTCCAGACCACGTTGTTGCCGGAAAATATTCCTGGAAGCTCAATCTCTGGCAGGCCGCTCAGGTAAGCAACCATCTCAGCATTGATTACCTACCGGTTGTTACTGTGACTAACCAAGTTCAACACCATTCAGTCTATGGTTACGCTTCTGACGGGAATGTACCCAGAGTCACCACCCATTCCCACATGGATGGAATTCGGTCAGGTGGAGGGATGGGGTTACGGTGCCTACGTCTTGGAAGGGTTGAAGCCATACGTTGACCCTCGCCTCACAAACATCTTGGCGCGCTGCATGATGGAGAACCCGGATCACCGACCTGATATCGGCGAGCTGCAAGGCGAAATGGTGGCCATATTGGGACATTATCGACATCTCGGGCAGCAAGAAGGTAACCCGGACGAGACGGACTGGCCAAGGAACTGGCACAAAGCTCCATATGAGGAGCAGACACCATGGACAGATAGACAATTGCATGCATGGGTAGATGAAGCTCTTTACCAACCCGCATCCGCGCTGGCTCCTGGTGTCCCCCCTCCGGCAGACGACGGGGGACTAAGTCCAGCACAAATGGAGGATGCTCAAGTTAAAGACGTGCAACAAGAGTTGAGCGAGTCTCAGCGGGAAGAACTATTTGACAAGTGGGCCGACAAGAAGAGCCAGGCGTTTAAAGATAAGCTGGATGCCATGCAGGAGGCCCAAGCCATGAAGATGTACGAGAGATGGTGGGACCCAGCCCTGGAAAAGACAGAGACGTACAAACGGCAAAAGGAATGGAAACGATGGCTCAAAACAAGACCTCCAGCTGAGCAAGAAGAAGTCGACGCGATGTCTCAAGCTGAGCAACAGGCCGCTTTCGAAAGCTGGCTCGCCAGGAGAGTGAAGGACGAAGAACAGGAGAGGCGATTGCAGGCCTACATCAAGCACCGTGATTGGAAGCGGGAGTTCAATCTGCTCTGGGCTTCCAGGCCCGCCGACCACCCTCCAGAAACCTACTACTCCTGGGTGTTGCAGATGGCCAAGATGGAAGCCACTCGGCCACACACGGATGCCTACATTGCCGACTGTGTTGAGCAGATCAACGACTATGTCAAGCAGCAGCATCAGGACATGATTTCCCAGCTCGACAAGAGGGCAGAGAGGCGTATTGCAGAACAGCGAGATATCATAAGACAATCGGGTCAGCCGCATCTGACACCCCTGGAAATACAAGTGATAAGGCGTTACTACGATGAGGACATTTCGATATATCTTCCCACGCTGGGGACCAGTCTCTCAAGGCGTATCTACCGGCTGCAGAAGGAGATCTTTGGCCAAGACTGGCATATTGGGAAGTCCAGTCAGATGATCAGCCCATTCCGTTCGATTCCTTCCCTGGTGAATCAGGACAGAATCGTACCGTACAAGCACGACGGCAATCCTCTTCCTAGCTCAAGCCCGCCACTGAGTCGCACTCCTACCCCGGATCCCCCACGGTTGGATTCTGCTCCTGGCGGAGGAGGAGGAGGAAAAGGAGATGACGACGACGACGACGACGATAGTGATGATGGTGGTGATGGCGGAGCTGGTGGTGCAGCTGACGCCAGTGGTCCTAGTGCAAGCGGAGGCGGTGGAGGAGGAGGAGCTCCTCCACCCTCTGTTAGTAACGACGATGATGGTGACGATGATGTTGGTATGGGTGGCCCTGCTCCGGCACCACAGCCTCAGGGACCAGTGTCAAGATTCAACCCAAGTGCTCCTGTCTTCTACCCCGGTCCGAGAGTGGCTCCATCTCCGACTGGTCGCCGTGGCGGTCGCCGTGCTCCACCTCCGACCGATCGCCCAGCTCCCTCCGCGCCTCCACCCCCGCCTCCACCGGAGGTCGACCCTTACGAAGTCGAGTTTCCTGCGCTTGGTACGCCAGGCCCAGTTGTCCCTAAGCGTGTGGTCACCACCCAGACTGGACAGAACGATGTCAAGGACGCCAGGAGAGCACGGCGGGCAAACAACCGAAATCTCGATCGCGTTTCTGTTCCATGTGTTGGGCCTAGTACCGATTCTGCAGCGGCCCCTCCGGCTATCACCATAACAGCCTCTACTCCTACAGCTCCTCTAGCTGCTAGCCCTGCGGTTGCCATTATTCAGGAGCGGATGCAAGAAATAGGATTGGCAGGGCCAGCAGCACCACCACCTCAGCACTTCCAGGCGCCCCATTTTGGAAATCCAATCCTTCCTATGCCGGAATTGGAGAACCCCAGATTCGGAGCACCGATGCTGCCGCCCATCGGACAACCAGGAACGGGACTATCGCTGTGGGACCCGGACGCAGCTTCAGCTCGATTCGCTGGGCCCCTGCCGCCGGGCGTTCCGGTTCCGCCACAGTATCGACATCTTGCCCAGCAACAGCCTCTTCCTCCCGCGCCATTCCCATACGGCAACCCTCCCCAAGGCGCTTATGGTGGTCCTCCAGTAGCTGGTTCTTCGGTACCTGGTCCTTCTGCACCTGGTCAGCAAGGCCGCCCCCGAGGACGACGTCCACCATTTAAACCCGAACCTGGCAGAAACTCCATGCCACTTCCAAATGGAGGGCGCGTTGACCGTTGGGGAAATTGGTTCCATGATCCACAGACAACACCCCCTTATGTCTGGAGAGATCCTAAGATCCGACCTCGCTCGCCTACGCGTCCCCCGCCGCCGCCTGGAATGGTTTTGCCCCCCTTCCCAAACTGGGACTCACCTTGGCTGGATTATGTGTACCCTAGGGACTACGTCGCTCCGCTTGTGAATGGACAACCGCCGACGCCCAAGACGAAGTACCAGAAGCAGAGAATGGAAGAGGCAGACAAGGTCAGGGAAGAGGATGCGCGAAGGGAGAAGGAGAAAAAGACACGTGAAGAGCAAAGGGCTGTCATGCAGGCTAGACATCAACAACGCTTGAGGGAAAGGCAGAGACAGAACCAAGATTACCAGCCTCCGGATGAAGGTGAAGGCGAGATTTCACCTAGGTCACTACAAGCCTTCCGAGTCTGGAAAAAGAAGAACAAGCGGGCGGAAAGAGTACAGGACGCGAGAAGGGAGAGGGTCCTGGAGCGGGGGAGGGAGATTGAGAGGGAAAGACGAATGGAAGAACCGCCTCCGCCCCCGCCGCCCAACTCACCTGACGCGTTGGATTTCCAGAGAAGATTACGAGAGGTCTTACAACGACGTGCCGACAGAGCGCAGGCGGCAGCAGAGCGAAGGGCCACGATAGCGGATGCACAATGGAGATTGGAGATGGAGCGTGACCATGACCCCGCGAACATCGACCGAACCAATGTTGGTCCTCCCCCACAGTTACCCCCTCCTCGCCCGCTCACCCCCTTGCGAGGAAGCCCAACTTCACCACCATCACAAAGGGCTGGACGGTTCGGGCCTGTTGGTCAAGACCGCGTTGAACACGATCCCGACAGTGATATAGAGGGTCGGCCTCCACCGCCGAGAAGGGAGCGCTGGTGGCATACCAGATCTCCTTACAATCAGGGAGGCCGCAACTGGATGCAATCTAGCTCGTCCGACGAGGATGAAGACACCATCCTCAGATCCCCAGATTGGTTTCGACGAAGGCAACAACAAGAACGGGCTCTCGATGCCAGAAGGCAAGGCGACAGGGTGCTGTCTGGTCGTGTCAGGCCCCAACCCGAACGCAGATCCCTGCTCTCGCGCTTGGTAGACTTCAGCACGGCCATCACGTCCCCGCCTCGGCCCGGGCGTTGGGGTGTAATCGGCGCAATTGATGGATGGTTGAGGAACCAGGGCAGAACCTCCAACGAGACCGGGAGCCCATTGCGGCGGCGGAGGGACTCGGGAGCGCCAGGGCGGAATCTAGGTGTGGATATCGATGCACTACCTCGGATTGAATCACTCACCCGGACGGTGAGGCCACGGCCCGTACCGTTTGAGGAACCATGGGTATCACTGCGGCGGCAGCAGCATCAGCAACGTCAGCAGCAGCAAAGACGTCAGCAGCAGCAAGGGGGCCAGCAGCAGCAGGAAGATCAGGACGTGGTTATGACGGACGCAGATTAAAATGATTCGAGCTCCACCATCCGACCGCCACGTCGTTGAGCGCTTGGTGTTCGGACAAATTTTGTGGTCAGTTGAGGGCAGGTGCCTTTGGCAAGAAAATGGCGCTGATTAGGTAGTTTTCTGGGTTGGTATTGTCGGGATGCTGTTCGACAGTATTGGAAACAGGATTGGAAAAGGGATTTCGGATAGGATCTGCTTGGAACTTCGGGGTTTCTTTGGCGATTATCTACGTATTTAGATACATAAATTTTTTCTCCCAGTATTCCACTCACTCGCTGCCGTTTTGATAACGCAGGTGCTCATTGGGAATGACGACAGTGGTTTCGGCGTCGAAGTGGCCTCTCGGCAATCCTGCGCACAGACCGCTATTGTTTATTTTTCAAGGGGCTCTCAGGGGTAATGTGGACCGCCTTGCCAGCCCTAACCCTGCCTCCAGGTTAATGTTACACTTTCTCCCATTAGCTGTTGTCTGAAACCTAAAACAACTTGAAAGATCTTCCATATCACGTCAATGATTACGACTGGTGTTAAATGTCTCTTGGTGCATGAAGCTGATCCTAGCAATCTATTCCTGTCGTACCTTTGATTCCTTTCTTTACCCCATTCAATATAAGTACCTGTTTACCAGTGTTAAGGGCCTACGGCTGGGTAGAGGAGTAGCTTACAGGTAAAGGATTGAATTGTCGGATGAAGAAGAGATGAAAGAAAAGGTAGATGAACTATATCACACCTCACAATGTCTTGTCATACCTCCCAAGGCCTCTGAACTTCCCCTGCAAAGCGTACGAAATATCCACTGAAACTATCCGAACCTCCTCGTATTTCCTCGTATCTCCTACAAACTCCTGCCTCCCACGTTAATCTCAAGCCACGTCAAACACCAAATAACCCTAACCCGGATATCATCCCATAACAGCCAGTAGAAAGCCACAGCAAATCCTACTCGTTGACGGATCCATCACCGACGGGAATCCTCATCTGTTCACTCTGAGATCAATTCATTCTAAGCCTCTTGCTTTGCCGCAGACCTTAATTCCTTAATCTCGCTATTCTGAAGACTAAGACGTCTAAATATATTGCGAGTCAGCATATATTCCGACATAGCACTGAACCTATTGTATGTTGCTCAATATATGTAGGAGGCAAAAATAGCTTGAAATACACGTACATACTGGATGATTTGTTAAACAGCCTGGACCGGACGGCGGGCGTGCGGGGAAGTTACATCGACAGCACTGGACTTTTTTTATTCGCCATGGAGCGGAATGTTCTGTTATAGGATGATATCCGGGTTAATATTTTTTATTTTGGTGGGCTCGAGAGGCGGGAAGGTTACTTGGGATACGAGGACTGGAAGTCCGGAGGGTTTGGTGGGTGTAAAAAGGACATCGTGGGAGGTGCATTTCCTCTTTCTTCTCTTTTTTCTTTATCCGACAATTCAATCTTTTGCCTGTGACCTGCCCCTATACCCAGCCGTAGGACCATATCATGTTCCACACAAAACAAAAAGAATACTATATTACCACATCACACTATCACGCTCCCCCAATCCGCCGGTCCCATATGCTTGGTTGAACATCAGCAAACATGTCCCGGTCAAACTTTTGCCTGATTCTCTCAATCATTGAATGAGAAACACTGGTAGTGTCTGTCACGAATATTCATCATCAGCACCAGCATAAAAACATAAGATTACCAGCCGGCCAGGAAAAGAGCGAACTTACCTTCCAAGACCGTCAACGCCTCCTCGTAGTAAAACTGCAAGACTTTGTCCTCCTCTTGGTGGCATGGCACCTCGCCTTAAACAAATTCATCATGACTGGAACGCTGGCGTCTGGACCTAAAGCCTCCTCATGCGCCTCGATCCACAAATGGACTTGTTGATGGGCGGTTTCTCGCAGTCGGGTGCGCAGGTCCCTGAGTTCCAGCTCCTCAGTCGGGAGATTGGATGGTAAGGATTGCACTACGTCGTTGAGACTGTCAGCAAGAAGATTCGTGTCGGAATGGTCATCGATGAGGTAGTAAAAGCTTACGGTCCCGGAATGTCGCTATCCCCCGCTTCAGGTTGATCTGCTGCTGTTGGTTCTCAGGATCTCGAACTCGATGGCGGAGGAGTTGCGCAAAGTTATTGGTGGGACTGAGATTCAGGTCTCGACGATCCAGCTCACCTCCGTTGGAGGTGCCATTCATTTGAGGGGACATCTTCGCCAGGGGCTTGTTTTCTCGGAAGATGGTTTGTGAAAGTCTATCGATGTGGAGGGTTTAGACTGTCCAAGGATGCTGCGTTTTCTAGGTAGGTTGCGTAGAACAGTGTACAGAGTAGAGAAACTTCAAAGTGCTAGGTATTGTGTGCTAAGGTACCTATCTGACTCGTGGCTGTCCCAATGGACCGGCAGCATCTACGCCTGGAAGCCCTCCGCGTGACTTATGACCCAAGCACATCACATTCAAATCAATAATCATCAGTCACTTAAGGCGCGAGTTGAATCTTGATCACATGCAAAGGTTGGATTTGGATTTGAGCATGTCTGTCAACACAACCAAGTTACACCTGGCATGATGGATTGACTGAAAGCTGTGCTTATTTCCTCCATACGCCAACGTTGGCACTCTAGACCAAGGGTGGCTGTTTCTTCCGGACCCAACGTGCCGTAGATCTCCAATCCAAGAAACTCTCTCTCCCAAGCCTTTTGGAATTCCTTAATCTGGTGCTCTTCCACATTTTCCAGCTCTAAAGAGTAAAATCACATGTTAGCATTGCTGGACGGCTGCACAGGCATATGAAAGGTGACAGGCTCTGTTCAACTTACGCGCAATCACAACATACGCCAGTTCATAGTAAACTTGTAGAACTACGTTGCCATTCCTGGCAGCGTTGCAGCGATCCTTGGCAAGGTCCAAAACGACACGGCGACGGAGTTCGAGCCCTGAATAGTGAGGTAGATACATCTTGACGCGTAGGCGTACGTCGAAGAGCGCGATTGCGTACATCTTGGTATTCATGGAACTGAGACTTTCTGGTGAACGTGGGAGCGTGGGTGGGAGTGACTTGACTTCAACACGGATCATTAGCGGTCTCTCGTTTTGTGATCGCATTCAACGTTCTGAGGGCGGTGGAAGGACCTTACTCATATCTAGGATTCTCAAACTTTCTTGGTCATACTCCGCTTGTTGGTTCTTGCCCTCTGGTTCATTGTCTTGGTGAGCGCCCTCTTAGGCTGCCTCAGTGTTTTGGATCAGGGTGGCTAATAAGATGGGACAGTCTTATACCATGTTGTAAGATAGGACCGTGGGATGAGCCAAAATTGCCTTATTTTTGCGTAAAATAGATTAAAGTTAACGCCCGTTTTATCTTACGTTTTATAATATATTATATAAACCCTTTTAAACTTCTCAAAAACTAATAACGTGCATGATAAGCGAGCCGAACAGATAAGCGAGCCGAACAGATAAGCGAGCCGAACAGATAAGCGAGCCGAACAGATAAGCGAGCCGAACAGATAAGCGAGCCGAACACTTTCCACCACCCCACTATAATTATCTTTAATTACACAACCATAATACTAGGAAACTATAATAATTGAACCAGAAACAGATGAATTAGATGATTCTGCAGCCTCCTTACAGGTGCGTGCATTATGGCCTGGCTTACCGTACACGCTACAGCACTGAATCTTCGGACGAGACCCCCTTACACTACTATTACTTTATCGATCTTCTTAGATTACTTGCTTACTTATAGCCTTTTAATCTAGTAAATCCTGTACCTCTTATATAGTAAGTAACCCTTTAAGCCGCATACGTATTTTTTTAGCTTTCCGGCGTTTACTTAGTACCTCGTGAATTTTACAGAGTATAGTATTTTTTATACGAAGGAAAGTTATTTAATATATTATAATTATTATACTTTTAGTAAATTGATTTATAATAATTAATATTAAAATCGGGAAATTATTTTAATAATTAATAATATAAATTTTAATAAATATTAATTATAAATTAATTTTTCGAAATTTATATAGTATTTAAAAGACTTAAAATTATATAATACCGGGCCGTAAATTTAAAGGTATTAACCTATAAAACTTTATATTTAATTTAAAAAATATTTTTTTTAAATTATACGGTATAAAGTTAATATATATAAAGCTATTTTATATATTTTTCTTTATTATAAAAATAAAAAAGTTTTTACGGAAAATATAAAGGAACTTAAATTTACTTATATAATTAATATATATATATATTAAATTTTCGATTTAATAATTATAAATTTATTTTAATAGTTTAAAGTAATTAATATTAAATAATTAAAAGAAATAAAAGGAATATAGAAATATATAAAGTATAATAATATTATTTTATTAATAATAATATTTAAATTTAATTAAGTAATAACTTTTATAATTATTAAAGATTAATAACCGGTATTTACTTTTTATATAAAACGTTATATAATAATCGAAATACTTAATTTAATTTAGATTTACCGTATTAATAATTTAATTATTATTAATAATTATAATATATTAAATAAATATTAAATTATATTTAATATATTAATTAATAAAATAATATTATATGGTTAAAATAATAAAAAGAAGAATAAGTTTTAGCCGAAAATATTAATTTTTTAAATTATTATTATTTATTTATAATTATTAAACTAAATTAATTTTACTTTATTACGGTTATTAAAAATTATAATTATTATAGCCGTAAAAATAATATTTATTATAAATTTAATTTCGTTAAAGTTATAAATATTATTATTTATAATATTATATTTAACTTTAATATTTTATATAAAAGTAAATTACTCGTTAATAACTTTTAAATCCTTATATTTAACCCTTTAATAATTATATTTATATATAAAACGCGTCCGAAATTTTAATTAACGTTTAACGAAATTATAAGCCTATCGTACGCTAATAGGAAGCACGTTACCTTCGCATAATAATCGATTAGCTATATCTTTTATATACAAAAGCCGAGGATAAAATACATGTATATATAACTTAATAATATATTAAATAATCGTTTTTTCTTCTAAATCGGTAAACTTATGTAAGTTAATTGATATATTGCGTCGTACAAGCCGGCTAGCGCGTCGGTTATAGAGAGTTATAATTAGTACGTTATAAAGCTTAACTGCGCGTTAAGAACTAAGATTTGGGTCGTTTTTGATAGCTTCGAGGGCTAAAATAATTCGAGATTCGGTTGGAAGTGAATTCATAGCGAATTGGTGGTAAAGTTGGTGAAAGAAGTCGGAGGGTTGCGCTGCGTTGGAAAGTGTTCGGCTCGCTTGTCTGTTCGGCTCGCTTATCACGCACGTTATCTGTCTGACGGGAATGAAGAAGCACAGCCGAATTCGTAAGCCCGTTTGCTTCACCAAGCCGACGAGTCGCTCACCAGTCTGCCGTTGACCAAGGGGCACAGCATGGGCCAACAAATTGCTGTAGAAACCATACGAGGGCGGGAAAGCTGGCTGGGCTGGTGAACCGATGCCATGATGTAAAGCTGACCGGGAGTCGATGGTTTCTGCAGCAAAAGCAACGTACGTCTCGGGTCAATACTTGAAAACTGCAAACACAAGGCTCCCTGGCCTGTGCCCCGCGGTCATGATTGGAGCAAGTCCCGGCAAGTCACGGTAACTCGTGCAATGGACGCGAGCAGGCCAGCCTGATGCCACCTTAGCTCCCAGGCAGCGACGCGCGATTCCCAACATAGACGCGCCATGTCTTGGTAAAGAGCCAAACCATTGTCAGCTCATCGCAGCTCGGGACAAATATCATGCCGTCTATCGATGATGTGAACGTTGAATGATGGGTATAATAGTTGACATCTTTGCCAGCCTTCATTCCATCAATTGAACTCACACACAGCATCCTTTAACAACTCACTTAACTTCCCTGAGGGACCAGAGTCCAACCGGTCACCATGTCCTCCGAAACCAGTGTCACCAACCCCCCTACCTTCTTTGTCAATCTCCCAACCATAAATCTCGAAAAAGCAACCGCCTTCTTCGTCGCCCTCAACTTCGACCACATCAAGCTCTGGTCCGATGACAAATCTTCCGCATTCCGCCTTCCCGGTGCCAGCTCCCAAGTCTCTCTCATGATTCATATCCATGAGCGTTTCAAAACATTCAACCGGCCCGACACATCCGTTGTTGATGCTTTCAAGTCGACCGAGGCCCTCTTTTCTTTCATGGCGAAAGACAAGGCGAGTGTGGATGCGTTTATTGAGCAGGCGGTCAATGCAGGTGGCAAGGCAGATCCGTATGTGTTGAAGAACTATGGGCAGGATATGGGCATGTACAACCGCAGCTTTGAGGACTTGGATGGGCATATCTGGGAGGTTTGCTCTATGGTTGGGCTTTGTCCTGGAGCTTGATCTTGAAATGATGTTTCCTTGAGACCGGTTCAGCGTAGCCATGTCGAACAAATGTTATGGAAGATGACACCTTGTACGATGAAGGCTGAATGATGTCACCCGACGTGTGAAGTGTGACCCAAGTGACATGAGTATCGGTTTATGTATGGGTTTCACTGACAGGTGAAGGGGACTTCATGATGCCGTCATCAGTAGTTGCTTAAGATGGACTTGCATGCGCGTGCTGCTTTCTGTCTCGCTTCTCATAACCCGGCACCCATTTGATTTATACTATCTCTTATACTAACAACCGCCTTGTTTGAAGTTAGCAGTCAACATCTCCACCGTGTTATTCTCACGGCCGAGAACCCCATTGAATCGCTTACGCATTGTAATCACAGCAATCGCAGAATGGATGCCAACCCGCTCCATCATAGCGCCCTTGACAACCGTTACTACACCACCGCCAGAATGCTCATCATGTGTAATTGGGTCCTCGACGAACCGAAATGGGTGTTATATGTACATTTCAACCGGCTGCATGGATCGGCAGTGTTTCCCGACACCCATGCCGGCATATCGCTTTTCGGCAGGCCTTTTCTATTCCCAAGGCTTGATCTGCCCAGATGGGTGGTCTACTGCATACAATGTGACCCACGATGGTCAGTATTTCGATGTCCTTCACGATTTTGCCGACCTGTTAGAAAGTGACGAGACTGGCGCACTCTGCTGCCCGATGTAAGTTGTCTAGATAAGTCTCAGTAAATTTGGATGAGTCTAAACTGGGTGCCATACTGACTGAATTCGATAAGCGGATACGGCCTTTATCCTGGAGAATCCTTCAACAGACACGCGATAGCATGTATCCAGACAGTCACCACTGGGATGTTTACATGCGCCAGCTGTCCGTCCCAAGGTGTCATAGATGGAGCCCTTCCCTTGGTTACTGTTTCAGCAACAGAAAGTATATTGACAACAATCTTGGATGACGGCCGGCACACATAGAAACGCACCCTTATCTCTGCCTCCGTATCCCCTGTGATTCAGCTTGTGTGGAGAGACGTCGATTTTGCCGCCACCCACCACCACTAGTTCCGAGGAGACCACGTTCACGGGTATTGAAACCGGTCAGAAATCTGAAGAATCTTTGCCCAGCATCCTTTCCACTCAGCCATTCTCTTCAGAGTCGCCATCGAAAGAGAGCTAATCCAGTGCAACTGCAAGCCATGACTTGACAAGCGATGATTTGACCTCTTCTGAATTGCCTCGATCTTATTGGACTTCGTCTGGTTGGCCTTCTTCGCTTCTTCAGACACGACTTCACGTGAGACAACCTCTCCTGACGCACTTCTTCCGACAGAACTGCCTCTGATACAACTTCGTTTGACGCAACTTCTTCCGAGTCGTCATCATCCGAAGCTGATTCATCCACTCTTTCAAGCACGTTGATTTTCACACAAGACACTACCCTATCGACATTTACCATGGCCACCACCACGCCTCCCGAAGCCTTACCAACCTCTTCAGAGCCACTGGTACCACAAACCCGAAGCCCATCGGCCTGACCGTCGGACCTGCAGTCGGAGGCACCTTTGTTCTCGTCGCCTTGTTAAGCTTCTGCTTCTGCTCCTACATACGACCCCGAAGACAACGCACAAGGGAGACCAGCAACGGAAATCCTCCTGGAGACAACAACTCTCCTTATGGCCAAAAGCCCGACCTTGATACTGCGAATTCAGGTTCTCTGACAGAAGGCACCACCAAGAAGGAACTGGACGGCGATCATTCGCCTCCCGAATTGACGGGCTTTAGCCCACCCACGGAGCTTAACAGCATTGGGTCTCCTGCCGAGATGACAAGGCAGACGAGACCAACAGAACTTCGGGTTCGCATCCCGACGGGAACGAGATACGAGTTGGAGACATCACCGGTGTCACCTGTGGGTAGGGCGGTCTAGAATGAGGAGGGGCGCGTACTAAGTATGATGGAACAATGGATAAAGCACAATGGATTTGGGGACTGGAGCCTTGATGGAGGAATGCGAGAAGAGTGAAAGGTGGATACGTATGGTGTTAGTGACTGTGGCCATGTTGCCATGGCAATTTTCAGGGACTCCCCAGATGGCCCCACTTGAGTCAGGGTTAGCTTCAGTCTGCCATTGATGTCTCCGATGCCCAAGTTTCCTGTTGTGGCCATCCTGTTATATGACATCCGTGTTTTCACCCTTGTCCCGAAAGTGCTCCATACGCTTCTCTTCAGCAAAATACCTCTCAGACCATTTGTATATCCCCTATGCCCCACCTTTACTTTCACCACGCTGCATACTTCGTACTCTCTCTCTTCCCCAGAGATAAAATCGAATCAGGGCTGGTACGCTGTTGAGTGCCTGATACACGGGAGTTGGGATTGAGGTGTGCGTGCCACCGGCATTGACTCGTTGCTAATGGGCTCGAGGCATAGCATTCCCTGCAGTGATGAGCTTGATCAAGTAAGGTTTGAGATGATTCGGTCTTCAGCTGAGGTAATGCAGAATTATCTCATAGTGTCAGAACCACAGTCGAGCTCTAACTCCTGATTGGCAGCTAGGGACCATTGCCACCTGCTCGAAGCACTAGATTTATGGAGGCTATCTGGGGTTCTTCTTCCTTATATAGTTCTAACTCCTGATGTGGATCCATGGAGCAGCCTTCGAATTTTCAGTCAGCCATTGAGCCACAGGGCTATAGCTACTGGTAACCTTATCCCTATTGCCCGAACCCTTCTCCTTAAAAACCATGGCAGCCTTTTTCTTCCCATCAGAGAGCATGGTCTTCTCTATCTTGGTGTCTATCGTCGGTCCACTGTTGCTTGTGAAACATGCCGAAAATCCTGACCATACTCCAATGCCAGCAAGGTCATTACTTTGACTCGAGGGATTCATCTTGTAACCCCAGATTGCGGTTAGCCTAGCGTATAAATTGCATCAAACCAAAACAAGTAAAAACAGCGAGGCCTTACTTTTACCAAGTAGCGATTCTGAGTAATCCTGTGGGATTGGGCGTCGTTTGCAGTTGGAAAGGTTTCAAGATGATAGGGGAGGTATGTGGTTAAGACGTTGTTTAACCAATTGTTCATATGGCATGAAGGCAGTGTTGCTCGATCCTGGAGAAGGGCTGGTCCCTTTATACACAGTTCAACTAAGCCCAGGTACCTACCTAGCCATGGCATGCTCCTGAGCTCGGTGAGATGTTGGGATCATGCAACACCTCACACAAGGCCCAGTGTTAATACGCAGTCTTTGTCGCCAGGGGATGCACCCAGAAGTGGCAGGCTAGGTGCACCAGCGGTGAGCGAATGCGAGGTGTTCCAGCAAAACCAGGAATGTTCCGATTGGTGGGGGCCTTGAATTACCTAGCCTCATCGAGCCTGGGGACCCGAGTCCGAGGGGTCCAATCCCGTAACTCGGAATGGGAACTGTCTGATTCAATTGGGAGAAAGTAAACACGATGATGAATACTCGAGTCCGAGGTGGTGGCCTGTATGAGTGCTGTGCTTGCTTCGCTATTTGCAGCCACAATGCAAAGTCTGATCTCCGGCATACTGACTCAGCGTTTAAGGAGGGTGATGAAGCGGATCAGGGGGTCGGGTAGCAAAGCAACATTCCGCATACAGGTCAGACAATGGAAAGACTTCAGATAAGAGTCTGCTTGGCGGGTGCGAGGTGGAGTTGGGGGTACGAAAAGCTTTCCATTCCCGCGCTCAGTGACATCTTCTATCATAGCTAATTCGCCAAGGGTTACAAGGTCACTCTAAGTCTCTGGATACCTCTTGGCGCTCACGCCCCCCCTTTTAACTTCAACAGTCGGGACGTAAGCCTTATACACCTGCAAGAAAGCCGCCACCGTCTGCAACAAACTCAGCACGGTCGTGATGAGCAACACAAGGACCGCAACCCAAAAGGTGTACCATTGCACCCCGTTCCGACGGTCATACCACCACTTCTGGAGAGAGTTCGGCGTAGTATCATCATAGGTCTGTTTCAGGATCACCAGCCTGTCTCTCAAGAAGTAGAACCGTTCGATCTGACGGTCGTGGGCTTGGAGGGTGCCACAAATGGAGAGGCGAGGGTCGATTCCAGTTGGGTGTTGTCCTGACTGCTCGTGGGGCAAGGCGAAGCTTCCGCAGCCACGACGAGTTCCGGCTGAACCGGCCCCTCCGCGTGGTTAACATAAACTCGGACTGTGGGAAAGGAGCGCAATGGTGGACAGTTTTTCATGAACGAGGTCTGCCGGGTATAGAGGTGACGAGAATGGCCTGTATGTGAGTGTAAGCTACAGTTCATGTTTCAGAAGCAGAATAACGCTGCAATCTTGTAGTGAAGGGGGCGAGAAGCAATGTACCAGAACCCATGCTCAAGGTTGCCATGGGTGCTGCGTTTGTCGTATCCAGCCCACATGCTCTGCTATCTACCTACGGAGGGGGTGAAGAAGACTGGAAGGCATACTGTAGGTGGCACTCTAGGAACGAGGCATGATGAAATATAAACAGCGTTGAATCATCATCAGTCAACAGCAGATGGTCAGCAAGGTTGTCAGTAAAGCAGATATTGATCCCTCCGATCTTGTTGATGCTCCAAGCATTGAAAATCTTCGGCAGTCTGATTCGTTCGTAACTGAGTTTGGGTGACTCCTTGAAGAAGTTACTCACAAAGTCCCTGATTGTTCCCTGCTCCCATCGGAGAAATCTGCGGGCCATGAGTTGATTCTTCGGAACGCCGATCTTCATCATAGTGAGGAGACGGGCCGCCAGGTCAATGTACCTTTCACATTCTTCGTCAGATGCACTCGATATTGTGGACTTCAGCAGAGTCTTCAATTGCTCTCGGGTCTTGCCGTCGTGCAGATGCTGAACAAGTCGAAATGTGTTCTCGAGATCACGTATCCCTCTGTTGGTTGTGAGACTGTGTCCCGAGAAGAAGCGCCATTGATACTGATAGTATTGTCCGTACACTTCGTGGCACAGCACAGCCGAGCGATCTCCATTGAAAAGTCTGGGTGTCCTCGATGGCACGAAAACGCCGTCCATATGGCGCAGATAATACTTCTCAAGGGACGCCATTTCTCCTGAAGTTGTAAGATGTAAACTGGGGAAAAGCTGTTAGAGTTCTATTCAGGGCAAAGTATGTTTGTAGTCTCGGCTAAGACGAGGTGTTGTTCCTTTCGAATTCGGTGTGGTCAATAATCTCCTTGAAGCACATGCAGGTTAGTCGGCATGCTCCCCAGCCAATTAGACACCTCACCTTATGCATTTGCACGTCCCGAAACGAAGCCCCCAGCCACTCTGCAAATTATAGGCTGGCTTTTGGGTAGCATATGTGCGACAGCCAAAAGTGAAATCCATTCCAGCGCAGCCTGAAGTTCACGATGTACGTCACGGTGCTCTTTTATGTCCCCGCTCATTCTTGCCCGCGCGTCAGTCCTACAGCATGATCAGCTCCAATTGAACGTCCTCGAAACCATGTCTTTCCTGAGTCCTAGACGGCTCAAGCGCAAAAAGTGGGAAAGTCCTGAGCTGTCATGTGGGGAGATCATTGACACGCCCCGGGTTGGCTTGCTCAAGAAGGCATGGGGGTCAAGCGGCCTAGCCCAGGAACGATTCGACGTCCATATCCTTCCTGACATCGAAGATGTTTTGAGGAATATCGACCCTGGCCATGCCGACATATTGTACGGCTCTACATGACATGATAGGTACACGACAAGAGACCGCGAAGCCTATCATTATGGTCTGTTGCACAAATGCCGCGACACGGTCTCTCGTTGAGGACTCTATTCGCAGCAGTTCTGTGCCTGAAAAATATCCCCAGTTTGGAATTGGTGCCAGCGCACTGCCTTTAGAGCAACATGTACCAGCCCATACTCTCGCAGGAGGATCATCAGGCGTTGAAACTCAACCCGACCAAGAAGCGGAGGGAGCTTCGGGCCTTGAAAGAACCACCTTTGCGGTAGGAAAGCAGAATATCCCCGCGACGAACCCACCAAAAAGTACACGGCTGATTGGAAGACGGATTCACATTAAATACGGGGCCTCCGACCCTCTACCGTTCCGTTGCGCCACTGGTGGTGCAAATATCAGAATTGATGATCCCCACTACCAAATCACCGTTAGTCACATTCAAGAAACTCAAGAGGATAACCTCCACATTACATCTGCTCAGGAGCCTCTCCCTCCAGGTCTCGAGGATTGTAGTTTCGACGGCATGAGCGACGGTGACGACAATGACGAAGATCCCATGGAATCAGAAACAGAATTGGATCCAGCTCTTACCCGCGCAAGCGTTACACCTGTGGTCGAGTCACAGCCCTGGGAGGAATCCCCGAGTATCAATAGCGTCGGTTCCACAGTGGGAACTCCCACGGAGAGGCCGGCCCGAAGTTGGCCACGACAAACGGCGAAAACGGTTTGGCAATTGGATTCTATACCAAGAAAGAATATATTGCCTTCTGATCTCGTACATCTAGACCGGCGTCTCGATTGTGCGTTGATTGCCCTCGACAACAACGAGATCATGCACTCTTTGGCAAACACCATATCATACCCCCAACATACCGGGATACGCAAAGCCATGGTCCACAATGTGGCTGAAGTGGGAAAGCGCATGAATAAAGTCATGGCCATCACAGCTCGAGATGGAATTGGCGGTACGTTGGCGACAGGAGCGCTGTATCAATGGGACTGTGCAATCAAGAAGGCGCAAAAGCTCTACCCGATCAATCTCGACACTCCAGCCGAAGGTGGCGATAGCGGCTCGGCTGTGATTGACACAGTATCAGGCAGCTTGTATGGCCACATCGTCAGAGGTTGCCCGGGATCTAGGGTCGCCTACATCATTGCGGCAACAGAGGTTTTCGACCATCTTCGCCAGGAGCACGGTGCTGACATACATCTTTGTGGCTCCCCCTCGACCAAGTTATCGGCCGATCTAACCCAGTTAGCCGTGGAGAGCCGGCGACTCGAGCTGGAAAGATGGCAGCACTACGCAAAATTGGCCCAGACCATTGATGTCAAACCCAGCTCTTCCAGCACGGCCTCTGATGATCTGTGGAGTCCACAATTTATGGCGGAAAACGCAGAAGATGAAAATTCATTGAAGAAATGGCCCGAAACCTCCTCAACCACCATGTCTGGTTATATAAAAGGTCACTTGAGCCCATTGCTAGAAAGTAACGATGGTGATTCTCTTCACGCTTGGTCGGCGGATAGAGCAACAACGTTATCCTCGGCCGGATCTCGCTCTACAGCAACCACATGGTCTGCAGCGTCGAGCAGTACGAGAGCTACAGCTGTACAAATGGAGCTCATCGCTGAAGATCGCGACATTGAGATGTCAGGACTCTTTCTTGATAATCCCAACGAGGGCAACAAAAAGACGCCACTACTCCTCCCCAAAACTTCGACAACGAAGGGAGACGAAAGAGATGAAAGCAAAGGTCCTCTGGAGGTCATGCGCAATGAAGCAACGCAAAATCTGGCTGGCCAAAAAGCGGCCAGTGATGACCAGGGTGGGTCGTAACATGAGCTCCTGTTTCAAAACAAGCTCTGCCCAGGTCTGGACCAAAACGCATCTCGGGAGGATTTGGAAAGCTGTGGGATGAGAACTAGGCTAAATTGGTACGGTTTGAGTAACATGATTAGGGTGATGAGCTGTGGTGCACGGGGACGGGGCCTCGCCCTACCTAAGGGAACTCATCTTGTCATTCACTCTGATGACTGTGAAATACATATATAAACCTAGCGAGTGACCCAAACCACCAAGACAGGCCCCCGGTCAACGTGCCTCCCTACTTACCATTTGTCCTCCCACCTTTGGCCCCAGGCGAATCATCGCCTAAAGCCTGTCCCACTCCAGCGATCGGTTTCTAGCATGATGTAGCCGAAACTCCCAGTCAATGTGTCTGACGAGGTTCCCTTCTCGGGTTCAGAATACACCACCGGCCATGCTCCCTACAAGTCCCACAAGGGGGCCCCTCGCCATCACATACACGCATCCTCCTATTCCAACGCACCGCCAAAGTCAGCACAACTCAGTCCATCCAGCCTCTAGGACGGGAATACTCACGCGCAAGATGGGCAAGTCCACTTTACCTTGCTTCGTCCCCAGAGAACCATCCACTCACCGCCCCCGTTAACCCCGTCCAATACCCCGTCAACCCCTACGTCAAATTTCCTTGCACTGGTGCAGCATCAACATCCAGTTGGCAGGGACTCCTAGTCGTCGGAACACACTCCCTATCATATTCCCTACAGCGCCCACAAGGCGGTCCCTCAAGATCACATTTAATCATGCTCTTACTGTAAACCAGCACCAAAGTCAGAACCACATCTCCTGTCCAGAACACTTACTACACCACGGGGATGTACTCACCGACAAGCCACACAACGCCGCTTCCGCATCACTGATATAGGCTGCACCATCTCCTCCTCTGTCCCGCCCCGCCCAAGTTCCTGAGAAACCTCAGACATAGCCATATTGTCATATAAAGAATCAGGCACCCCCCCAAGGCCAGAAGAGTGTTCAACAGTATAAATAGCATCATCCAAAGACTGCTCAGGCTTCTCGACGGCCATCAAAACATCATCTGCAGGTTCGACGGAATCCCTGATACAAGACTCAGAGATATCAAGCACCGGCGGATCCTCCGTGATATTCGCATGGGTTTCACTGCCAGGACTGTAAAGTGGTAGCGTGCAAGAAGAAGCAACTGACGCCTGGGAATGGTTCCTCTGGCTTCGGCTTAAGTACGGTTGGGGATAACCTTCCCATGTTCCACCGTCGGTAACAGGTGCTTGCCACATCTCAACTCTTGTCCAGGATTCAAGAAAGACAAGATCTAGTGTGATGAAATGCTAGAAATGAGTATCGACCATCTTGAGAGGAAGAATGTGCGGGGTTCGCCGACGTTGGTGGTTGGATGTTGCCTAATGGGTTGGTTGACACTCAAAGTGCTTGGTTGTGATGGTCCGAGCTTCTCCTGATCCTTCGGGGACTGTACTGTCTATTATATATAAACGGCACAAAGCTAAAGCTTTTTTTTAACGAGGATTTAATCCAATATTCAATACTATTGATGTTATAAAAAAATAATGCACTTTTATATTTATTATAAATAACATATTCTTGTGACGAACCCCGATCAAGAACCTCTGAAAGGGATACTCAGTTGAAGGTGCTTCTAGACAATTGGTTCGGCGCAGCTAAACTGTGCACAACAATAGCTTATCTCAATCACAATAGTCTGATACCAACGAATGTGACTTGTATTGCATACTGCGGAACTGTCTACAAGCTATCTAGCTCCTCTGTATATATAGACCCGTGGATCACTTTTCCTTCCTGTGGCTCCCTACGCTCATCGTGAGCTCATCGCTCCACTTCCAATTGGTCAGTAACGATTGGCCAGAGGCATCCCGCGCCCCGTGCGTTAGCTCTTCATCCAGGATTGTGACAATTAACTATAACATTACGAAAGGATTATCAAGGTAAAACGGTTCACGATTTTATATTTATTAGATTTAAATGAAAAAATTTAATGGGAGATCTGCAATTATCTTACCTTCGATATAAAAGTAGCGGTGTGGAGAATTGAAGTAAATCCTTAGTAAAAGGACGCTTTGGCTATTCGTCGTTTTAACTACAATAGACAGCGAATCTTCCATGTGCCTTCTTGGACAAGTATTTGTCTTACAGGTTCAGTATTGTCCAAACAAATATCCTATTCGCTGATGACGCTACTCTAACCCAGAAACTCAAAACTACTGAAAACTCCAAGTTCTCCCATCTCACCAACGCCATTTTGATCTGCCCATTACACTGCCACAAGCATCCTACAACTTGCGGAACACGGTGCTAAAGATCTCTCTGCTCTTTTGTAAATTCACCACCCTCAACCTCTCGTTATCCAAATGTGCCGCGTCACTCGCTTGACCACAGGGCAAATGAGCCGCCGGAGCGTTAAACTCCTTCTCCAAGAACCGAATCGGTGGGATAGAACCACCCTCACGAATATACAGAGGCTTCCGTGTCTTTGGCGCAGTTTCGTCGTTGGTTCCATTGGGTGGCAACGCGACAGAGACACCGTTGTTGCTGTCTTCGGATGCCGTTGGCCCCCAGGCCCTCATGACTGCCTCTTCCAGGGTTCGGAAGATGTAGTTTCCAGGCACACCAAGCCATGGCTCGGCCTTGTTGTCGATCCTGATGGTGAGGGTATTGTCACTCTCGAATTGCTCGTACTCTTCCCTGAGGAATGACTTGAGGTTCTTGATCACCTCGTCCACCTCCTGGCCGGGGACCAGTCTGATACTGACATTGGCCGTGGCGTGGCTGCTGATTAAGCTGCCGTCTGGTCCAGATACGTTATATCTGTGGATTGTCAGGTTGGGCTCGCGCCATCTCGCCATGAGACTGCGCTTGAGAGCTTCAATAGGGCCGTTTGCTGGATTCCGTCGGATGAGGATGTTGGCAATGTCATCATACCGAAGGTCCTCCTCCTTGGTCAGGGGAAGAATGCCGTCGTAGAAACCTGGAATGTTGACGTGGTTCTTGCGGTCCTTGAGTTTGCTGACAAGCAGCGTCAAATCGGTCAGCGGCTCCGACAACATATTGCTGCCATCAACACCAGAGTGGAGATCAGGGTGCTTGGAGTCAATGCAGACGGTAGCATGAAGTACACCACGAAGGCCATATGTCAGGCAGGGAACCTCGTCGTCTAACCAGTAACTGTTTGCCAACAGGACGTAGTCGATATGCCCGATGAGTTCCTTGTTGTCATGGATGGCTTCAGCAAATCCTCGCGAACCGGATTCTTCCTCACCCTCGATGACGAAGATGATGTCCGAGTCGAGAGCCTTCTCTTGCAGCAGGTCCGAGACGGCATACAGGGCAGCAATAATGGGTCCCTTGTTGTCGCTCACACCGCGTCCATAGAGATAGCCATCTCGCCCAGACAATTTGAACGGATCAGTCTGCCAGTTGTCCCCCTTCATATCCGCAGGGACAACATCGTAGTGACCGTAGAACAGAATCCTCTTGCGCTTCTCCGCTGGTTCCAGCTTGCCGCTGAACTTGGCGTACACCACGGGATTGTGCAAGGAGCCGGTGCTGAGCATTTCCACTTGAGCGCCCAGTCGCTTGAACAGAGACCCGAGGAAGGTGGCACCTTTGCGGCAGTCCTCGGTGAATTCAGGCCGGGACGAGACAGTCTTGTAAGAGATGAACTCCCGCAGCGATTGGATCATCATATCCTCAGCTGGCCCTGTGCCGTCCTCGGTCTGGGATGGCATGCCGTTAACACGCCAAACACGGACCGTGTTGTCATTGGCACCAGTGAGGAATAGCTGATCGCTGTTGTGAACGACTGTGGCAGAAGACAGGATCTTGGCGTCGTGAGCCTTCCATCGACTCAGGCACTGGTACTTTTGACTAATGTTCTGCGCCGCACCGTTGGTGTCTCTACCATAATGAACTGTGCTGTGTTTCTGTCGGTCGTGTCAGTAAGTGATAGCTTCAGCGTCGTTTTGGGCGCCCATGAAGGTCTTACCGAGGCAGAACCACCAGTTCCTCCACTCCAGAGAAGCCCAAAGCTCATCTTGAGAACATTGACGTTCCCGTCATGGGCCTTGATGACCCTCAACTTCTGCTTCGTGTCCAGATCCCATAGCTCGATGATACCGCCCAGCTTGCCGGCGTACAAGAAGGACCCATCAATGGCAAGCGACATGACGGACTCACTATCATCCTCGCCGAGAACCATCAATTCCTCAATGTCGCCTGTAACAACATTACCGTCCTCGTAGTCCGGCCCGGTATCACACAACTTCCACAGCTTGATGGTCCCGTCGCCTCCACCCGATATCAAGACCTCTTCATCCGAATCGACCAGAACCGTTGGGCCCTTGGCCACCAGCATGCAGAACACCCAGCCGTAGTGCGCATACTGTCGAATCGCACCCGAGTCAATCTCTAGCACCTGTTCGGCCTTGGGTATTAAGGCATAAAATTCCTCGGTCCGTCGAGGTGTTGATGTCCCGCCAACCGCGCGGGAGTCAAAGAATCTATGTTGTCGTCGATCGGGATGGTGGGCCGATTCGTGGGAGGACTTTCGCTCTGGGTCCTTCAGGCTGATCCACTGGATGTCCTGTGTTTGTGTGCCAACGTATACGATTTCTCGTTGTGGCGAATATGCGACACTGAACACATCACCGACATCGTATGTGCTGTAGATCTCGTAGAGGCGTGTAAACGTTCGGGGGCACCAGACATTGATGATGGGCTCGCAGGCTGTCGAGAACAGGTACTTGAAGTCGTCAGCTAACAGCAGGCAGAGCACGCTGCGCTTGTGGGCTTGTATTGTCTGCACTGGCTGGAAGGTGCCTAGCGACCATACGGCAATCTCCCCCTTGCTGGTGCCAGCGAAAATGTACTTGTCGGATACGGCCAGGGCGAGAACCGAGCCATCGTGTCTGAGCTCTTGGAGCTGATCGGGAGCGGCATCAGGGCAACTGTCGTCAAGCTCACGGCTTTGGAGCGAAGCCATTGTCGCGGTTAGATCTGAGAGATTGGGTAGAGATTGTCAGCATGAGCGCAATTCAATAAACAATTCAGCCGTGCAATCCCAACAGAAGGCTGAAGTGTATTTCTTCCAAAAGACGGCCGTTGACTTTTATTTGGACATGGAAAGTTGCTCTGACGACATTTCCGGGGAAAACACTGTCATGGCCGGTGAACGGGGACAGCCCCGCGCTAGCAACAGCCTAGAACAGCTTTCACAGGGATGCCCTGCCCCACGTCTCAGGGTCAACTCCACCACAAAGACCCGCAGATCCGGGCTTCCCAGATTCCATGACAGGATTAAAACGCCCCAAAGAGAAGGGACGGATGCACCCCACGGTGGGACGATCGAAAATGTGTCCCGCGGGTTGGTAAGGTACCTTTACGGGGCAGGCAGAAGGGGTGTGGGGGTTTGCGGGGGACAAAGCCAGGCCAGCGGTTGAAACGGTTGAACAGGCAGAGTAGACATCAGAACTCACCGGTGGTGCCAGCGTGGGATGCCATGGATGCCATAGCCAGCGGCGTGGCAAGAGATGCAGCCGCGGCCCTAGCTTTGTTGATCTTGATGCATCCTTTGCAACCTCCATCATCTTCGTCGTGGCCGTCGTGGCATCGCCAGGGATCAAACGTCTCCCGAAGGACGGGCACGCCGAGAGCCATATCGCCGGGGTTCACCTTCACAGATGTCGAACTGCTGTTGCTCCTTCCATACAAACGCCAAACAAAGTTCTGGGGGACAGGTCTAACGGGGCCGTTGTCGGTGGCCTCTGTCTTTTGTACAGACTCTCCTTGCTGAGACAGAGGTCCGGGCTCTCCGAGTTCGTCCATGTTACACCGTGTCTTCAGATTGTTGCTGGGCCGGGCGGATGACGCGAGATCAGGGTTGAAGTGCACCATTCCTGACGGCTCTCATAAACCACCGCGAACAGGTCGAAAGAAGAAGGACGGAGGCATCTCACCGCTCTTGCGGGAGATATGTCGATAGGCAAAGATATGCAGGAGAAGGTTGGGAGCAGTGGTGGCATGAGGTTGAGGGACAGCTCCTATTCATATACCCAATGGGAAGGTCATCCCGGGCCCGGCAAGAAGCATCAAACGCCACGACGCGTGCTTCTCGACAAAGCAAATGCCATTCCCCGATTGTGGTGCGAGATTTACGAGGCCCGGCGATGGGACACATGGCTCAAAACGTGTTAGCCCCCTGACTTTCTTTTGTTTCTCTCGCCCAGGGGCGAGGGTGAGACCACACCGCATGTCTCTACTGCATCTATCCTCTCCAAGATCGACCTTGGGGGACGAACCACGACGCCGCCAATGATGTGGGATTGTCTCGGCAGCACAGCGTGGTCACGAGGTCGCCCGTTTGCCAACTGTATCTATGTATAGTGTACAGCACACATCACAGCTGAACCTGACTTGAGAAACTCCGGCTTCATGAGATCTTCCCCGTCTCGTGCCGTGCCGATAGCATCATCACATCTGCCCCTGCACTAGCCTAGAGAGTGACACCGGAAAGCTAGCTGTTTCTTGTCAGTGGGGTTATGTAACTTCCTCTGTGACTCTCACCAATTGCCCACTGTCCGATGAGCCCAAGGTCCCCTGCCCCACCGGCAACTCTTATCGAAACCAGGTTCTTATCCGTCGCCGATAACGGCGGGGCGGCTCTCGCACTGTCTTGGCGCTACCTTTGGTGGAGGAACTGGTCTGTGCACGGCACAATCCCTGTAATTTTTTTGGCTTCTGAGATCATCAAGCCGAAGTTTGCAGAATCGAGAGATTTGGACGATAACGACGCCTCTGGCAACCCACCATCGACGACCGCCGCAAACACACCGTGACCCCTCCATCGCCGATTCTTGGATTCCTTCTCCGGACAACAATCACCCAATTTCCCCCCCTGCGATAACCAAGTGTCGGTGGTGAGTCGAGTCCTGCGCGCCGCCTTCCTTTACATCGAGTAATCCCAAACATCACACATCAAAATGGATCACACAAGAGGTGAATACCCTTTGTCTACTGCAAACGATCGACATAGATTCTAATATCGGTTTCTAGATCCCTGCCCATGGGTCATTCTCAACGATTTCGGCGGTGCCTTCGCCATGGGTGTATGTCTCCCGCACGACAGTCCCTCGACCCCTCCATACAACTAATATCCTCTTTAGGCTATCGGTGGTACGATCTGGCACGGCATCAAGGGTTTCAGAAACAGTCCCTATGGCGAGAGACGAGTGGGCGCCATCACAGCTATCAAGATGCGCGCGCCAGTATTGGGTGGTAACTTTGGTGTCTGGGGTGGTCTCTTCTCTACATACGACTGCGCCGTGAAGGGCGTCAGAAAGAAGGAGGATCCATGGAACGCCATCGTACGTCTTTTACGGAATCTTGAAGTTGGTAGCAGACCGCTAACACAGTCCAGATTGCCGGTTTCTTCACAGGTGGCTCGCTCGCCATCCGTGGCGGCTACAAGGCGGCGAGAAACGGTGCCATTGCTTGCGCTGTCCTTCTTGCTGTCATTGAAGGTGTTGGTATTGGTTTTCAGAAGATGATGGCGGGTTCCACAAAGCTCGAAGTATGTTGTCTGAAACTGCTTTTGTTCAGCGCAGTGCATGCTAACAGTGGTGTTCATCCAGGCCCCACAACCACCACCTTCCAACGAAATGAACCTCGCATAGAATGTATCAATAAATCTCATACTGGTCTACCAACACCTCTCAACTCTTTCTCCGGCCTCTTCTGAGCTGGACGTGTATTTTCGTACGCATATATGACGGTCAGGATCTTGGGTGGCGGCGTTCCCTTGTAACATAGAATCGGTTGGTAACGTCTCGATGTGGAGGGGGGCATGGCCGTGATGCCGAAAACGGTGGAGACAATCATCTGAATAATATTTCATTACTGTTTATACCATGCTCACGTTTGTCCAAGATCTTCTACAATGCTATAGGTTCGCTCCTCTTGCTGGCTCTCCTTAGATCCATCCCGAAAACATCCTCGGACTCATAGCCAGCCGGCGTCGATCCGTCTGGCTGCCACACCCGGAAATGCGCGTGGCTGCGCCTATCAACCCATGCTCGAAACATGCCACCGCAGTTAAAGTCCTGAAGGACGCCACAGCGAGCATCGAGCAACATCCCGTTGTCGTCTCGAGCCTCCGCGATCTCGATACCAATGATGCCCCCTGCGCCCTCACCCGTCAAACCCCACCGATCCCCTGCACTCTTTTCCAGCTCTCCCCCTGGCCCTGCCACTTTCGAGACCGCCTCCTTTGACGAGACACCCCCGAAGCGAGCCATCGCCCCCACGGTCCTCGCAGCAGCAGTGCGAAGAAACGAATCCCCGTTCCCGGTCCCCGAAACCGCCATCGCCCGCGTAGTCACCACCTTTGGGGTCTTGAACGCAGGATTGTAGCTGAACGGGCTAGGCAGGCAATCCGCCATGAGACCTTTCAGTGCATTAGATATCACCACCACTGGACCGGGCCGACATCTTAACTCTGCGTGACCAGAAGGGTCCCCTTCTTCAGCCCATTCTTCTGCCCAGAATCCGGCCCCGACGGAGGGGGTGTCACCTATTCGACCGGTCAACTTGTTGGTTAGGCCGCCTGTGCTGGTTGCGACGGTGATGATGCCTTGCTCGTCTAGGGTCACGGCGCCGACGGTGCCTTGGGGGAGATATTCTTCTTTGCTGTAGGTGGCGAGGCTCTTTCCAGGGTTTTGCCTTTCGCGTTCCAGGGCGCGGGTGTGCTCGTCCCAGCGGGTTTGGGTGTAGAAGTAGGATTGGGGAACGATGGCGAGGTTGTATTGCTTTGCTAGTTGTTCTGCTGCTGGGCCGTGGATGAGGGTGTGGCCTTGGGCGTTGGGGACGTCGAGCATGTTTGCGGAGGGTGATTGGGAATGGCGGCCCAGGAGGTCATCTTCTCCGTGTTGGAGGATTGCTTTTGCTAGGAGGATGGGATTGCGGATGTGGCGGAGGCCGGTGACGCCTACGCCGCGTTTGGGGTAGGAACCTGGGTGCGAGACCATTATGGAGGCTTCGAGCTCGTTGTAGCCGTCGCGGGTAAAGACGGCGCCGTGGCCGGCGTTGAAGAGGGGGTTGTCTTCTAGTAGGGCGACGGCGTAGGTTGCTGTGGAGAGGGAGGAGGGGAAGGTGTTGGTGGAGGGTTCAGGAGTGAACATGTAGTGATGGGTCTTGCCGATGATGGTGAGGAGTGATTCACGATATTGACTGTAGCGGTCTGGTGGGAGTGTTTCGGGGGTGATGTTGCCGGCTCCGCCGTGGATGATAATTTGGGGCTTGAAGCGGGCTGCGGAGGGAGGGATGGGTTTGTATTCCATTTTGGCCGTCATTGTTTCTGACCCAGGTATCAATTCACGTATAGAAAATCACAGGCTTCCTCACCTGGTGAGATAATGGCACCAGCTCCTGATGCAAAGGCGGAATGTCCCTGGATGCAAGAGGCCTACCGATAAGGAGATGCCGCTGGCGTTATCGCTAACCAATCAGCGCTTGACTGGCAGTGGTGAGGATCAGATGCCGCCGCTAGGATCTTGGCGGTTTTTGCATGTTAAACAGACACAACTTTGATGTTTAACGGCAGCCACCGATTGGAGAACAGTGTTACACAACACGGGAATGTGTCGAGGCGGATAATAGTTAAAATATCTCTTCAACATTTCTTCATGGTTACCTGGCGCCTTCGACCACTCGGCCATTTCACTTCTTGGCAGGTACCTCTGTATCACCTCGAATCCCTCTGGCTGTCAACCCATCTTCGAACAAAGGATCAACACATCCAAAAGAGCGAGGCCTGATGGTATCTCGACTCGAGAAATCCGCAATCACAAGTCTTTTCCCTACCTGAGTGAGCCCGATCAAACAGTCACAAAATGCCACATCTCGCTAGAAAGTTGCTGCGAAAAGTACAACAGTTACGTCATCGCACATGATGAGGCTCGTGATGCTTCCCACCACGACCAACTAAGAAACCGATGGCAAGGTGGGTGCGCTCCTGCTTCTGACTTATCTTCCTCAAGATCAGTCCGAGTTGCTATCAAGCTCCCTGTTGTTCCTGTCGGCGGCTGTGGCGCCGTCATCAAGGCATGCGGCTCACGGTCTTTCAGCGGTCACGAAGACGCACCGTGGAACATGGACCCCCGGTTTCCTTCAAGAAAGAATAGGAATCACTCGCTGTTTGCCTGTTGGTTAACGGGGACTTTCCTTCATCTGGCTTCCACTCACATCTCGCCTTTTGCATTTTCTTCTGGTAACACCACTGATACCCCGAGCCTCCCTTCGGGATTTTGCCTCCTTGGCCCGCATAGCGTTCTCTGAGATTCAGGGGTGACCAGTCGAGGTGGCAGGCACAACTTTGCAACACGAGCCCGCTGTGACGGTGCCTTGCACTGGAGGCTGGGAGGGCTTTGTCGTTCATCTGATTGTTGGTTGGCATTGGATTTAATATGCCCGTTCATTCCAGCTGGTAACTCTCTCCCTTGACACATTTTTTTCTTTTGGTCTGTTTACTTTAGCCATCGCCTAGTGGTGCCAGCATTCTCTTCTTCTTGCTCTATCGTTCTTTTTTAAGGCTTCCATGTCATAGCTACAGCCATGACTGGTTCGAGGATGCGCCGGCTAACCGCCGTCATCATCTGTGGCCTGATAGGATCATACGCCTGTCCAGAACCACAGAACGCGACTACGACGACGACATCCGCTGAAGTGGTTGTGGCAGTAGTCAGCCCGACAAATTCCGCGTTATCAACCACCACCACCCAACCGGTCACATCCCTTGCGGAAGCAGTCACAACTACCACCGCGCTCGACAACACCGCCACCGCAACACTCCACAACAAAGTCGTAATAGACAACACCCTCCCCTCGGGCACCAACCCCCTAGCCAACAACATCGAAAACGTCACCTGGCTAGGCTACCAAATAGCCAACAATTCGTGTTCTCACCGCGACTTGGGGTTTGCGGGCAAGTTGGGAGGGAAATGGTACTCCATCTTTGGGGACACGTTATGGGCTGCCCCAGGGGTGACAGACATGTTTCTTGACCCGCCCGGCTTTCACGGCATGGTTCGGGATTCTATTTCTTTGCTCACGGACGACCCACTGACGGTGGTGGACCTCCATCTCAATGACGACGAGCCGGTGCCACATCAATTGCAGTTTGTGCCTTTTAATGAGGAGTGGGGGGAGACGAACCAGTATGGGTTTGGGGGGACGAGTTTGTGTGAGGTTGACGAGGAGACGGGGATGGGGGTGCTCTATTACCTGGTGGTAAGTTTCCAGTGCTCTTGTGAGGGATCGTATTGTGCTGATGGAAGACAGAATGGGAATGAATCCCTCGGTTTAATCGGTGCTGGCGTGGCGCGAGTTGAGCTCATCGACGAGGTCCCTACCGTTACACACCGGTACGGCAGTCAAGGTTGGTGGTGGGACTCGAAGAAATATGCCAGATATGGTGATCAGATTGCGTATCGGGATGAGAATTCGGAGTATATCTATATTTGGGGTGGGCCGCCGGATTATATCAAGGGTTGGAGTACCATCAACTACCACTACCTTGCTAGGGTGAAGGCGAAGAAGGCGTTTGATTTGGGGGCGTATGAGTACTATTGGGGAAAGCAGAAGGGGTGGAGGAAGCAGGTGCTGGATCGGTTTGATACTGAGACGTCGGTTATGTGGGGGAGTGGACAGGGGCAGGTGCATTGGAGTGAGTATTGGGGGTGTTATTTGCTGGTGCATTTGGGGATTGGTGAGTCTACCTGAAGGATGCTTGGGATTGAGTGACGGACGGCTGACTGTGCCTGGTGTTGTAGCTGGTGGGGCGGTGTTTATCCGGACGGCGGACAACTTGGAAGGGCCCTGGACGCCGGATGTGCAGATTTTCCAGGCGATGCCTATTGATGATGGGTTGGTGTACGCCGGGGTGGCACACCCGTATTTGGATGAGACGGGGAAGACGCTGGTGGTGTCTTATACGAACAACAACCATATTGAAGTGCTGAGGGTCGAGTTTGCATGATATTACACTGGACAAAAAGAGTCTACAACACATTATTACTTTTCAATACCTAATCCGGGCAAGAGGAACTCCGTCAGACCGCCCACCGCTGTATGTGCACATTCAGTCAACGGGTGTAGCAAGTACATATATCATTTTACGTTTTTCTTCCACGCAAACTCCAAGTCATGCTAGGTACCCACCGTTTGGCATAACTACCACCTCCTCCAGGACCGCCACGTACCTTGATTCCTTGAATGAATCTGAATTGGCCTATCAGAAATTCAGGGTTATCTCGTCACACCAATTCTCATTCGTCGTGACCTTCTCTCTTTCACTTCCCACATATATGTGATTACTCGCTACAATCCACATGAATTAGGTTTCGAGATGGGTGAGCAAAGTATTATGTGAACATTATTATCTCTCCACGAGGCCATGTCCGATACTAGACCCTATAATGTGGCACACTTCTCAGCCCCCCACTACCCTGAGCACCTGCTGGATCAAACCCAGAGGTCATCCCAGTTTTCGGTGGCGGGCTTCCACCCGTCACTCTCGGGGGAGGACCAACCCTCGGCAAAGGCGGCAGCTTCCCAAGCGCCTGCCTCGCAGCCAACTCTTCAGCTCCCTTCCTCGCCGTCTCAACCCTCTTCTTCTCTGCATCCTCCATCGCCCTCCTGATTATCTCGTCATCGCTCAGATCCCCATCTCTCGACACACCTCTCAGATCAATAACAGGCTCATCACCACTGCTACCGCCACTCTTGAAATCCCACCGGTCAGCCTCCGCCTGTTGCTTGACACTCTCAACATTCATTTTAGCCTCCTCAGGCGTCATCATGACATAGTGGGCAGGGTTAAAGTCCCTCCCTATCGTCCCCTGATCAGGTCTACCAAGCGGGATCTGCCTCGTGATAGCGACCAAAGCACACATGAACTTCATACTCCTCGCCGCGCGCAACGGTTCATTAGACCAGTTCGACCTGTGCGTAACGATGCAGCGCATCTCAAGCATGTTCATCTCCCCCAGCCCAACAATCGCGAGGGCGAGGTTGGGGAGGTAGTCCCTCTTATTGTCTGGATGCTTGAGGAAAGCCTCAAGCTCCGACTTGAGATACTGGAGGTCTTTGAACGAGGTCTTGACGTCAATATTGAAACTTACCGCTTGACGGTTCGACCCGGAGCGGGTGACGTTCTCGATGCGGCACTGCTGGAGCCATTCGTTGCCTGCTTGGAGTTCCATCCAGTTGTCGACGCGTTTGAAGACTGTGTAGAGGAGTGAGGTTCTAACGACGATCAAGGAGACGGATTGTTTTTGCTGGCCGGACCAGAGCTCGACTCTGTCGCCTATGTCGTAGGGGTGGTCGAAGAGGATGAAGATGCAGCCTGCGAGGAAGTGGTGGATGGTTCGGCCGACGGCGAAGGTGAGGCCGAAGCCGAGGAATTTGACGGTTTCTTGGATTGATTTCAGGGAGGGGACCCAGAAGATGAGGATGAAGTAGACCATTATGGCGGCGAGGGCGGCGAGCATGACCCAGTCGAAGGTGTTGATGCAGTGGTCTGCGTTGTGCATGCTCTTGTAGATGTTTTGGCGGATGCGGCCGGCTTCGGCGACGGTCCACTCCATTTCTTCCAGTCTGAGGTCGCCAATTTCGGCTTCGTCGAGGACCTTGAAGTATCTTTCGGCTTCTTCCTTGCGGAAGGGGCCGAGAACCTCGGCGATGTCCTCGGCGGTGAGGGTCGTCTTGCCCACAGAAACCATGGACATCCAGATGCGACGTGCCAATGCGGCAGCAGACTTTGGGTTCGCAATAGCGCGCTCGACAGTGGCGTAGCTCGAGGAAGGATGGAGCCAGTGGGACTTGGGGTCGCTCGAGAGGAAGTTGCCGAAGAAGGAGGTGATGCCATACGAGTCCACCCCGAGTCGGGCAAGATAACGAGTGGCACGAATGCGATGCTCGCCGTGTCCAGCCATGGTAGCGTTGCTGATCATCATGTCCTCCTCGGTGAACTCGGGGGTGCCAACGGGGTAGAGGTATATCGAGGCCTCGTAGAGCGCCATGAGAGCGTTGTGCATATCCTTGGAGTGGGCGATCTTGGTGTGGTCCGAGCGGCTGTGGAAGTGGATGGTGATGTAGAGCATGACGATCTTCCAGACAAAGTAAAAGCCAGCCCAGAGGGTGCCCTGCTCGAGGAAGTCGTCGATTAGGTCAACCCAGCCGACATCGCCTTCGGGAAGATCGTAGATCATGGCAAGCTCAAGACGATCTACCCAGACAGTCTGTCATGTGTCAGTGAGATCAAACTTTGGTATGACTGGGATTTGACCTACAATAATGTACGCAATATAGGAGCAGCAGATGGTGACAAAGATGCAGATAGGGCGTCGCAATGTCCTGATGATGCGCCAATAGCGCATATGTGCCGGGTTCACATAACGTGCCACCAGCCTGAAGATGTACGGCAAGGCACTCGCAAAGATATACGTAATGGCGAAGCAGACCCAAGTGACCAGAAGCCACACGAAGATGTAGTAGACTGTCTTTTCAGACCTCTGCGCGAAGAACTGTTCGTCGTCGAGGGCATCTTCCTTCTTGATGATGTCTTTGTTGCCAATTACAATCACCGGGATGGCCAGTATGATACCGACAAAGCCGAAGATTATGAGGAAGCGGATGAACTTGTAGGCATTCTTCCAAATGTATTTTCGATATGTGGTCGTGGCTGTGGTGTAGTACGGTTTGTTGTCTCCTGGTTGGGACATGCTACCCTTCCCTTCGTCCAGCAATGGGGCGGACCCAAAGACCTCGACAGTTTTTCCCGTTGGTTCCATTGTCATTGGTGGTGCCAAAAGGTCTTAGATGCCGAGTAATGTGCCCGACAGGCAGTATGAATCGCCTCTCCGGGTCTGTTTGGCGTACACGAATGGATGATATCGAGGTTCCTGGAATCGAAGAAGTAAGGCAGTCATAAGTGCCAAAGAAGAGGGATAGCTGTGGCTATCAACCCTCTGGCAAGAGAGCATCAAAGGGGCACAGTTTGATCTCCCTGGGATTGCTGCCTTCGTATCATGTTGCTGACATGACAGGCGAGACCATGGCGATACAAGGGAAGGCTGGCTCTGGCGATGGCGCAGAAGCTTGGCGTTCGGCATGGAACATTATGGCTGGACTGTCACCTCGCCGGAGCGGGTCGTCAGCAAACTGGAACTCTCTCTTTGGTTAGCAAACGTCTGGCGATGTCAGCAGTCGCAGGGTTCGGTAATTTGCACCCATCGTGCTGATAAGGCTGATAAATGTTCTTCTGAATCGATGTAAGGGTGGTCTCGGCAAGCGAGAATAGTAACTCTGAGAGAGGTTGGTAGACAGCTATTACCTACATTGTGTAGTTTGGCATGGAGGCTGTGCTGATGATGATGGGTGCCTACTACTATTGGCGACAAGAGCAGACGACTGGTTGACACTGGGCTAGAATGCTTAACAGGCCCGTAACTTAGCACCCAATCAGAAGACACTGGGATTTGGCCGCACGCCAGCTTTCCCAGCTGCGGCACAGGACTCATTCTTATCTAACGACCAGTATCATCTGCCTCACCGAAGCTCCGACTCTTGCTGCTCGACTGATGGCCGGTTCAGTTCATCCTGCCCACTTTCACAAATTAAGCTCGCATGCCAAGAATGCTTGATAAGATGCCAAGGCGCTGACGGCATCCCTGGGCTATTTTTGGTGCACAAAACCCCGCCTATCAGAACGCATGCCCCCACAAGGCCCCCAAATCTTATCCAGACATCACATCACTGTTCACGTATCGCTGATGCTGATTATACAACTTTCGGGACAACAGGCAACACATGCTTGAAACTCCAACAAAATCAATTGGGGTCGGTGCCTAGGGTATATAAAAGAAGACCGAGTCATCTACCAAACCATCGACCAAACCGCGCAAACTCCAAGTTGTGCATAACCATATCACCATACATGTAAAAAAAAATTAAAAAAATCTTCGCATTGTCGCATCACTGGTCCTTTGGTGTGATGATATATGCTGAGACTAAATTGCTAGCAACAACATCTCAAGCTTCATGAGCGGCGTCCACAAACCCACCACCGACCCAGTTGCCACTAGCTTGTCCACCGCCTTAAAGACGAGGGCTGCGCATTGTAAGCAACCTGGTAACTCCTCCGGATGATGAGAATGTCTTCATGTTGAGAACCTCAAGTCCAATTCTTGGATCCCATTGGGGAACGACGGATTAATCTAGCAGCAAGACAGCCCACCAAATCATGAGCACCCAGATAGCTCTGAAGGGCTTCTCACAGAAATAGGCCCAGGCATCGGCTGATAAACCGAATGCCATCTTTAGCAATGCGCTCCCAAATCGGGTCCGTCAAAACCTCCTCGAAATGAGGAGACTGAACGTCGCGGTTGGCGTAGAACCCAGCGTTCGAGGCTTCCAACTGCTCAAGCGCCTCGTTGCGGACAGCTAGGGCTTCTTCAAGTAGCTTCTGGTAGTTTCGAATCTCGGCTTGGGCCTCTTGATAAGCGTCATGGGCCTCCTGGTATCGCCTGTGAAGCTCAACCACGTGTTGCTGACTCTCAGATTCCAATTCTCCCAAGACATTGAGGCTGGATTCGAGATTGTGGTTGTCGGAAGCGAGGGTATCCAGTGAGATCTTGGCCTCGAGCGCCTTGTGTTCAGCTTCCACGACATTGGCCTTCAAGGCAGTTCTCTCTGGGTTCCGATTGGCCTGGGCGGTCTTGAGCTTGGTATCGGATTCCTTGTTGATCTCCACGAGCTTCTTGTCGAGCCTATTCTTCGCCTCCGCAAGCTTGCTGTCGTAGTCTTTCTTGGCCTCCGCCAGCTTGACCTTCAAGGTCTCAAGATCCTTGGCTCGGAGAGACTCCCAGTGCTTGGCAGCCTTCTGGGTCACCTCGTGGGCCTGCTTCTCCTTGGTGAGTTCGTCGCGCAAACCCTTCAACTGGGCCTGCATCGAGGCTTCAGTCATGGCGCGGGCTTGTTGCTCATTGGCTAACTGTGTTTTCAGGGCCTGGATCTGGCAATCCGTCGGTCTTGTTGGCGTTGGCACGATCATGATCTGTACTGGCAAGCTGCTGACGAAGGCGCTGAAGCTCATAGTGCTTCTCCTTGTGCTGAGCTGCGTGCTTCTTCGCAGCGACGTCAAAGGCGTCCAGGAGATCTTGTTGGCGAAGAGCTGGGTGAGGCGGTCACCCATCATGCGTGAGACAGGCCTTGGCTCGATTCTCCCACTCTTCGGCATTCCTCTTTATGCGATGAAGCTGCTCCTTGTGCTGGTCCTTCTTTTCCTCCAACTCCCGAATGCGGTGCTTGAGTAGATCGACCTCAGCGTGATTGCTCATTGAGCAAGCCAGAGCTCTGGGGACGCGAGTCTGGGACATCTTGCTCTACTAAGAAGATTGAATCGAGAAGGTTTAGCTCGCGTTGTTTGTGCCGAAGACTGGTATGTTGTGTGTCTGGGGACGGAGGTCGACAAGAGCTGTGCTGGGCCCGGGAGAGAGATCGGGAGCAAAATACGGATGCCCCGGAGAGTTGTGACCCTTGAAGCGCTTAGTGATGACTGGAAGGCGCCCAGGTGGGAACTCACAGTGTCACTCGCGTCTATCGAGCAGAGAGAAGCCTCGACCGCGAGCTGCATGAGGGTTGCAGGTATGATGTGTGAAAGTGAAAGTTGCAGTGGAAAATATGAGGTCCGATTGCAAGCTGGAGGTGCAGGTAGGATGAAGAGGCCGAAGGCAGATAAGATTTTCAAGACAGGCAGCACAGGAAATATCTACTCCCAGTGCCACCGGTATCCCTCTCCAAGATAGCCAGTAGATTGATTTGTAATGATTTGAAATAAAAGGCCCCTCAACTCGACCATCGCCATGCGGTCTGCTGTTATGTGCATCTGGTGCAGCTTCGTACCTATATACCAACACTGACATGTCAGCGACCTCCAGAGCTCTCAAACCGACGTTGAGAACAGATGACCGCAGAAGAATAGATTAATAGTAGCAAAAGGACATGAAAGGAGCGATTAATAAGCATAGCTTTAACGATTTTTTTTTGGCACAGTCACAACTTCAATTGCTAGGTATTGGACCACCGAGGAGGACCTTTCCGCACTAGACTGATATAGTTGGTACGAGGGGTGACGTGAGAACCCTTACCAGCAACTACGATAACTACCCAAGGCACTTTCCTTTCACCTCCCTAACGTATTCGTCTTTGCTGTAGAAACCTCGCTCACTTCTCATGGCCGAGCTTGTTGATTCCTGGCATACACCAAGTCCCATTAACAGCCAGCACAGAGCCAGCTACGGTAGCCAATCAACATGACGACCCACCAGATAATGTTGGGCTGGTGACCTAGGCAAGTGACTGGCTGCGAAAGTGAGGCCAAAATGGCCAGAAATGGTAAACAAATTGGTGATACAGTAATTGGTTGTTGGTTTAAAAGTAAACAGTAAGGAAATCTAGCCTTAAAAGTAAACCGGTGTGGGTCTGGTGAAAGCCTGGGCCCTTTGTCTGGTGCCCCACAGATAATCATGACCCAAGCCAGCTTGAAAGGGCTGTTGAAGAAATAGACCCACGTATCAGCGATGAACTCTTTGCCATCCTCGAGAATGAGTTCCCAGATCGACCCAGCAGAGGTAGCCTGTACTTGGCACTGAGTGCTGGGAGTGCTGAAGCGATCGCGTTGTCCGGTGAAGAGCACCTCTCGAGTGGGCTCATCTTTTTCCATGAGATCATATCTGAGCGCCCCGAGCTCCTGTTTCAGCTGTGAGACTTCTCTCTCGAGCTCTCACCCTGTCCCTGGGTGAGAGCGCGCTGTTGTGGGGCGAAACGTCGTGACCGGACATCTTGGTCGTGCCATTCTGAAGTATCTTGTTCGCGGTGACTGGTGTCAAGAGAGGTATGGGAGGGAAAATATGAGGCGGGTGGTCAACCGGCCGATGGAGAAGAAGGTAAGAAGAATGGCCAGTTGTTCGTGTTCGTGTCAAGACTGAGGGATCAGCGGGCCGCAGACCACGCTGCAAGAGATACTTGCTGGCTGGGCAGGACAGTGGGACCCGGATCCCCTTATCGGGAGCAACAATTCACTTCCACTCCCAGATAAGGCCGCGAAGGAGGGGGTCCAGATAAGGAAGCCCTGGTGCCTTCAAGTTACTGATATCGTGATTAGGTACTGCAGGTACCACGGGGGGTTCTCTGTTGATCGAAGGCCAAAACCGCGCCACTGTGGCCAACTCCGAAAGGTTCAACCGCCGTGAATACTAAGCCTTCGTGTTTCGCATCATGGTGGCTGGTCATTACTTTATCTCGCCCCTATTTGCAGTTCACAATATCATGCCCGGGACATGCCATGTTACCAACCTGGAATTGACGTAGTTAATACACCAGCATGACGAAAACTTGAAGCTCTTAGTATATTTAGTTGCCGTAAGGCAAGGTGGAACAGTTCCCTTCCAGGTTCCTTGGCTGTAGCATATAGGTAGTCATGAAACACATGGGTAGTAGCTTGGCTCAAACAGTATGAACTGTGAGTCAGTACAGCTCGCCATCTTTGACTAATGTTATTCTCGCCAAGTTCTACAGCAGACAAACATGATGGAAATCTCAAGTCTGGTCATATCACTGATGTGGTTAGGCACAGCTTTCATAGCAGAAAATCGCGACACAAAAGCAAAAGAGCAGGCCAGGGGCTGAATGGTATCATATATTGACGGCTACCCAATATAAGTACCCAGGCCAACCTGGTGCTGAGCATGAATTCCGATGTTGGTGATGTTGACGGTTGACAGTAGGTCGCACCGCAGTTGGTTCTTGTCCTTGTCGACCTCTTTCACTGTGAGCCACCATATTAAACCCCATGTGTAAACTTCTTCTTGTGCCTGAGTGTTGGCTTGGTCGCATCCCTTTCCTCCCCTCCCCGAGTTCTCGATAAAGAGAGCGTCCCTCTGGACCCCTCAAGCATCATGGCGCTGCTCGCTGACGGGTGGTACTCAATCTCCTTGAGCTTGGCAGCATGATCATCATGGTCAGCAGCAACCTGTAGAAGTCGACGCCGGGTAGCATCCCGCTCCTCCCTCAGCCCTTCCTGTGTAATCTTGTAGCGGCCTTCTGCGGCAGCAAGTGAGTGTTGCAGATCGTCAATGATCTTCCTGGCAGAATTGAGCGAGGACTGGAACAAAGCCTTCTCCATCCTGCATCTGTGCGAAATCTCTGCGTCGAGCTTTTCGAGCTCAGTGGCTCTGCTCTGCCACTCCCGAGCCGCGTTCTCCGCCGTCTGAAGTTTCTCCTTGTAGAGCTCCCTGTCACGCTGAGCGTCTTGCAGTTCAAGAACCAGGCGGTTTGCCGAGTATACCCGATTGTTGAATCGGTGATCTCGGGTAAGGTCGTGGAGCCTCTGCTCGGCCCGAATCCTGGCCTGGCGCTCTTGAATCAGAGCACCCTCGAGCTCGCTGTAGGATGGTTTGGTCGTGTGCGACATCGTGGAGGTGGTAATAGTTGGAATGATGATGGTGAGACGGTCAACCTGGCGGAAACTTTGACAGTGCTGTGATGTGATTGATGGGAGAGGTGTTAGGCGATTGGGGCTTTGTTGTCACTCAGGAAGTTAGAGTCTGGCGGGGACTTATCCACTAATCCTGAGACATCTTTTCACTCCGTAAGCGTTGACTCCTTGTAGGAGTGACCCGGGAGCAATAGGTTAATCTGATGTGCATTCACCTCAGGAAGTGGGTAATGGACAAAGAAAAGGCTGGGCGGGATCCTTATCTCATGTCACGGGCACGGGAGATAGGCACGATATCAAGAGTCTTGAGTGAATAGGACCTGTAGAACCTTCCAGGGCCCGATCAAAGATATAGAACTCTCTGTAGATATCAATCTGCTCCTGATATCAGATGGTCCCGGTTTGTTTGGGGCTCTGAAGGCTGGCCTGTGCGTCCGAGTAAAACTATATATGGTCTTCCTGCGCAGAAATTCACTCTCCCAATCCTTTTTCACCATCCTCCTCACTGCCCTGTCCTTCACTATTTTTCTCTTCATCATATTCACCACCTTCCTCAATCCACTTCTACACACCGTCCAACCCATCTCTTGAATCACGTACCTCGGAGGAAAGAACATCCACAGGCTTAAACAGCGCTCCAATCCAGTTGGGTGCATACGCCTAATGACATTGGAGTCTTGTAGGTCACCCCGCTATCCTGGAAGCGGTCTGAGACGCTTGAACTGACCTGTTTTGTACATAGGAACAACCTACGATGGCTTACAACCGTTCCTCTATGCCAGCTGCCTATCTGGGTGGTGACAACGAGTATGCCAGACTCGAGAGGGCTTTGATTGACGCCAGGCAAGATCTAGGTCAGAAGAAGGCCGAGTTCGCCAGTGCCATGGAGATGATCAGGAAGCAGGGCGGACAGATCGGCGACCTCAACTACAAACTCAACCTTGTCACCCATCGAGCTGAAACAGCCGAGGCCGGTCTTCGTGAGGTCACCGCTCATCATATGGCGGCGCTGGACGAGCTCGAGAACACCCGCCGTGCCTATTCAATTGCCGAGGCCAGGCTCCACGAGGCTGAGAGGGCCCGCGATGAGATGTCAGTCAACTATCGCAACCTGTCCTCCGGATACAATCGCTTGGAGGAGGACTTGAACGAAACACGCCAAGTTCTCTCGTCCACGGAGAGAGAGTTGAAGAATACCCTGATCGAGCGCAACGAGGCCCGCGGTTCACTCAGGATGTCTCAGGAAGCCTGGAACCATGAGAGAACCAACCTCCAGTCAAAATACAACGCCTCACAGACTCAGCTACACTCTGTCCAGGGTCGTCTCGATACCACGGAGGGCAGACTCAGGGAGGCGCTGAGGCTCAATGACGAGGCGGCCAAGTCCCTTGCTGACAAAACGGCCTACATGTACGAGGCGGCCAAGTTCAAGGAGGCTTACGGGGTGGCCAAGAAGGATGTCGAATTCTTCAAGAGCCAACTGGCCACTACTGAGGAAAGGCTCTGTGAGATCCGCAAAGAGCGCGATCTGGCCAGGGTCGACGCGGACTTGCGCGACAGATTGTCGGGTCTGACTCACGGTGTTGCCGAGAAGAGGGTCGGCTTTTCTCCCCACGTTCAGGTGGCCGATTTGGGTGTCGAAAGGCCGCCCACACCCCTCACCCTTTCTAGAACCAGGACTTGCAGTCGGAGGAGCTCGATTTCTTACAGCCTCTCCAATATGGCTATATAATTTTGTCTAAGCGGACGGTGGCGTGTGGCTACAAGACTATGGCATCGATGTGTTAGCGGCCAGTTTAGGAGGGGCCAACAAGCGTCTCGCCTTGAGGCAGGTATGCAATATTCGGGAAAGGCTCAGGGAACATAAGGTAGCTAGGAAAAATTTAGTTTTGCTTCTCAGATCTGTGGTAACGGCAGTGTGATTCCCTATTTGGTGTTCTGTGGTCTTGATGTTGCGTGTTGAAGTCGGGTTTCTCACTCAGGCAGACGTCACAACGAAAAAACATCTAATACGCAGCACTTCATTGGCCAATACTGTCAGCCTCCCGCACCACTTCATACCTTATCCTTTTTTGGCAGCGCGTTCAACACATCCAGTCCGGGTTCTTACGGCGGAAAGCTACTCGGCATCAAAGTATGCCCAATGGGTGGTAAGCAACCACTCCCAAGGTCGAAGATGGGTATCACTAACCACAGTCGCTGATGCGCAGGATCCAAGACAATGTTTCCGCAGCCGCCCGCGGGATGTCGACCTCGAGGAGATATGACGCGACAAAAACACACATCCTGGACTCCGCGGCTGATGTTCCGGAAGCCTTGTTAAACAACTACCTCGCCGCCCGACTTCTCAACGCGCTTCCCATTAGTCTCTTGCTTTGATGCAGGTCCCAGTTTGACCAGGTAAGTTTCTGCCATCACTCCGAGTGCCAAAATCTTTGTTTCTATCTGGTACTGACACATGTCTTGGTCAAGCCTCTATTCTATAGCTAGCAACGGTTGATGCCAAGACTCTGACTACACCAGCCCGGCCTACGCAAGCATAGCGGCAAACACAACCGTCATAATCCCCACCAAAACCATCGATACGCCACTTCCCCAAATCGCGTCACTCGTTCCCTCTGCCTGGGTCTGTGTGGCATTGGACGTCGTGGTCAAATCGATCGCCTTTACACACGTCAACTGTGCCTCTGCTTGGGAGACGGAAGTCTCGTTGTCGCCGGCCGGGAAGAACACGGTAAGAATGGGTGTAACTCCGAAGAAGTGTTTGACCATGGTCTCCGCGCTGAAATCACCCTATTTAATCGATGTTAGCTCACCGTGACGCCGACATGGAACCATGACTAACCGTTGAATTGGTAGAGTGAACGAGCCGGAGATCGTTGTTCCTTGGGGATGTAGGCCAGCAATCGGAACTGGCGTTCCTGTCGCTGTCAATAGGCTGGGGGGAACCATCACCCAGCAGGTCAACCGCGGTGACATCGACCCAATTATTGCCTGTGGCGAACGAAGCACACTCAGAGTCCAGGTTTGCCAGGAACTCGGTCTGCAGCTTCTCGCATGCGTCGTTGCCTGACAGGTCAACTTCCAAGGCGCGCTTTATCAAGGCGTTAATGCAACCATCTGTCATGGCTTGATTGCAAGTGCCTTTCGATCGCTTGGGGTCGTCATCGCCGAATCTGACGCGGTCGTTCACTTTGTTGAAGAAAACAGCACACGAGGCAGGAAGTCTGACGCCAAGAGAGGAGTACCGAGGTACAATGACTGGTCGTATTCTCGGTCGGAGCTGGTATCGACGGCACCTACAGCTTTGGTCCAGGAGAGGCCTTTCAGGTCGTCGCCAATGTCCTCCAACGGGACGACACCGACGGCGTTGAAGATCTTGTCCACCACGGTGCAAGTAGCGGAGGTTGTCCCCTTCGTGATGGGGCATTCGACATCAGCACAGCTCAGGATCTGAGCATTTATGGAAGAGGCCGTGGCCAGCACGGCGAGAATGGTGAGGAGATATTGGCGCGACATGATTACGAACTGCTGAGTTAAACCGTGAAGTAAAAAGAATCCAAGATAAGGAAATTGATCATAAGATACAGGATGCTGTTGGGAGCAGGAGGGGCTGCCCCATTATAACAGTGCAACACGTCAACCGCGTCACAAGAGAGGGAGGGAGCCATGACCAAGCGAAGACGACGGCCGTAACCAGCCCCATCATTTGTTGAGATGGCATTGAACATCACCTATTTGTCCCAGAAACCCGCAAGACAGATTGACGTCGGGTTGATTAGCCGCCATGGTTGCGCAAGGTGGGGCGCTATCGCTGCCGCCAGCCCCGAGTCCACCAATCACATGCATTACCAACAGCTCGGTAACCCCTGAAGCACCACTCCCTTTGCCGCCCGCAATCGCGGAGACATCTCACCCTGGTTTTGTTAACCGCTGTTGTGGTTGCTAACCTGCATCAGTAGCACAGCCTCCTCCATGGTTTTCTGGAATTCCCTCCAGTACCAGATCGAGCATTATCTCGGACCCTGGAGTCCACGAACCACTCCACCGGTAATCCTGCACTACGACAACGACAGCGAGCGCCACCCAACTAGCACGACGTCATGCATCTAAGTGCGGTGATGGAACAACACAACGCTAACATGTAAGCAACCACCACAGTTTTCCCCATATGTGGGGTACAGAGCCTCAAAATATATCATATCTCAGAAAGTTTTCAATGATGAAGACAGGCAGGCCGTCCTAGTAATGACAATCAGCACCGTGGCCGATGCCAATGGCACTGTGCTCGACGCCGTCAAACGACAAGAATTATATGCCGAGACAATGGAAGGAATGCGGATATCTCGGCTGGAGTAATGCTGGGGTTTCAAATGCAATAGTCCAGGACGTTGTGCGGTGTTGGATCCAGTAGAGACGCGTCGGTAGCCGACGAGGGTTATTTTCATCGTGTGGGGATTCTATGATCCAGGCCAACATCATGAAGGCCGATGAAGGGAGGATTGTCGAGCCATGGGTTCTGCTGGCTTCGGTGGTGTTGTGTTGTCTGGGAGACTGCCTACCGCCATGCGGAAAGGAAGGCGTTGGCAGCAAGCGTTGTCTCTCGCCGCCAGGGCCCGAGATGTATAAGAAGAAGGGTGAGGCTCTTGTCCTTGTGGCAAATATCACATCATCACATCATCAAGTTGCACATCTCTCCTATCAACCTTTACCACATTTCACGTTTTCTTTTTCCTATTTTCAAGGTGTGCCGCGCACATATTCTTCTCTCTTCACTCATTAAGCTCATCTACATTCTTTTTTTTGCTTTCTTTTGCAAACAGTTCTACAAGCAACATCATGGCCGGCGCAGCAGGAGCTCTTCGGGTCATCTCAGCCATCTCCGGCCTCCTCAACGTCATCACCTTCGGTCAAGACATGTTCTCCCAGCCCGATCCCGTCGGCTCAAAGGTTAAGATCACCGTCGGCCTCGACGTCCCCGGTGGCCTCAACAATGTCGGCGGCGACCTTCCCGATGTCCGTCTGTTCAACGAAGCCGGCAAGTTCCTCGGCATTGCTGCCGATCCAGGCTCCATCGGCGATGGCTCCACCGGCGAGATCAAGGTCGACCACAAAGACGACAACGGCCAGCAGGCTACCTACGCCCTGTTTACCGCCAACGACAACGCTATCTGCGTCGCCAGCGCAAGTATCACCTGGCCCAACGGGGATCAGTACGGTTGGGTGGGCGACTGGGGTCGTGAGTGTGGTGGCAGTTGGTACTACAGCAATGTCTTCATCCAGGGCAGCGATTACAAGCCGGATTGTCTCTGGATTGATGCCAATGGCGACCAGCCCCAGACAGGCTTCCAGGTTCACTGGCCCGAGTTTGTCCAGAGAGATGACGGCAAGCCTGGTGAGAAGGATGGATTGGATGTGGGATACTTCTGGGAGGCTGGACCTCCGTTCACGTTGTACACTTCACATGAGCCGAGGGCGGTGACATACTGGGTTTTGAGTAATGGGAAAAAGGTGAAGAGGGGGGCTACGGGACGGTCAAGATTCATCAACGGAGACAGCAGATGGTGAGGGAGAGGCAAGGGAACGGGACTGACGCGGCTGGTCACGGAACAACCCATACTTTGGCGCAGAAGCTGGGTGAGATGCTGGTGTTGGATCACGGGAACAACGGACAACACTCGGCTGCGAAGCTCTGCTCGAGCCCTACTTCTATGGGACCCGACTTCGCCAATGATGCGGAGGGACTCTTTTGCCGGATGTCAGACAAGACCTTGTGGGTTTTCTGTGATGGCGTTCATATTACGGATAATTGCTTCAACCCGGACTTGCAGCAGGTCGTTGTTGGCGGTAAGGTGACCAGAGATAGGAAGTACGGGAAGGTTATGTCTTGGAGAGCAGGGAGTAATGGCGGTGATGGAGGGAGGTCTGGGTATTACTAATTGTACTCTCAAAAAGTATCATCCATATTTAAACTTTATACCTGTGTATAATAATGTGAGATGGTGTTTGACTACCTACCTTTGATATTTCATGCCCTTTAACTTGACTTCTATTTCCCAGAGATTTTGCGCTACCCTGGGTGTTCTTTTCCTCTTAGTTATAGCGGTTTAGGAGAATGGCCTGGCTACTTATGGAGTTGTCCAATGCCCGCGGGGAAAGTGTATTTACCGTCCAGATGTATGTACCGCCTCTAACACATTCTCTCCCCAGATCTCGTTTGCTTTACCAACGCACACGTACTGCCTACTTACAAGGTCGCCACCGACAGTCAGTCCGCCCTGTTCTACTCAAGGTAAGATTCATCGCTCAACACTCGTGTCCATCCTGACCATCACTGACATCATACCAGATCTGGCGACCGCGTCCAGAGCTACCAAGGTCACCATCCACAAGTCCTCTTCGGGCTTCATCGACAGTCTTAAAACTCTTGGACCACTCGAGGTAAGTAAGAGTTTTCCCTCGTCGCTCACGTTCCTCGCTAACATGTATGCTAAATCTGAAATCCCATCACCAGTCGAGCAGCTCCAACAATGCTTCCTGGATCCAACCCCACTCCGGGTGACTGCCCCGCCCATGACAACTCCTACAACTGCCCGCCCTCTTGCGACAAAGGTATTCCCGGCGACATGATCAGCGGCGAAGGAGACATCGTTCAATTGGACAAGATGTACAACCAGATGAAGACCGAGAGAGACGCTGCCACCGCTGAGGTTGCCGACCTCAAGGCCAAGGTTGCCAACTTGGAGAAGTCCCTCGAAACCAGCAATGACAATATCAGCCGCATGGAAAAGGGGAGAGGCTGGATGGCAGTTTTGCGTACTTCACCAGGATTTTTAGCGACATGAAAAAGGAGAGAGATCTGGCTAAGAAGGAGAGAAACGTGGCCAAGAAGGAGAGGGTTGTTGCCTACAAGGAGAGAGATTGGGCGCTCGCCAGAGCCGGCAAGGCCAAGCATATCCTGGATAACGACAACGCCAGTTTCATCAAGCAGCTTGACGAGGTGAAGCTAGGTATTAATGATGGCAAACAGGCCCTCGAAACCGCAATGGCCAAGTCCGATCGTGAGATGAAGAAGATGGAGGAGTCTTACAACAAGAAGGCCCAAGAGGTGGAATCTTTGGAGGGCGAGGTCGAGGCCTTGAATCGTCAAATTACTGATCTTGTCAATGAAGCGGCTTACAACAAGAAGACAACCGTCAACGGTGTCGGCTGGGATCTTGTCGAAGGGGATTATCCTGAGTTATTGTACTCAAAATGCCCTCAGCGTCATGGTCTATTGATGGCCCATCTGTCACACCGCCTTCTCAACATTTCGGTAGGCGCTCAGAAATCAACATTCTGCCAAAAGATAGCCCTGAGAGCCCTTCATGTTCCTGAAGATCTCTCGCGTGGTTGTAGCGCTCGTATATATGTATTCAGGGGTCTGTCATCAGTTTAGCGAAGTCTAGGTAGTGTAGGATCAATAGCGGTCATAGCCAGGTGCTTTCCCCCTGTGCTCGTGTGTAATTGATTATGTTGTCACTTCCTCATTCTACCGTTTCTCCAGCAGCAATGGCTGCCACTGTTCTCACGCGAATGCATGTGCTCACGTATTCTCAACCCATCGATTGACTTTTCGATTTTGTGAAGGTCTACCGGCCTGCTATGGGCCATGGCATCCATCACAGTTACCGGTCATGTCAAACAGCGGGTTGCTCTGTAGAATAGCACATGCATTGGGCTGACCACTGTGGCTGTTGTTGAAAAGGTGGGCTTGCCCTGCAGACTCTGTTGACCTGAGAGCATCAATGATATTCGCCTAAGCCCACACCTGTATATTCACTTGACGCTCGCCGGCCCCGCACGACACAATTCACTTGAAACTACTCTATCTCCATTATAAAGCAGTCTCTCCGCAGCCTCTCTCCCCGCAAACATTTCTTTCCTCCCTCCACCAACATCCCCGGCTTGTCTGACAGTCTCCCCAACACCCGCTCACCCAAGTCAAGTCTCCCACTTCACATCACCTACAACCATCACTGTCGCCATCAACAGTTGTTGCAAGCAGAGCCAGCTACTAGGAACTTCAAGGGTCTCGTTCAGATTCATCCGCGCTTCCCTATCAAAGCTACGAGTCGTGACCAAAGGTACGATTCATCATACATCACTCATTTCCATCCCCACAGGCGTTGACACCATCCCTACCCAGATCTGACGGCCGCGTCGACAACATCCAGTAACAAGCCTTCATAGCGCAAAATTCCCAGGCCGGCTTTGTCGACCACCATCGAACCCTTCGTCACGCGAGGTAAGTCTTCCTTCTCTTCATTCATGTCAACCACTAACGCCTCTACCAGATCCCACAGGTCTCCAGTCCGGAAGCATTTCTTCGTGCAATCCCGATGCCTCACGGTCTCGCCAAGAATATGGTTGCCAACGCTGAAATGGAGTGGGCTCGTAATGAGGCGGCCATGGCCCAAGCCAGGTTGGAGCTCAGAGAGGCCGAGGAACGTCAGGCCAAGCTCGAATACGACCTCAACACCTGGCCCGATACCACTCAGGCCCACGAGGGCTGGCTTCCGGTGGCTGTTAACGAGATTGAGCGCGGAAACCAGTACATCCTACGGCTTCAGCATCAACTGTCCAGTGCGGAGGCTAGCCTTGATGTGGAGCTCCGGCGCAGCGCGCTTTTGAACATGGTACGTTGACACGACTCGTCGGAAAATTCTCTCCCCAGTTCACAAAAAGTTACTAATCGTTGGCTTGACAGGAGCTCGAGGTCTTCAGAACCAAGCTTGAGGCCTCCGAGGTCGGCAAAGAGACCGCCTCGACCACCTGCAAGAGTGAAGTGGCTCGGTTGAAGGGTCAATTGGCCAAGGTGAGAGGCGAGAAGGACGCTGCGCTCCAGAAAGCCGCTGAGAGCGACAAGGCTCTCCAGACCGGACGTGCCAACTTCACCAGGAAGTATAACGAGGCGACGCAGGAGAGGGACACCTTGAAGAAGGAAAAGGAGGCCGCACTCGAGAAGGTCGCCCAGAGCGAGAAGGCGTACCAGAATGGACGCGCCGGTGCTATCCAGCGGTACAACGAGGTGTGCAAGGAGAGAGACGAGGCCAGAGAGGCGCTCAAGACCTCCAATACCGGCAACCTCAACCAGAAGATTGCCCAGCTGAAGAAGGAGAGAGACGCGGCTCTCGTCGAGGTCGCCAGCTTGGAGAAGAGACTCGAGACCAGCAAATCCAACTTCACCCGCAAGTACGTCGAAGTACAGAAGGAGAGGAATGCGGCCCTCGCCGAGGTCGCCAGCTTGGAGATGAAACTTGAGACCAGAAAAGCCAAATTCACCCGCAAGTACGCTGAAGTACAGAAGGAGAGGAATGCGGCCCTCGCTGAGGTCGCCAGCTTGGAGAAGAGACTTGAGACCAGCAAAGCCAACTTCACCCACAAGTACGCCGAAGTGCAGAAGGAGAGGGATACGGCTGTTGCGCAGGCTTCCAAGACCAAGGAGGAGTTGGGCCGCGGTTTTGCTAAGTTCACCAGGCTTTACAATGAGGTCCAGGCACAGAGGGATCAGGCCATCAATGAGAGAGACGCCGCCAAGGATGAGGTGGCCAAGGTCAGAAACGACATGAACGAAAATATGGCCGCGATGAACTGTCAGCATGCCGACCACATCAAGCAGGAAAAGACTCATTACGACTGGGAGACCGATGTTTCCTTTCACTGAGGATAGCTTCACTGCGGTGAACGTCTTACTCTCATTTGACACCGCGCCAATTCCATACCAGGTACATCGGGAACCCATCAGACTTCGGCACCATGCTTTGGCCCGGAGACACTCATCATTCACCTTTGTTGCCTAGATAGCGCTGAGATTCTCTTCCCTGAAGATGGTTGAGGTCATTGCTTTCCCAACGATTGGGAGTTCTGTTAGTCTAGTCAGCTTAGTTTTAGTAGTGGTATAGGTGTATTACGTTTTAAAGTCATGTTTTCTTTCTGTTGTGTATGTGTCCAGCTCATAATCTTGTTTCCTCGTCATTGGAGATACATTGTTTCGATTTCTTCAATATCTTGCATGGGCGACATCCAGATACTAACTGTTGAAGGCTACGATGGTCTCGTTGGACAATGTGAGAGGGAAGTAACATCCAGTCCTCGATGGGTCACTGGCATCAACCCTGACCCTAAATATCCGTGGCAGTGACAAAAGTCCACACGTTGCCAAGAATCAGCTGCCAAGAGTGGTGTCGCTGAACCCAATTCAATCCATCTGTTTTGATCCAGCACGTTCAAACGGGCTACGTGGTGCGAATGAGCAAGGGATTGACTCAGTCTTGGTAATGCAAAGGTGAGTCACCAGGTGAGAAACATCCATCTCGAGTGGTTATAAACCTCCTCTTTGGTCTTCCTTGATTGGCCTCTCATTAACGCAATAACAACCGATCGCCCATTTCTCTATCTCATCCCCTCAAGAGACTGTGGAAGATGGAATTCAACAACAACCCAGCCAAGATCGCTGCCTCTCAGGTCGCCCAGACTTCAACCTCGTTCAACGACATGGACAAAGACCAGACTTTCCTCGCGACTCAGAGGCCAGGTTTCAGCCCTTCAGGACCTCACCCGCACTAATGCCGACATAGAGAAGATTCCCAGACACACACACAATCATCAAATCGCAGGACTAACGGAATCTCGCAATGCATACCGCGCGCTAATGTCTGACGCCAACAGGTAAGAGAACTTACACCAGCACGTCAGAGAGGAGACCAGTTCGTTGATTGACAACGCCAACGTATGGCAGGCAAAGGTCAATGAGATGGAACGCCGAGCCCTTGTGGCGGAGGCTCGGAATGAGAAGACCGAGTCGACGGAATGGCTGGAGGACAAGTACAGGGATATGGAGACGAGAGCGTTGCAGGCGGAAAGGAGAGCGTTGGATGCGGGAAAGAGGGCGTTGGATGCGGAGAGGAAGTTGGCCGTGCTTGAAGAGGCTCGACTCCGGGGGAAGGTTGAAGAGGCGGCTAAAGTGCAGCCATTAACAGGTATCATGATTCCAGCAGGGTCGGGATATGGAGGCTGTGACAAGGGGGAGATAGAGGGTGTTGAGTCATTCACGGGTTTGCTTCGTCTTCCTTTTGGAAGGGACATCAGGGTATAGGAGAAGTAATAATGACTACCTACATGCATGAATGACAGCGTTTTTACTTAAGTTTGTTCCGCGTGCGTGTAGCTTGACCAAGTTTCTCTGTCTATGACCATGTGTGTCAGACAGATCAACAACAAATTCATGCCAGCCCAATGTTGTCTTGAACATGACTGATCACCTTACGCAACAGAGAATGCAGTATAAAACCGGCCAGCCCTGATTTGTAGCCATCATGCAACGAAGCACATCAAGCCTTGGTAGAATCAAAGACGGTTACATGATGAAAAGCCAGGAGTCCATGAGCATCTTCGTATTACTTCCATGCTTCGTGGTATTCCGTCCTTGAAATCCCCGTCCCCATTGCTACGGAGCCGTGACCGCAGTGTGGTTGATGGGATACGAGGGAAGAGTGATAGGAATAATGAAATCCACGCCAGGTTACCTTCCTACATGTATATATAGCGGAGTCTGAAATCCTGCACCAGACTCGTTCCTCTTTTCATCTATCAACATATATGCTATGATCTACATTCCTTTCTCTTGGTGGGCCAAGTCCCCACATCGATCATCCAGTGTGCCGTACTTACATCTTGAAGCAACGAGGGCATGTTGATTCAGGCATTGGGGGTTCCTCTTGAAGCTGGTCACTAATATGACACAAGAGGTAGCTAGGATGCCAGCATGGATAGGTACCTAGCTACCTACATGGCAGCTTCAATTCCAGAGTTGCAATTCGTCCACAATCAAAGTGATCTTGAAGATCCCAACAGTATAGAAGTCCATCCCTCTATGTTTTTCCAAGTCACTACCTTCAAACCTACCATCAAATATTTTTATCGCTTATCTGCCCCAAGCTCGGTCCTTACCTACATCATTTCTGAAACACGCATGTCCACTTCCATGCCCTTGGCTGGATATTACCAAGCGCCCTCAGACGCAGCTGGACGTGGCAACCGAAAGATCAGAGGTAGCAGAGGGGGCAATCGACGTCTTGAAGTGAAGATTGGAACATGTCACGAAAAGGGCGGAGGGGACGGGGACCGAAGCTGCTAGGATCAGACTCCTTTTGGCGGAGACTGGTTTAAACCCCTCTGACGCGATTATGGACAATTTGTTGGGGAAGATGTTGACACAATGAAGGAACTGAGAAAGGCTTCAGGAGCTAAGCGGGCAGATGGACACTAAGTACATGGACCAGTCGCAGATCACACTGAAGACTGGACACCACCCAGGTACTGACCGCAAAGAAAGGCTTGCCCCAGACTAAAATAACAACAGCAAGTTGATTTTTGAATCTTGGTTACAGTGCACTTGCAGCTAGGTAGATATGCTCCTCACAGCCAGATCCCTCGTTCAGCTACACATCATCCATCTACCCCTTAACAATCCTCTTCCACCAAATCTCGGATCTGGCCCCCGCCAGAGTCGTTATCACAGAGATTGTCAAGTACACCTCCCCATCTTGCTCAATGACAGTGTAATTTCGCCTCTGAATTTGTCCCACGAAACGCGGTATGCTTGCCGTTGTCACTGGGCCATGCAAGACCTGTCCACTGAACTTCGTCAATGGTACCGAGGTGTTGAGACTAAACGGCCCCGCATATGATAACGAGGTCTTGCCGATCAAAGCCCAGTCATCAATACTCCCGCCGGTATTTGGTGGCCATTGGATGTCGGGAGGACGCATGTCTGGCTCCATCGAGTTCATGACGGCGGACATGTAACCGTAGCGGGTGTATGTGATCAGGCCGGCTGGCTTCTCACCCCACGGGTCGGACACTTGAGTGCCGTTTCGCCATCTGAGTGGATTAGTGTTATGTTTTAGGTACACAGGGATTCGGCCGTGGACCTGGGACTTACTGGGTATTGTTGAGGAGGGAATAGGTTCCCGCGAGAAAATTCATGATTGCCTGTGTTTTCATTTCGATGGTGGGTTGGGAGTAGCAAGACCACAACAAGATATATCCAGGCACCGTCCGGGGAAAGATATAAAGCATCACTCAGGATCTCGGTCTTTCCCTTGACATCTGCCGTTCCACTCCCCTTTTTGTTGCTGACCCCCTCTTCGCATTCGCAGTTGTGAATTGCGCATGGCTGCGGCGTGAAGCACGGATTGGGTTTAGACCCACCGGCCGGAGGTTTGGGGAATCTCACCTGGCATTGCTGTGGGCAGGTCAGCTACCCACTGGAACAGCCCCTTACACTCTGCAAATCTTGGTGGTGTGTTGCAGTATCTCATTCTCTCACGTTACACATGGTGTGTTGGGAAGAGATATAACTGGCTGAACCGCGAAGATGACATTTTAATGGAAGGGAATCAACGTGCCGGATTGCTAGCTTTTCTTTGGGTCCGGTGCGACCGCGTACCCTTCCGAACACACCGGACACTCTTCAAGGTCCTCTTGACTCCTGAGCCTTATGACCGCGCCCCTCTTTGTTGACTATTAGTCCAAGTAAACCACCACTGGTAAGGAAGTTCAGACTTCAGTCTGCGACAATACAGAACTCTGTGGTCGTGGATCGTTTGACTGAAGTTTGAGGAGGACGGCGGCTTGAGAACCTCACAGTAGGTAAGAGAAAGTTTCTATACAGAAACCTGAAACTGAGGCATCTCCGCGCTTGCCCAGAACAATGAATTCGAGGTCCGAACCATTCCGGATAGTGACTGGACACAACGCCTTCTCTTGGAGCCAATACAAACACGCAGCAGCAGAATATTTGCTTACCTTATTCCCAATTCTTTCGTTCTTGTGGTAGGATGATGTTTGAAATTTATCGTTTGGGTTCTCCCAACAAGCGGGGCGTCACGAATAACTAAACACATCCATGATGTACCTTGTGTCAAAAGATAAGCCAAACAATACCAAATTTTCTCACCAAAGGCTAGGTAACCAAAGCTACTGCGTTCTCCACAAGAGTTTTAAGCCATGCGCTCAAGGAATAGACCACGCGTAGTTCCGGTAGAAGCTGAAGGGGCACCTGTTCACCTTGGTTCAATCATTGGGAGCTCAGGCCGAGGTGACCGGTGTATCCGCTATTCACTGACATGTCGGCGGCGAGAGGTAACTAAGACAGCTACCGGGCTGTTCTCGTTGAAAGTAGATATATATATTGTCTCTTCATTGAAAACCATCTTCCTTCCTTCCTTGTATTTGATACCCGTCGTTTATCTCGGCAGCTTCGAAAACAGTTTTGTGTCAACAATTGCCCTATCGTCTACCTCTCACCGCCTTATCATTAAATTCTTCTCCCGATAACCCAAAAATGGCCAACAAGTCATCGAGAACCATGACCTCACCATCTAACTCGTGGCCGCGCGGACGTGCTCTCCGTTGAAAGAAAGCTGATCGGAAAATCAGGTCTCATCGGTATTTACCTGAGTTGGCAGTGAGCCTCTGGGGGCCGGTGAGTGAAGATCAGGGTGCTGCCAAACGGCAAAGTGGGAATTCATCAGAGAACTGCCGCTAGCTTTGTAGCACTGCGTCGTGGTTGTGACACCACGGTCAGCTGGCGCACGGTATGTTCTTTTTCGCAGTCAACTCGTCTGAATTCGAGGTGGAGTGGATGCCCAGGTAGCTCCTTTGCGGCCGTTGCGCTGGAGCCGGCCGGCTGAGCGGATCAACCAACAAGCAACATGACCCATCATTCCCGCTACTTCAACTGCAGTCGGTTGCTCCGTGGAATGGAGGAGATTGGCCAGCCTGAGAGCCTCACTTGCTCCAACCCAGGCTATGATATCATCGCAATACCATGAGTCCCACGGCACGATATTCACTGATGGGAACGCCCGGGCCACCGCATCAAGACTGCTCCTGCCCAGGTTCACGCTCAGGTACTTAATTCCCATCTGTCCCCGGCCGAAGACCTGAATCTTCTCTTCCTCTACCAACCACTCCCTCCCCCGACGCCAGACTACCTTCACATCATCCCTCAATCAACACCACAACATACCACCCAACAATCATCAACATGAAGGTCTTTGCCATCATCGCCCTCTTCCTAGGCGTCATCAGCGCTGGTGTGGCTGCCCCAGCCGAGCCCACCACGACCATTGACCTCCCGCCCCCCGCAGGCGAAACCAATATCATCTGGAACCCCAACGTGACTGACGAAAACAACATCACGGCCAGCAGCGGCGACGCGCCCAAGTGGTTCTTCGAGATGTTTGAGGCTACTGGCATCAACTGCAATGATAAGAAGTGGATGACTGTCAGACTCAACCGATATGGCACCTTCTGCTTCAGGACCGAGATTGATGTTCGCCGCGTGCGCGTCGTCAACTCCGGCGGCTGCTCCAGTATGTCAAATATCTTGAACGAAACCTCACCATCCATGTGTTGAACTGACATGTGTGTGATAGCCACTTACTTCTCTGATGAGAACTGCACCAATGATCCCCAGCACGTCGAGGTGCCTCTTCACTGTGTCGGTTATAGTGGCGGGAATTTGATCAAGTCTGTCGTTGTTGCTTGCTAAATGGGCATGGCGCCAGACAACACCACGGCGACATCACCCACGAGGGGAAACAGCGCAGAGAACTGGTGGGATGCGAAATTCTAGTTGAGGGAAGGCCTGTAGTCTGCGAACCCTGCTGGCAGAGCTATCTTGGGGAGGAGCAACCGGCAAAAAGACACAAGCATTCATCTCAAATTGGTCTCGTGGTAACCTTATCGCTTCCGTTGTTGCGTGATGTTTCGAGTTGTCATCGCAATGCATATGTTTTGTGAAGACGTTGATTTAAGGTTATCCGCAGTCAGGACTATCCTTGTTTCGTGTCGAGTGCCGGACAATCCTGGTGACTAACTGGTCGTCCTTGACAATGAGGCTGACTACAGCTCCCGACGATGATGTGAAAGGGGGTAGGCTGTCAGTCAAGTCGGCGTCAGCCATCAAGAGCAGGTGACACATCATTATGACTCGCAAAAACAACTTTGGAGTTGATGTTAAAAACCTAGGAAACAGTACAAGCTGAGGTGTGGTGTAGGTAGTCTCACCCTGGCATTTTGACCAGGTGATGTTGTCACCCGGAAGGCCACGGAGCAGCACACACCACAGAAAGGTATGGAATGGGAGGATGCCGGAGGAGCCCAGAAGGGGAGCGGAAGGCCACGGAAGCTTGCGGAGGGATTTTTCAGGGCTTGGACGAATTAAGGGCTAAGACGAAAGGTAGTCACCACCGGTGCCTGGTTATTCGGGCTCTCCGGCCGGCGACTCGGCGCCGGTGCCTGGTTTTTAGGGCCATCCGGCCAACAACCACTCGGCCTTGCCGCGCCAACTTTTTTTGCAATTCACTTCTCCGACCAAGCTTCTCCTCCGCCTCCGTTCTTCCTCTCTGGATTCACTTGACCGAGAAGAATCATCTGTTTGTCCCTCTTAACGTCATCGTTACCTGTTCTTCCTCTCTTCCTTCGGTTCCCTGGAGTATCAAGACCTCGCAAGGCGCAATTGCCCTCAGTTCTTCCTTTCCGCGTCTATCCTCATCGTTCACGCCAAGCAGCAGCTCTCTTCCTCTTCGTTTCCGCGTCGCGTCAGAGTTCTCTCTCGCGTCGTCTCTCTCCCATTGTCTCTCTCCCCCTCCGTTTTCGCCAATCGTCAGCCAATTTCCCGCCATCAGTCATCTCCCGCTTCATTTCCGGCAGCCCTCGCGCTACGCTGGACCATCAGCTGCGGTATTCTTACCAACTCATCAATATTCATCTCCGGCACGGCTAGCTACCCCGACATACCGACGCTTGTACGCTTGAGGAATCATCAGAATATATATCTTGATCTTCATATCGAATCACGGTATGTTGAGCATGCTTGCTTACTCCAAGCTCAGCCATGTTTTTGAATTTCCATTGTCTTGATACTGACTTTCAACTCAAACAGGGCAAAATGAGTGACGTTTACGAGCAAACAGACGAGTACATCATCAACAAGAATGTCCCCTACTACGACAAAAGGACCGAGGAGGACGAACTTTTCGATGAGCACAGAATGAGGAAGGGCCTCAATCCTGTTCAAGACCGTCCATGGTGGTTTGATGAGATCCGCTGCCAGGCCACTTCTCGCTCTGATGGCGAGGTCATCGCCGAACTCTGCGCTGTCTTGATTAATCTGGACGACGCCAGGGAATGTCTTGAGTATTTGAAGAATGATGAGCGGAAGAGGTATGATGATCTGAGGGATTATGTCATGGAGGATGTGGATCTGGAGGATTTGTTGAGCGAGGCGGATTTGAGCTGTCGCAATCGTTACAGCACGGTTACTTCGTTGGTGGGAGGTCTTCTCACTCATGACGGGGGGATGCGAATCAAGTGGTATAGGTCGGACTTTCCTGAGACAAGAGGCACGGGTGTGTGGGGAGAGGAGCTCAGCAGCATGAAGAACGTCCTCCTGCTTGAGGACTTTCATGTTGAGCCGGATTGGCGTGGACAGGGTCTCGGCACGAAAATTGTGCAGTATGTCCTCAACCTCAACGAGACCTACTGCGGGAAGGAGGAGCTTTATCTGTTTGTTCGTCCCAGACCAGACCCTCGCGAATATTCACGCCTCTTGGGTCTCCTCAGGGGGGCTGATGTACCGGTTTACCACCAAATCACGCGCAGAGCCGAGGCCTTTTGGAGAGCTCAAGGATTCCGCCGGGTGGCAAAGTCGGACTGGTTCGCCTACACGACAAACGCAGACCATCCCTCACGGAAGCTCACCATTGCCGATGACGAAGCAATCGACCACGACCTGAAAGAGTTTGGGGTGCGTCCCGCCTGGCTCACCGTTGTGCCGGCCCACATGGCCAGACTTGTCCAAGACCTGGGCAAACAGCACACCACCGACGAGGAGTGCACCGCGCTCCTCAGGGAGCAGATGCCAGAGGACCCCAACCACGAAGACTGGGGCGTGCGCGGGGAGTGTGGCAACACACTCCTCCACCTGGCCGCCGTCTCGTCCAAGCTCGAGGCGATCAGGTTCGTTCTAGAGCGCCAGCCGCGCTTGGCCGAGGTCAAGAACATGGGCGGGCGCACGCCCCTGGAAGCGCTCGAGCACCAGCTCGGAAAGGCGAGGGAGCGCGACTACTCGCGTGAGCGCTTCTTGGCAATTTGCGCGTGGGAGAGGAAGAACTGGAGATTTTTTGAGGATTTCCCGGGCCTCAACGACAAGGCCATCCGGTCTTGGTGCCTTCTGAGCGGCACCCCCTACATGGACGTGAGCGGCCTGGCCGTGAAGTCTGCGTCGGAGCTTGGGGAAGACCGGGAGGTTGTGCAGGAGCTCCTCGAGCTCAAGTACTGCTGCGGATGTGGATCTTGCCTTGGTGGTTGGTTCAGCCAACGCAGTCAAGTGGTCCTAGCATTTGCGGCCAGGGAGATGCATAGTCGTCGGGTGGAGGGTTTGGAGCAGATGGGGTTCTTGCAGTGGTACGATTTGTATATCAAGGACTCGTGCGACTTTATCACCAGAGAGGAAACCACGGACAACGAGCAGGCCGCATTGTGGGTGGTGGAGGTGTTTCAACATCTAGAGTTGTGCATCGCCGGAACCGACGATACAGCCCCCATGATTCCGAATCTCAGGAACATCATGGCCAGCATAGAGGCTGCCCAAAATGAAACCCCTCAGCCTGCCGATCTTCACGGGCGGATTGATGCCGTCATTGAAGCTACCTGCTGGTTGATTGGAAAGGCAGAGGGTACGTGGGACAACATGCGTGAAGACCGGTATATAGAAGACGGCGAAGAGTTGACGGAGGAGCTGAAGGAGCTGTCGCACTGCGACAACGACGGCTACTATTGGCCTCTATACACTTACTGGAAGTCCCTTCGGGGCCACGAAAGCGCCTCCCGGCGAGCAGAATTAGTGAGTCTCTCCAGAAGTGAGAAAGGAAATTGTCCAAAGGCTGACATGAGGTTCGTCACAGCTTGCATAGCTCTCTTGCATACCGGAGCAAGCCCAGCCTATTCAACCCGTCATGGGGCTCCATTGTCAGTGTTGCGGAGAGGAAAGCTGAGATTCCAGTCTCGTGGGCTTTGAGGAATTGGCGCCGTTTACCTGACTCTGAGACGCTGATCTCAGAGGTCAGTCTTGAATGTAAATACTGTAGAACCCACATACTTGTATAACCACTAGCCTCGTTGTACGCTCTGTAACAAGATTCAGACACTTTCCATTGCAATGTTGTCCTATCATGCCGGATCTGCCTCTGTAAACCTCTCACGCCATCACCATGAAAGCTGGGAGAAATCCTGGGTTTCCTTGATGTTGTGAGGCAAGTTGTATTGATTAGAAAAGTGCGGGCAGTTGCTTGGAATCATGTATTGACCTTGGATTATTGTCTAATACAGAAAAGCTATCCAAATCAGTGTGCCATGCCGATGCCTCGCGACAATCTACCTGCCAAGTGCTCTCAACTCTGTGCCAAACCAACCTGACGAAAACCTGATGGCTATTTGTCAGCCAATGCGACCATCTTCTTCGCCGCACCGCTATCCGACTATTTTAATGCCGCCTTTCGCAAAGGTCAAACTTGCCGAAAAAGCTGTCATATCACCGACCGTGACCTCACCAAATAGCTCCAGCGCCTTGCGGTCTGGCACCCTCCCAACATATTTGGTCCACAAAGCCTTGGGTGATCTGAGCTGAGCCGGCCCTATGTAAGCTCGACTTTGGCTCAGGACTTCCATGAATAGACTTAACTTAATGGTATTACGGCTTGATTTGGCGCACAAAGCTCACCAAATCTACCGAAGCGGTTATTTATTCCGGCCCGGGTTAGAGCCTGAGGGTAGGTTCAGGGATGGGTTCAGGGGGTGTCTCTACCGACCACCTCACACCCCTCCCGACGAAATAGATGATTGGCACACTAAAGTACCTTGGATTAATAGATACCCACCATATCGTAAACCATACCTAGAGGAATAGTCATAAAGCCTTTGAAGTGGTTAATAGGTCTTCAAATACAACTAGCTACAAGGCCTTTAAAGATAACTAATAGGCCTCGAAAGATGATGGGAAGACCTAGGTAATTTGCTTTGAAGGTACGATTCACAGTATAATATGTCTTGATTTACACTTGCTGTGTGTATTGCATGTATTTTGTGGGAGGGTGCCTCACCACCACACCAGACATCACGGCCTTTGTGGGGATGGTACCTAGGGATCACTAATCAACCGATTTTGCGCTTGACGACTATCTGAAACGCTACCTGGTTACCCATGTCACAAAACTACTAAGTACACACTGCTACTTCATTCTCGCCAACAAACAAGACACGAAAAGCCACACAAGCGTGCGACACAGAGGACAATGCCGGAGCCAGCCTTATTATTGTGTGGGTGCAGGATTTCGCCGAAAGAGCATCTAGTCTTCCTTCAACTCTGCCAAATGTAGCGGATACAAAGTCATAAAATAGCGCATCCTACGTATATTCCGCACTCTTGAAAATCCTGTACACAATATCGTTGAGATCGAACTCGGCCCTTGGATAGTGATTTACCCTGGAGGCGTCTCTCGTTGCGCAGCTTCAATATGTTGAACTTGTTGGGAATCCCGGGTTGTTGATGGCGTCTCGGAAAGCTTGTAAGGGATTATTTCCCTCGCCATTTTGTTTTTTGCGCAGATCCCGTTTTTTGGACGACAGGAATTGGGCTGCTTGGACCTCACATCTCGTAACAGCCAAATGGAGCAGTGTGTGTTCCCCGAGTCCGTCGTGTAACTCCAGTCAGGATGGTCGACATTTGCCGGCACGTGGTACATTAGAGCTTTAAAGGTCTCATCGTCAGAAAGTTGGCTTTTGGCGACTATCGTGTTCGCCAGTTTCTCAAATTGTTCGCCAGTTTCTCGAATTGTTCGCCAGTTTCTCGAATTGTCATCCCGCCGGCGTGTTCGCTCGTGATTGACAGGTGCGCGGCCTGGCCTAGCATGTATCTGCGGATGACTCTCAGGCTAGACAATACTGGGACCGTGGGGATATGGGTCGCTTACCTACCTGGTGATGCTGATGGGACGAAAGATAGCAATGGTGCCTAATCAAAACGATAACGAGTGTGCGACGTGTTATTTGTTGGGTTCTGCAGAAATATGATGCGGAAAACTGGAGTGTTTCATGGAACAAACGGAATGGCACGCAGACGCAAGAGGCTTCCAGTGGAACGACCGCGCTGGGCCTGCCTCTGGCCGCGCTCCAAGGGTAGGTACCTCCCGTCAAAAGGAATATCACACACCGTGGCATGAGCACTCAGGTGATGGACCCACGCCCGGCGTCTAAGGGAATGACGAAAAGGCCTCTTGCAATTGCTTCTTATTACCGTCCGTCACGCAGACCAAACTCAGCTGGGTCGTAGGTACCCTTGGCGGGCCTTCGAACCTGTTACTCGGTAGGTACATCATGGCTCCAAACAACGCAAATGACGTCGAATCAAAGCAACACAAAGCAACGCAAATCGGTCCAAAACAGAGTCAAATATAGCTTTTTCCTAGTTTGCTCTGATTTGCCGGGTTTACCAAGGCCATGGACCTTTTTTTAACCCATATATATAACCCTCACCCTACTATATAACCCGAGAAAACAAACTAGAAAAAGCTGGGGACCAAATACACGGCATATACCAACGTCAAACTTTACCTATATAAGCATTAATATAGCCGAAAATATAGGAAATTACCACCAATACACAAAGGAAAGTAGCCTGAGTAGTACTTTGGAATGTCAGATAGACAATAGGATATGTGTAGCTAGTTGGCTTAGTGGCTAGTATTGGCGGGTCAAATAGGTCAAATCAAAGCAAATCAAGGCAAATTGACATTTCCCAGTTCAAATCGACGCAAATATCGGCCCGGATTTGATTGATTTGCTTTGTTCAGAGCCATGAGGTACATTTCTTGATGTTGGCGGCGACAACAATGTGCCTGTCGTCCCTACAACCCCAAGGTACCTACCTATCCATCATGACTTCCACCCTGCCCATCCCTCCCCCCTCAAAACCTACCCCTCCTCCTCCCCCCACCAGGCCCATGATAGTAACCCCCAAACAACCCCCTCCCCGCCACCCTCAACTCATCCAACACCAACACAAACAAATAAGCCCTTGCCTGCTCCCACATCCAGTCCTTCACGCTCCTAGGCGTAGCAGCCCAACCAATCAACCAAACCCCCGCCACCACAGCACAAACCACCACCCTCCTCAAGTTCTCACTGCCGGCGAACTCTCCCAAAAGCAAAACCCCGGCTTCGGCGAGGGCGAAATGCCAGTAGTCGCCTGTCTTGTACAGGAACAAGTCTGCGCTACTGCTGCGGACGGTCTCGAGGCGACCATTGCGGACGGCGGTGGTTGACCCGCCTAGAGGCAGGGTGACTGGCACGCTGGCGCGGAGAGAGGCGATGCGCCATTGGAAGTAGAAGGCGGAGAAGAGAACCAGGCCGGAGAAGATCCTGTCGAGGAAATACGTGCCCGAAAGGTGGAGGGTGTCGCTGCCCAAAGCCCAGGAGATGGGGGTGAAGGGGGAGGCGGTGGTGTAGAGGAGGATGATCAAGATGACGGAAAAGAATTGGCGGGGGAGGATGGAGGGGGGAGTCTCGGTCTGGTGGCCCGTTGGCCGGGGGGTGGTGTCTGGGAATGTTGCCATTTTGACTGGTGTTTAGACAAAAAGACAAAACATGAGAGACTGAGAGAAACGAGCGACGATGAACTGAGGTCAGGAAAGAAAGTCACGATGGAGGGAAACAAGCTCATTTAACCACAACCCACCAATCTTTCCCGCTCTCCTCGGACCGAACAAACGGGCTGAAGAGGCGGGTCTATTGGAAATGAGAGGGCTGAATAGTCTACACTATGCAAAGGCCTTGTGCCAAGCGGCACAGGCAGTGAAATTGCCAAGTGTTTTACCCCTGAAGCCTCTGAGCACGGATCATGCTGTGGTCTTGGCGGGGTTTGTTGCCTGGAGTGCTTAAAAATGGCGGGGTTGCATTTGAGGGATTTCGTGCCGGGACGCGTCAAAAGTTCTGGACGCGAAATGAAGCCGCGTGGAAGGAAAATGTCGGATATGCTGGAGCTGATACGGTGTGCCAGGCACGGATTGTTCTGCTGAAAATGCAAAAAAGAAGATGGTTGTGACTCGGATACCGGGAGTCGAACCCGGGGCTGTTGAGAAAGGCAATCACTCCTGAGAAGTGAGAGTCAACGATGTTACCGCTACACCATACCCGATAGCATGGTTCCGATTGGACTTGTATGGGTGGTCGAGTCAGAGCGTGGGTCTATGATCAGGGATATCCTGTGGTGGAGTGTGGACTCAAACGAACCACTCACCGAGGACGATAGCTTCGATCCATGCATTGCAATTGCATATGGTCTGGGTACCTCAAGCAGTAAGGTATCCAACAATCACGCCGGTCTCGCCGTGCCCATCTCCTCATCCCACCTCTCCTCCCGATTACCCCTCCTCCTAAATAACCTCCCCAAACCCTTCTCACTCCTCATGCTGTGCGCTGCACCACCCTCATCACCATCATCCTCAGGCTCATCCCCACTCTCCCTCCCCTTCCTCCTCCCCCACGACAGTCCCAACCACCCCCTCAACCAATCCTTCCTCTCATCAACCCTCTCCCGATGTTCCAACTCCTCCGTCTGGCTCCTATGCCTCTCATCCTCCGAAAAGCACTCATCCTCATCCGGGTGATTATGCCTCGATCCATGTCCCTTCCTTTGCAGCTGATTAGCCTTCCACGACGCAACATAAACCGCCATCTTCTCCCTCGTAACATCTCTCCACCTCCTCAAAGGATAATCCCACTCAAAGTCCTCCTGAGCCTTGCTCAAATGATGATGAGCCGGAGGTTGCGAAACAGGATACAACTTCCACAGCCAGAGCTTGCGCAAGCCAGGGACATGCGTATGGAACCGAAAGCGGCGAAAGATCGGGGCGTAGTCGTTGTCGTCGTCGATGCTCAAGTCGTCTGATTCCTCGTCGCTCGAATCGTCGTCGTTGCGACGCCGCCGAGTGCTGTACCCGTCGGAAATGTCCGAAGTGCAGTCCGAGAGATACGAGTCGTCATCGTCTTGCTTGTGCTTGTGCTTGTGCTTGTGCTTGTGGCTGTACTTTCTGGTTTGGGATTGCTTTAGAGCTTGCCATTTGCTTGGTGGTGGCCGTTGCGCGCTGTCCATGCGCCTCTTGGCTTTGCTCGCCATGCGGTAGAACACGATGCCGATGCCGAGGAGAATGACAGCAGACACACCAACGGAGATGGGAACTGTCTGTTATGTCAGCTATGGCAGATGATATCAAAAAAAGCCTGCTCACGATGACTTACACAGATATTTTGACACTTCGTTGACCGGCCAGTCAACCTCGCCGGTTTCCTCGTTCTTGGGGAACTCTACAATGCCTATGGTAAAAAAGCTTGCAATGAAGGACAACGGCAGCTGTGATACAGTATCAGCTCAGTTTCCTGGCAGATGTGATTGTTACGGCAACTCACAAAGATGACTGTGACGATGGTGAACACCACCATGATCTGCGGAATAGTTTGTCAGTACTCGTGGATCGATGAGGTGCGCTTCGGGAACCCCACAGTATTTTGCCGCGAGCCCTGTTCTGAGAGCTTCATTGCATATCGTGTATCCCAACCGGATGCCTGTTGTTGCTTGAATTGCAACAATTGTTTCAACTATTACGCTGTCAGTCACTGTCGCTCATAAATGATCCCTGCTTACAGAAGCATACCTCAGCCTCGACTCGTTTGGCAGACTCGTCCATCTCTTGAACTCGGATGTGGTTGTCTTCCACGATTCGAATGGCTTCATCGACTACCCTGGCGTTCTTAAGCCCAGTTCCGTGATGGCTCTTTTTATGGACTCCATCATGTTGGTCTCCATCTTCGTCATAGTGCTCCTTGGTACCACCTGACCGTTTCCGAGGCCGAAGGTGACCCTGGAATTCCTCCAGAACCTTGAGCTGTGTGGTAAGAATGGACTTGATGATGCCAAGCTCATCCTGGATATCAATAATTTCCACAAGCTGCCGGGATTCGTCTGATATCCGTGAGAAGCTGTCAATGTCGGATGTGTATTTGAAGGGGTCTTTGGCATTAGCGAGCTTGTCGACGGTCTTGAGGAGCTTCTTCATCTTGACAGCTTCATCTTCCGCCTATTCAGTTGAGCCAGGGTGAGTATTCAGCTAAGTTATCAACAGAGTGCTGGAACGTGCACTTACAATGGTGTTGATGGAGGATTGGAAGGCCTCCTGCAGCTTGACACCACCAGGGCCTTGCCTTGTCATAATGTTCAGACATATCTTGAGAATCATTTCGACAAGGCTGTCGGGCGATTGGATTGCTTGTCGCGCCTTGTTTGTCTCTATCTCCCGGCTCAGGAGTTTCTTGATGTTGTACTGCTCGGAAGGCTTTTGGGTGTTTGGCAAGCAGGTAATTACAGTCCCTGGATCCTGTCAACATGTCATTCCATTTTCGGCGGTGTATCCGATCACAACTCACCATCGGGCAATACCCATAGCCACAACTGGTCGACCATCAGAATAGGAGCTGTGTTCTTGGGCTTCCCGTGCTTGGTGGCCCATCGGTACACGACCTGGTCTTTGTCTCTCCGCTCTGTGGTTTCGAGCATGTAGTAAGAGTACTGATCCAATGTGCGCCGGCAATGTAGTGGTAGAACATCGTGAGCATGGATGTACCCATCGATCAATGCCGACTCCCTGCGGCTCAGGGGCGCGTTGGTTCGATTGTCGTTCACGCGATTGATCATGGCCGCCATCTTTTTGCGACCATCGTGGCTCTCGTAGGCAAGGTATGGCATCTTCCATTTGTTAGCAAGTCCCCATCAATAGCATGCTAGAAAGAGACCAGAGAAACTCACAAAAAGCGCGAGCGTTTTGTCACCACCGGCGTGCCCGAGATTGACGGGTGGCAACATCGCCCATGTTATGCTGGACAGATTCTGACTCGAACGCTTTGCGGGCTGCAACGGTGGCCGAGAGGTTGACCCGGCTATGCTGTCTGGAGACCCGGACGGCTCTTCTACCACTGTCTGCAAGCGGCTAGAGTGATTTCCCGGTGATTCTGAAACCTCGGATGAATCTACACTCTGTTCTGCGTTAGTTACTGTTGGTCAACCCTTCCAAGCTGTCGTGGTGCATTTACAAATCTCGTGAATTGGTACTTCTTGGCTCTCGGGTTCATATACCGGTTGAAGATAGTAAGACCGTCATGCCTTTGGTCCGTAATGGATGAATCGCGGACTCCAATGGAGAGAAAAAGGTCCTGGAAAGGGGTATTGTCAGTACCTAGGCATCTTCCGTCTCAATGCGCGCGGCAGGAAACTCAACATACAGATAGCCATTGCTCCTAAAACATCGCAGGAATATTAGTTTAGTTTTCTACGGGGGGGTGAGAAGAGAACTTGCATTGTTTGCGGGCAGCAAAATCCATCTGCAACGGAAATCCTTGTCTTTCCCCTTCCTTCGGGACGATTCAAGAATCCGAGCACAGCGCTTGTTGGCATCATAAACCATGTCATAAACGCTTGTCGTCTTGAGATTGATCTGTTCCTCCACTCGTTTTGTCTTCTTATTAGTCGTATGGTAAAACTCGCTAACAGTCCCTTCTGCAACGAAGCTAGCGATGTATTGTGAAGAGTCAGGCGTCGGAGGTGTGGGCTCTGTGGGCAAGTCATAATCTTGAGTGATTGCAGGGCCTCTGATGGGTTCCAGGTTCTCTCTCAACTCGCGAATCCAAGTCGCAGCACACTCGGATCCGTTGCAGCCGCAATAGTATTCCGTGCTGTCTTCGCAGATCCAGTCCCAAGGCGAGCGGCCCTCGTTATCATGAAGGTCGAGATCTTCTCGTTGCATGTTGCGCATCAAGTAACGAATGACGCCGCTGTACTCTGACCGTTCCCTGCCTTCTTCTGGCTCGTTGTACCATGCCTTGAAAACCGCGTGGTGCAGTGGAGTTGAACCTCCGTCGTCAGGCTCGGTGGTATCATCGGGTCTCTCGTTGATCAGGAGCGTCACAATTGTATCGCTTGGAGGTTCCATCAAGCATGCAATGTGCAGTGGATTACGCCCACTTTCCGTCTTGTATATCAAGCGTGGCTTGCTGTCCAGGATGTTTTCGACGAGTTCGACATTCCGGGACTTGATGGCCTGGTAGAGAATTGTTGATTGCATCTTGGCAAGAATAATCCGGTAGATGTAATCTTGCGTATCGCCCATCCGTGCCAGTCGCCGATGTCGATATATGGCAACTGACGTGAAGGTGACACCTTTGATCGAAGCGCGATATTCGTCTTCGTCCTACGCACGCGTCAGTTTTGCATCTGTAACTGCCATCCTCGTGGCTCACCTACCTTGCACAGTGACATATTATCAGAATCACCCTGTTGGACGCGAGCTTGTGAGTACAGCCAAGTTGTCTCCAATCCACGAGCCAACTCCTTTTGAGATCCCTGGTATTCATTCCAAACATCCTCCACCAGCTCAGACTCCTTGTCGCGGGTTTCGATCTCTAGAAGGATACGGGACATCCTGACGTTTGTGTTTTTGGGAAACCAGCTCTTGAACCTGTCCGGGGTCTGAGGCTCATCGGGCTCTGGGAAGGGTGTATCCAAAAAGATAACCTGGAAGATGTCATCCAAAGATAACGAAGCGGTGTCGTTTTGTTTGGCAGCTAGGGCAATCGCCTTTTGAATGACGATACCGCCGAAGCCTGACCCAATGAAAACTATTGGGACCCCTCGCTGGAAGAATAGCTGTCTTGAGCCTACAATGCGTTCCAGGAGGGTTTTTGCTGCGTTTTCCACATATTCCGCCCAACTTCCGGTCTTCTTGACAAACGTAGGTGATGAGTAACTGAAAGATAGCACTCTGGAGTCGGTGATATCGTTGGGTATAAAGTCACGAATCCAGTTGACTGCGTGTGGCCGCCCGCGCATGTCGAATTCAGATGATGAGCGCATTGAAGGTTCCAAAGATCTCCCTCTCCCCTTGAAGTCTTTGCCAGGTGGCCGTAGTTTCGCGTCTAATTTCGGGTTTCCATCAGATGGATTCACCAACTCGGGCCCTTTGCCTTTTTTGTCAATCAGCTTTATACGTTGAGGTCCAGGGGAAGCGGTCCTGTCGCGTTCGCCATCCGGTCTCCCAGGGCTCAGAAGACGTTCGACAGGCATCACCCAAGCATCCTCTGGCGTCTCGTCAAAGTCATGGACGGCAATGATGTCGACCGAAGTTCTAGGGCGAATTCCTTCTGGGTAAATAGCCAACGTATAGGTGGCCTGGAGCATGCCCCAGTGCATTAGCAGACGCGCGACGAGTTTATGATGACCGAAGCTCATACCTGACTGGATGCAGGTGGTTCATCTACCTGGTTGCCGCCTCTGATGGTCCCAGTTTCCACCTCAACGGCTGTCTTCTCTTCGAAATCCCCGCCAGGTTGTCTCTCCCCGTGTCGGGATGGCGTGGGCGACGATTCTTCATGTTGCAATATCGATGAAGGTCTTGGGACGGAAGCGGCTGCAACAGATGGCCGCCTTGTGAGGCGATTCCAACCAGAAAGCAATATAGTCCTCCTTCCAGATCCACTCTCGCCCGTATCGACCCTCGAATCCTGGGTCAAGTTTGGAAATTCTGTGTCGTCATCTGCCGCTGTAAGCGCGACGCTGGGGGTTGCTGGGACAACCTCGGCATGAGGACTGCTTGGATGATAGGTCGTCTCTGGGTTAGCGGTGGATAGACTATCTGGCGGTAGAGATGATGCCATGTTGAACTTGAGAGCCCAAATTCTGTCGACGACAGGTGGACTAAAGTCGGAGAAAAGGGTGATCTCGAGATGAAAAGTTGAATCCGTGTTTGGCGTCGCGATGAATTGTGCAGCCTCGTTATGGTTACATCGTGCATTAATATTCCGGGGGATGCTGCGCCTGTGATTGGGTTAGCGAGGGAATATCCCCACCTGCGAACTGTCACTTGCTAGCAGGGCTGTCGCACGACATATCCCACGCCTAAACAAGGGTCATGCCTGGCGACCAGGGGGGGCGCTATTGGGCTATGCCGAGCCCTTGGAGGAGGGCATGGTGGGGTAAAAATCACAATTTGGTCGCCATATGATTGTGGCTGGCTGCTCGTAAAGAGGTTGCGACAATTTGATTTCCAATCCGTGAGCTCGACATTGTGCTTTGCTGGCGAGAGGCGTGCCGTGTTCCCGTTTTCCAGTTGTTGCATCGGAGGAACTGCCCCACCTTTCACAGGACACGACCACGCAGCCACCACCACTGGTCCTTTAACATCGATTTCGGGGTGTATTGATAATGATTACTGCATGGTTGTACTGCGTTGCACGGTGGATTGGCTAATCTCAAAGTGCGCCCGGCTTCCACTATAGTAATGTTATATAGACACCTGATAAAAAGATTACCCCGCTGATTCCCTTCCAGATGCTCAGTGTTCGTATCGACCAAACATCATTGTCGCCAATACAAAACTCCAAGATTCCGCCATGCAGCCCGACACGCTAAGCAGCACGGAACAGACGCTTTTCGTCACTCTCAAGGCTCGACAACTTCTAGGTGACAGCTTGGCAGCAGCTGTCGTCGAGCAGATCGATTACGACTTCGATAGACTTCAAGTTGGTTCCCTTGTTGCTGGCGTCATAGGCCTTCGGTCAGCGCTGTTTGACAAATGGATACGCGACTTTCTCACCCGACACTCTCATGCCAACGTCATCCACTTAGCTTGCGGGCTCGACACTCGCCCACACCGGATTTCATGGGGCGACAGCGTTCGTTGGATTGACGTCGATCTCCCAGATGTTGTAGATTTACGGCGGGAGTTCATGCCAGAACCGTTGAGGGCCAACCAATACAGCCTCATGGCAGGCTCTGCCCTCGATTCGGCCTTTATACAATCCCTCCAAAATGACCGGCCAACCATTATTGTCATCGAAGGTCTCGTGCCGTATCTCACCACCTCAGAGGGCGAGGCCATGATTGCCGATTTGTGTGGCCATTTCAAGACGGGGGAGCTGATATTTGACATTACCAACTGGTACACAACCCTTATCGAGAGACTCGTCGGCTCCATCAAGCACACAAAGGCGAAGCTTAGGTGGACGTCTGACAAGCCGAAGAATCTGGAGAAGGTTCATCCGGGCTTAACATTGCTCGAGGCTCATCCCTTGTGCACCCTCGATGGTGTCAGGAATCTGCCATTGGGTGGTCGGATTTTCTTGTGGTTGCAATCTCTGATTCCTTTCACCAGATACAGCGCTCAGTATTTGCGACTCGCATTTTAAGGCTCAGTGTCCGAGCTTCACTGCCCAGCTCTCCCTTCGTGCTCTCGACGTTTCTGGGGGAATACCTATTAGACCGATATGCGCAAGCTGTGTCGGGTACGTGGAAGCACGATCTTTCCAGCATGAAGAATCTTGCAGCGATGTTTCTTGCTGTCGCGAACATTATTTAGAAGGCAGCAGATGAAATCGTGAGCGGCGGTCTTTGCGCATGATTCTGAACTCTGGCATCAAAAGGTGCTTTGGGGAGGGCCACTGCAATATTGACGGGACCATTCGGATGGGGACAGCTGGGTCTGTTTATACTGGTTTCTCGGGGAAGCTTTTAAAGTCATATTTATCATTGCTGTAGCCCCCTGTCAACGTCATGATTTGCCTGGATATCCCCGCGTACTCATTGAGTCTTCAGGCTAATTGTTACTCGGCGGCAACCCCGAATTCGTCCCCAAATCCTCCCCCATCTGCTTCCCGCCCACAACAAGCGGCTCACAATCCTGCAATACAAACATCATCCTCGCCCACTTGGTATCACTTTTATTGACCCACTGATGCTGCGTAGCCCGCTGGATCGCCACATCTCCCCTCTTCAAGCTGTACCGCTCCCCACTATCCAGCACCATGTCCACCTCCCCTTCCATCACGATGCCATAATCCAAGCTCTGGGTGCGATGCATACCGCAGGCATAACCCGGGGCAAAGTCGACACACCGGAGGACAGTGCCCTTGGGGTTCACCAACCCGAGCTTATCAGGGGTTGAGATCAATGACTGGTGGAGCTTGAGATCAGCGTCATTGTTCAGATCGGGAGGGCAGCGGGAGGTAGTGTAGGGGACCGCAAAGGCGAGGTTGTTGTCGTCGTAGGGGCGCCATTGGAAGGGGTTGTAGGATTGGACAATGGCTTGACCGGAGGAGTTGTGGCCGGTGATGAAGGTGGTTGGTTGGTGGAGGTCGGAGAGCTTGCCGTTGTCTTTGCCGTTGGACTGGGCGGAGGTGTTGGTGGATGTGGCGTCACCCATTTTGAAGAAGGTTTTTGATATGCAAGCACAAGTGCCACTCGTGGGGAGGGAGCGGGAAAGGAGGCGTCAAAGTGTTGGGAGGTGGAGGTTATGTACCAAGAGGTCACTTGGTGTAACGGATCAACCCCACGTTGGGGTCCGCTGATTCCGGTCCGCTAGGATCTGCTGTGTCAGCCAACATGGCGCCGATTATGGAGAAGCTACCACATTGGCTTCCGTTTCAAGGCCGGCCTATCTACTTTCCCGGTTATGTCGTAGCCTTCACGAACTAAGCGACAGGGCCAAGGGTCTGCGGCTCCAGCGGGTTGAAACCGACCCGAACCCCACCCGACAAAGCTTGTTTTAACGTCACCCGTCAAGGGTACGCGAACACGTTCAACGCGTTCTGCGAGCTGGCTTATTATATTAATGTCTGCTCCGTGACAGCTCTGAGCAATACCAAGGTTGGAGTTTGTGGCTGAAATTCATGCATCGCGATAAAGATAAGGACCGGATTGGTTATCGGCGATGCCAAGCCACTGCGGCTGACGTCATCTCATGCTGCTCAAACTTCACAACCTCAACTCACTCCAAGTCTCTCTTCACCGTTTAACCCGTCGCCACGCTAACATCATAGCTCACATAAGATGCTCGACATCAGCCCCATAACCAGCCTCCCCGGGCTAGAAAAACCGCCAAAACACCACATCCTCGCCCCAATACTCAACCCGGCCAAAAGCCCCGGCTCAACATGGTCCTCATTCTTCCCCTCACTCTCCTTCGGCGGCCCATCCCAGGAAGAGGTCACCCACAAAGGCCACATCTCAACTCTCGACAAAAAGAATCAAGTCGACCAAAAGCGCGAGATCATCGGCTTCCAAAACCCCTGGCCCTCGTGGCACAAGCCCACCAAGTCGGAGATGCTCGCCAGTTTTCAGTGGGGTCCTGACACAGATCCTTGCATCCCTCTCGCGGCTTCGTACGCTCTTCCCGCCAGACAAACCCCGCCGATATCACAGCCGAGCTATAGTGATCTCTCCAACCCTGAGTCTGCCGCCTCAAAGGCTGCAAGACTGCTTACGGTGCAGAAGCCTGATTTTACGCCTTGTCCGGTTGGGAAGAAGGCAAAGGTTACTTGGTTGGGACATGCCTCGATGCTGCTACAGCTTTCATCTGGTGTTAGCGTCGTGTTTGATCCCATTTTCTCCCAGCGGTGTTCCCCAAGCGAGTACTTTGGGCCGATTCGGACGTACCAACCGCCGTGTCAAGTGGGGGATTTACCTCGGATTGATGCAGTATTGATTAGTCATAACCACTATGACCATCTTGATCAAGAGTCTGTCATGGGGATTTGGGAAAATAACAAGGACAGGGTGAGGTTTTTTGTGCCGTTGGGGATAGGAAAGATGATGGTTGATTTGTGGGGTTTGCCGAAGGAGAGGGTAGTGGAGATGGATTGGTGGGATAATGTCGCGTTGACGGGACTGACGCAAGAGAGTGTGAAGGTCTGGTGCACACCCGCACAGCACAACTGTTGGAGATCAGGGAGCGGCAAGTCTGGGGAACCGAATGGGAGTTTGTGGGCTAGTTGGATGGTGGAGGACCTCCAATCTGGAGACGGGCAGGAGCTGTATAGGGTGTTCTTTGGGGGTGATACCGGGTATCAGTTCCACACCGATCCTGCATGGCCACCTTTGCCACCGACGGATTGGAAGAGGGGTGATCCGCTACCGCCAGCAGAAAAGGAAAAACCAGAGGATTACCCACCATGTCCAGCGTTCAGAGAGATCAGCGATAACATCGGCCCGCCAGATCTTCTACTCTTGCCGATCAGTGTTGGTGCATCGTTTGCTTATTTGAGAAGCTTTACAACGTGGATGCCGGACTGGGGCAATCCTATGCCGAGGCATACACAAGGTGTGACTGGGGCAAACCATATGCCTCCTTGGGATGCTGTACGGGTGTTCAAGGAGATGACTGAGGGCGGGAAAGGGAAAGCGGTGGCGGTGGGATTGCATTGGGGGACGTTTGCTACCGAGCCAGAGGAAGTGTTGAAGACTCTGGGCGGCTTGGAATGGGCATGTGAGAGGCAGGGAGTTGGGTTTGGGAGAGGGTGGGATGGCAAACATGATGAAGGCGTTGAGGACAAGGTGTTTTTAGCGGTGAATCAGGGGGAGAGTATTTTGATTTGAGTTGGAGTCAGGTCATGTTTTCCTGTGGTTGTTATGTAATACCATGAGCTCGCAGTCGACTTCGAACATGACTGAACTTCTACAGAGTAGCTTGATCAGACCAGTCACGCACTTAAGAGAAGTCTTCGTTGCTTGAATGAGGTGTGACATATCCCCTGCCACTGGGGTATAGCGGTCCCGAAAGTCATGGCTCGACGCCGCAGGTGCCCTCACGAGAGCCACCAGGAGGCCCGCTGACAATGTGAGACTGAAAGACAGCACCGCCGCGAGGTCGCGAGGCTTGAAGCCAACAGTGAAACTTGGTTCTCTTTTTATCTCATACTAAATAACTCGAAGGCCACAGCACTGACTCTCATCTTTATCTACAGTTGAAAGCCTTCCCTCTACCCTTCCTCCTGACGACGCTGGCTATCTCGGGCTTTACAGCACATTTGGAGCTTGTCCCTCGAAGCTGTTTCACTGCAGCTCGATGAGCCAAATCCGTACAACCTGCGTCAGACAGCCCGTAACTTCCTCGCAACTCGAGACTTTGCCCGTCGCCGGTGTTGGGCCTCGAAAGCCGGTCAGGAGGTCTTGGTGCGGTTTTACGCGGTGTGCCTTGTTTCTCTGCAAGGTTAGTTCTCGCAATGGTTACCTATATTAGGCCTTTATGCTCGATGCTGACACTTCTCATCTCGGTCTAGTTGTCCAACGTCTTGATGTGAAGACCATCGACCATATTCGTCACCAGGTCGAGATGGTGGTGTTGGGACGGGAACTGCCAAGGGCGTTGGTGGAAGAGGACGGCGATTGGTATGATGCAAACTAGTCATCGGGTGGTGCGAATCGAGCTTTTTGAGATCTTGGTTTGGATCCTCTCTATATAGGTTCTGTTTGTATTGTGCAATTGACCCTTCTTCACCATCAAACCTACTCGTGATATCTGCGTTGGATATTGGCTCAAATAACCCTGGCACCAATGGCCAGCCGAAGAAGTCAGTGTGACTGATGGCGTATGTTCCATATTGTTTGGCACCTGTAGCAACGGGTGAATGGTGGTATCATGCTCTGGGGTGGTATTGATTTCCGATCTGGGTTGGTAAGTTCTATCTTCAGCATCTTACATCATTCGGAAAGCTATCTTCGAAGTCCCCGCACAAATACTCACCTCTCAGATTCATCGCGGTCCTGGCTGCCCCAGAATTACCAGTGGTGAATTGCTCAGGCGTCGCGGGGTGAGGTATGCCCACCTTTCTCCAGCCCCACACGCTCTGGTTGGTCCCAGGGCTTTTAGCCACTCTTCAGAGAAGTAGGAATTTACAATCATAACTCTTGGTGCCGGAAGGATAAAAGCTAATTGGATCTCCCAACCAGTCGAGGCCTTTCCGTCAAGCTTTCCAGTACCCGGACCTGAGCGGGAAAAACTTGGACGAAAGATGACCTATCCGGTTGTCAAGAATACTCTTTTCCTCCTCAGTACGAACGGCTATAAAGGGGGAATACCGACTAAGCGGCAGGGAACCAAGGTAGTGGAATCCCGGGCCGAATCACGCTGCCTTGCTGATCAAACTGGCGACAAGGTGCTATGTATTTATTATGAGATGAGCTTCGTCATTATCCCTTGTAGGCTCCAGATTTATCTCTCCCTAAACGTCATTCATTACAGCCGGCTAATTTATATTGCAGCAATTCTCCATCTTGAGATCGAGGAGGTTGACAGGCTTGTACAACAGGTCGCCGCACAGGAACTCGGGCAGCCAATAAACAGACCGGCGTTTGTGGAAGGGAATTCTGGTTAGCCAAGATAGCCTGTAAATACGACAACCAGCCTGGTGTCTCTTTATGAACGACGTGGAACTCGGGGCCGTGGATAGATCATAGTTCCACCCACAGCTCAAAAGCCACTATTCTACGTGCTCTATGTGTACCGGATGTTCAGCCTTCTTTTCATTGCATTTCAAGCTTTGTCTGTCAAGCGTGAACCACGCTAGACTATGGCTACCTGTTATGCGACCTGATACTGATAGTTGTGTTTGTTTTTCGGTTGCTTAGGAGGTCGAGCTGGAGATGGTTGAGAGGGGCGGACGTGGTTGAACACATATTCGCTGCTCGGCAGAGTGAATTAGTCCTCTGTGGTGAATTGCTTCACCCTGACAAGGGACATCATGGGGTGAAGTATAGATACCCACCTTTCGTCAGGCCCACAGCCTCTGGTTGCTCCCAGCGTTTTGTCAGATCTTCATATATTGAGTGGCTCATCTCACGTTCTTCCACAAACAATCCGCCTTTCTCGCCATCAGAACCATCAAAATCATGTGCCAGGTACTTGGGCATTCGGCACATCACAGTACCTTACTATTCTCAGCTGGATACCTCGCAATGATACACGATGACGAGGATCTCTTGGAACACCCGTTCGTCCGCGGACTGACGCTAGAACATTCGCGCGAGTTCAATCTGAATGAGTACTCATTGGAGCCGGTGGTTTGGAACCGCTGGAACGCCAGACGCATTCGCTACGAATCCCTCAAACGTCAAGACGTTCTTGACACCCTGTCGAAGAGTGAGGCCTTTTCCTTTTCTTTTTTCCCTTTCCTTCTGTTTATTACTCAGTCATATTCTCGTGTACAATTTCTCTTATTGCCAACAAGATGGACTCTAACAGCTTTCTAAACAGTTGAGGATTTCCCATCTTCCTTCCCAGAGCCAGACCAAGATTGTGACGCTCTCGGCAAGAAGATGGTAAATCTGGCCATCGAAGATGCCTTGATTCTGCTCAAATTTAACGGTCACAGGCCCTGGCGAGGTCCGCCAACGAAACAGCAAGGGATCGAGGTTTTTGGGTCCTTC